TGAGATCTAACCATTTTTAAAGTCTTGATCAATCGCCATATAGTCTCATCAGACTCGAAGCGATATAAAATAAGCATAAAAAAAAAANAAAAAAAAGATCATTTTAAATAATCGTCCTCGAATTGAAACACCTATCACCCATTCGACTATAAAATATACTTGAATCAAGTATATTTTTTTCCGTGAATCGAAGGCTTCCGACTAGATTCCAAGCTACTGTTTCTGGTACACAGTAAGACAAAATAAGACTAGGAATTACACGTACACGGAGAGAAATATTCAATAAAAATTATGTATCTTTTCCGTAATTCCGGAGCGAAATGTGATTGTAGGAAATTTTACGGAACTGTCACGGAATTTTTCCGGAGCGTTTCGTAATTTTTATCTGAATCTCCCGTGAAAAATTACGATACCGTCACTTAAATTTTCTGAGTCGATTCCGTAATCGGTGAGTGAATTGTGAGTTCCGTAATTTTTACTGAACATTTCTCTCTGTGCAATTGCAAAATGAAATTGTCTTGCGATTAATTCCTGATATTACTACTGTCTTCATCACCTTCGCATCCTCATAATTATTACTGCATACCCCCTGCTGAGATTACAACGGAGAATGCTCACTCTCTTAATTGAGGTCAGAGTTGTCAAGTGAGCGGCTAGACTCGGATGATACACAAGGCTCATTCAAGTTCTCCTCACGTCGATGATGAATTTAGTATTCAAATTATAACCCCTCTATTCAATGGTCAGACAATGCATGAATCAATGGACATTTCAAGATCAGACTGCCAAATCCCTTTGTCTTTCTTTATAATTTTCAGTGTTCCACAAGACGTGTTTAATGACACAAGTAAATGGAGCTGATCTTCAGAAGTTTTTTTTGAAGGCAATTCTACAGTCCCGACAGCCCACGCGGGATATTTCCATCGAATGATAGAATAATCCGGAGTTTATTTTTATCAGTTGCTTTCTTGAGGAGACGCCGTGATGCTGATCTCTTGAAATGAATAGGATAGAAACTGAACTATTGCTGTGCGCATTACAAAATTTTAATTCTGCGTTTTCCTTGGAAAATTTTATTATAATTCTGCAATTTTTGCTATTTTTATGAACTTTTACTGAAGTTCTATTTGTTCTTCACCGGTTTCTGTTGAAATTTTTGTAGTTTTCTACGTGATTTGTAGATTTATATAATAAATACATTTTTATAATAAATATTATTTTCATCGAAGAAAATCAGAAGATTTTGATTTTTATGATTCAGATTTCAGGTCAGGCCCAAAGGAATTTTAACGATTTGTCATTCAGTTATAAACGACTTTGTTTATAATCTGTTATAACCCAAACTTCCTAAACGAGACATAACTAGAATAATTCAGCCGTCCTCTCCCGGACATTTCAGATCAAAATAGGCGACTCAGAAATATGGCGGCAGGCCTTTTCAACTAGGCGACATTTCAACTGCAATATTTCAATTAGTTTTTGTGAAATTACTATATTTTTAGGAATCAGCGGAAATTTCTTTAATTTCAATTTTTTTTATTGCCCGGTGGCCTGGCGTAGTGGTTAAGGCCGTTGCCTCACAACGGATAGGTTCCAGGTTCGATTCCTGGCCGGGTAGAATGGTGAGATCTAACCATTTTTAAAGTCTTGATCAATCGCCATATAGTCTCATCAGACTCGAAGCGATATAAAATAAGCATAAAAAAAAAAAAAAAAATTTTTATTCTGTGTTTTTCAACAGACAACGTAATGCACCTCAATTTAACAATGAACTAACGCATTAATGATTAATATCATACAAAGATTTAATTTGTTTTTCTGTCAAAAATTATAAGAGATCTATAATTTAATGTTAATAGTTGATTGGATAATTTTTTTTGCTCTTTTCCGAGTGACCGAAATGATTAAATTGTATTTCGTGTGGATTATCCCTTTTCAAATTCTTCGGGGATTGATACAATATCATTTCGTAAGGATTATCCCCTCTCAAATTTCTCACCGGATAATGTAGATATGTATATGAATTTGTAAACACACGAATATTTCGATTGAATTATTGGGAATCCACACGGAGAGAAATTTCAATGGTAATTTCAACTACAAGGGAATTGTCGAATAATAATAGTTACGGTAACAATGAACATTGTAGATTCAACTATTATATTAACGTGAAAATTGCATCATAATGTTGATGACACTATTTGACATAGTAAATCGAACGATGAATCCTAGTTTAATCTACAAAGTTTATTGTTACTGTAAATATAATTTCTTTGACAATTCCCTTGTAGTTGAAATTACCATTGAAATTTTTCTCAGTGGTCTTTTCAACTACGGCATTTCAATTACGACATTTAAATTAACGACAATAATTAATAATAATTTCATCCATTTGGCGTGTATTTAAATCTGCGCAGTTGAAATTTCGTAGTTGAAAAGACCTGGATTCAGAAATATGCCTTCCCCACCAGAACGTCTTTATACCACTCATCTACACACCCAATGAACCCAAGTTACTCCAATATTGCTCCAGTGGTACTATGTTAACACGACACTGAATTAGATCAGCGATTGCGTTCGTGTCCCGTAACAAGTTGAATGGAGATATGCGTTGACAGTCGGTGCAGCTATACAAGACCCCGCATGCACAGTAGTAAATACCTTGCGAGCTCATGCACAAGTGCTATCTGAATTATCTGCCGCATGTAATACCCATTTGTATGACTGTTTTCTTCAGTCCTTCTCCCCCGTTTTTTATTCAACGCCGGTGGCGGTGGCATGTTTATGGAAAACACCTCAGCAAAATATTTGAATAACAACGAGTATTCTGGATGTAACATATTCTTTCGGTGTGGAGGATGGAGTGTAGGAGAACGGAATGGCAGTTAAGAATGTGTAAACTAAATTGTTAATAAACCGCTCCATCTATTTTATTAATTTCTGTTGTCTTTTTTCTCTGGATACAGCAATATATATTGTCATTTCACTATAAACTGAAATATTTATCAATTTTAGGTGACTTTTTCCCCTAAATTACTGATAGAAACAATAATTTTCAACTAGTTCTGAATAAAATGAATAAATTATTGATTTACTCAAATATTTCTTCATGAAACTTTTACTAAAGCTTGAAGTTAAATTTCATTTTTGTTTTTATTCAGATGAAATAATTTTTTAGATCTAAACAAATGTTTTCTTGATCTGAATCAAGAATTTATTGTTTAGTATTGGAATAATTATTAGATATTGATAATTTGATAATTTTTTATTTATTAAATTTATTGATTTTTATTTTCGATGCTAATAGAGACGTCATTTGAAATTGATGAATTATTCGTTTCATGTAACTAAAACTTTCTGAAATTAAAAAACAATAAAAACTGCGATTTCCAATTAAAATAGCGATGACATGAATAGAAAAACACGTGGGAAATTGATTTCGTCACAATATAGTCAATATATTTTTGGTAGTGAACTAGCAATTTGCTCTCCAATGGAATTGCTATGACGATATGTTTTTAATTAAATTCAATGATTCATTGAATTCAACATTCACCCAACTTTGGCGGTCAATATTGTCCCAACGATAGCATATCCGAACTCCTGAGGCCAAAATTAGTTATCATGACACGCATGAAAAACATAACGATTTCGCTAGAGAATTCTATTGGAATTCTATAAAAATTCTACAGAGATTCTATATGACTTCTATTGGAATTCGGTTGAAACTTTCTGTTTATTTGCGCTTACTGTAACGCATATTTCATAGGAAAAAGTCGATATATTTCGAATTTCTGTTCGAATTTTTCTCTTGAGATTTTGTCTATTAGAATTATTGGGCACAAATTTCATGTTTTTTCCGCTGGACTTTGTTTCTTATCGAATATTCAATATAATCAGCGCAACAAACAAATAGAATTTTTTAACAGAATTCCAATAGAACTTCTATAGACACCCCCTTAGAATTCCTATAGAATTCCAACAGAATTTTCTAGCGAAATCGCTAGGTTTTCTATTGATTTTTAGCACGTGATCCTTTCATTGACAAGTAAAAAAGAAGAAAAAATCATCAGAAAAATAATTCGTTGATTTACCAAGTTGTAAAAGATATTCTCTCGGATCAATGAATCCCCAGTATCTTGAATATTAACCCTCGCCAATACTGATATTCCAAGTTTTCATATGTACCAGTGCACAGCCCTATCGCAACATTAAATCGTAACTTTCGAAGTCCCACTCCTCCCTCATAACTCACGTAACTGATGTATATGCGCTTGAATTTATTACTCGTCGCCTTTAAGCCCCGCACAGACTCGACGAAACTCTCCCATTATAATACAACATCATGTTCAACTTCCTTTTTTCTCAGTTAAGGAGTTAAATTCTTCTTGGAAAACACGAGACTGGAGGTAACAATATCATGAAAAAGTTTCTAATCGACGGTTTCTACTCTCGGTGGAGAAATTGCATCCAACTTTTGGAATTCCGGGTTATTGTATTAACTTGGTTCAATATATACTGGGGTTTTCGGGGTATTATCCGTGAAATTGTTGTTAAAAGTGCAAGTTTAAAAAAATCTGGCTGACATTTCCGACATGCCACGCACGGAAAAATTTCGTAGGAAAGTGTTAATAATTTTATCTATTTCATGGGGATTTCCCCATGAATGAATGTTCTTACATTTCAGTAGCGAAGCGGTAAACCGGGTCAAGTCGATTTTGACTTTTGGGCATTTGTTGACAAATATCTCGGAATCTAAGAGAGATAGCAAAATTTTGCTCATAACCTTTTTTATAACCCTCAGTTGGCTCTACAAAAAAGGTCATGACAAAAATTTTTCTATCTCTTTTAGATTCCCAGATATTCGTCATAAACTGGGCAATAGTCAAAATCGACTTAACCCGGTTTACCGCTTCGTTACTGATTTCCTCCTCGAGTAATTAAAAAAGAGTTAAAAGTGTCCACCAGCAGGATGAAATAATCAAAAACACCACTCCAAATCAATTCCTCAAGCCCTCATATATTTCTCAACCGAATTCCTCACATTTTTATCAAAATTACTAAAAATAAAAATGAAAAATCCCTGCATGTCACGTGTCCAAATCCTTTTTCCCAATATACTCAACAAAATTCAGCGCGCACTTGCTCTTATTATCGCTCTTCGGCGCTCTGGGCTCGCCCTTCGGCGGGCATGCGCACGACTTGATCTTCTTTCCCTTCCTCTTACTCCTGCGCCGTTTGCTCCTCTTCGACTTGCCCGTCCCGCAATTGTACTTGCTCCTGCTCTTGCTCCTACTCTTGCTCTTGCCCCTCCTGCTGCGCCTCTTGCTCCTCTTCCGGCCCCGCCCCCTCTTCTTGCTGCGTGCACTGCCGCATCCTCTTGCCTTCCTGCTCTTAGACGCTTTCCGCTTGCGACTCCGTCCCCTCCGCGACTTCTTCCGCCGCATCTTCTTGCCCCCGCCACATCCCTTCGCACTCTTGCGCTTCCGCGCCTCTTGTTTTCGCTTCCGACAGGAGAGATCCAACAGCCCCAATTCCTGTGCAGCCACCTCAAGGCACTCGTTCGATGCGCCCGTTGGTAGACTGTAGTGCCCATCTGTCTCCCGTAAAATGCCGTGCATTGTACCGCGTTTTAGGGCTGTCAACACCTAGAATATTCACAGATAAATTACGAACATACCTTTGCTCACACCAAGTACATCGTATTTCATATTGCCGGAAAGTGCGAGATGCATGAGAAAAATTAATTCTGCAGAAAAATGATATATTCCCTTGAAGAAATCCTTTGACGTGTTGAATCAATTTACTTGTGGATAAAAAACAAAATTTCCACCAAACATACATGATCATTTTCCTGCCGAAAACTGTGTTATTGGCAAAACTAAATAATTTCGAGGGGATAATTTTTTTTTTAGAAAAAAAATTTTTTCCTCGTCAACATATTTAATTATGTAATTTAATTGCCGTCGGCCAGTGAGCGATGGAATCGAACTTTGAGGGTAATACCGCCCGGCATGCGTCCAATACCGCCCACCTTGTTTCCATGACTTTTTTGAGCAATGCGGAACAACTGTTATAATTTTTCCTATTTTCATCCTTCGTTTCCATTCTTTGGCTCCATTTTGAGAAAGATTTCACGTGAATAATAATAAATTATCCTGAATTTAGCCGATGTTTCAGGGACCACCGACTACCCCAAACAATCGAGCTGTCACTCGACCGCCCTTCTAGCTGCAGAGTCTAGCAGCCCTGTAGAAATCCTGAGGGGCATCACCCACAAACTCTGGGCGGAATTACCCACAAACGCGGAGGCTGATAAAATAGCCAATAATAACTGATGAAGATATTTTTCTGCTATCGAAAAGGTCGCAATGGATGTGGAAATGTATAACGAACATATATTTCGCACTCCTTTCAATTATGAAGTAACTGGAAATTTGAAAAATCTTAAATTCTGCGGTCGAAATATTTTAAGTATTCGGTAGGAAATGATTTTCATTTTTTTAGCGATGTTTTCGCGGTAGAAAATTGAAAATTTGCGTTGAACGTACTTGTTGTTGTAAAATATTTGCATAATAAAAAGTGAAAAAAATATTTTTCTAAGCCAATCCTGAGAAATACCGGTGGACAGTATTTCTCAGTTGGTTAATTTTGCTGAAGTAAATCTGTTCCACTCCATTAAATATTCTCGCGTGGAAGATATTTTTTCGGCACAGCAAATTTTTTCTCTCAGTATAAAACGATTCATCTTTCATTATCGATATCTCCTGTCCCAACGATCCGATTTGAACGACTCAAATCTCATTTTAAAGAGTAAAAAAATACCTTAAAAATGAAAAAAAAAATGGAAATTTTACTCTGTCGTTCCGGAATCATGGACGATTGAAGACATCTTGTTTTACTCTAATGAATCTATTTTTCATGCTAAAGTGTGGGAAAGAATTTTGTCGCATTTGAGTTTTATTTTAAATGATAGACACCTGACGCTGAGCGATATCTCGGGGTACGTCGCACAGGGATGAGATGTAATTTACTATCGCCCGGCAACTCGAACCTTTTCTCTCCTGCATGTTCTTTATCGCTGAAATCACTAGGCTCAGGGATTTTCTCGGAAGGTTGACCATTGTTTATTCGGGCTTTGGCGCGGTAATTGAATCAAATTACTGGAGATTTGGCTGAGGAAGATTGGAAGGTTAATGGGCTGTTCGGGGAAATTAAAAGTGTTTAGTCTTGAATATTGACACTTACGAGGATCTACTATTCCTGGGTGAAAGTTTTACTGGTGGTTTGTGGTTGGTGGTGGGTGAATATCTCGATTTTTCTGTTTGTGGGGGGAATGAACAGTTGTACGTGTAATTTTGACAGAATGTAGTTGATGGAGTGAAGCCAGTTGTTTGAGGAAAAAATATCGGATGTTTTTGTTTTATGATTCGATTGGAATATGTCGGGTAATTGCGGTACGTGATGCGTCCACTGGCAGATTTATTCCCAAATGCTGCCAAAGTCGGCGTAAAATTTTATATTCATAAAACGTATTGAATTTTCAGGGATTTTCCCCAGTATTTTATTGTAAAAAATGTAATGGATTGAGTAAAAATTGTAATCTTTCGTTAAATGTTTCCTTTAAAATATAGTTCATTACATTTTTAAATATGGATTGGAAATTTATTTAAATTATATTGAAATTCTGTTGGTAATCTATTGAAAATTCAATTAGTTTTCGCTGATTTCGAAAAGAATATGCGTAAGAATTTATCTGGTAAAAAACCATTAAAAAATTTAATTTTTCGTAGTGCATCCATCGCAAATTTTTATTCAAAAAACCCTGATTTTTCGTTCCAAAGTTTCTATAAAATTTAGTGTTCATAAAACTTATTGGATTTTCAAGGATTTATTTCAAGTTTTTATGTAAAATACAATAAATTCTGTAAAAATTTAAAATCTTCTTTAAATGTTTGGGCAAAAATACTCTCCATTAGAATTTCAACTATCTACTGGAAATTTATTTGAATTATCTTGAAATTCTATTGTAATTCAATTAGTTTTCGCTGATTTCTGTAAGAAGTCAATTAGATTTTCCGCGTTCTTTCAATAAAAATATGCATAAAAATTCGATAAAAAACCTCATCATCATCAATTTCAACTCATCAATTTTACATTTTTATATTCAACTATAGTCCCGTCATATTACTCAGTCAAAAAAATCCCGGCGCATAATTTTTTTTTTTTCGAATTTTAATCTTCTTGAATTCTGTAATGCGAAATTACAAATATGACCGGAATAATGATATTTTTCTACCATAAATTCTCTCTGAATTTTTCCTCTACCCCAAAACGTCACCAAATTTTTTACGAACGAGAAGCAAAAGATAAATACAGGCGGTAACATTATAGATGAGACCTGTCACGAGGCTAGACCAACTCCAGTGAAAAATCTCGAGGTTCCAATGAATGAAAAACCGTCCTCTCGAAAGTAAAAGAGCGAATGAACCCAGTGAATAAGAGCGACGTTTTACAAAAGTGGGGCAAAGTAGAGGAAGAAGTCCCCTCAGGCACACGTGACGAATATTACTTCCGAACAGTGGTCCATAAGTGGTTTCATGAAGTGGAAATTTATATCGACGTTCCATCTTGCATTCTAACACAAATAGAAAATGAATGGCAGTGCAATGAGTTGTTAAAGTAGCTGTCATGAGCATTCTTGGTATTTATGCAACATTGTCGTCAGTCTTCATTGTTACATTTCTCTCAAATGACTCTAGCAAACTTCCCCCGAAACTTCTTCCCCCAAAAACAAATTATATTCGTAATTATCCTCTAACAATTAAAAAAAAAATCCACAAAGAATTAATAACAAAGAAGCAAATTAAAATCGTTTTTCAAATGAGAAGACAAATTTTCTAAATTTGTTTGATTTAATATCATTTTTCAATTTCTTCAAACAAATTAAATTGATTTTTCAACCCAAAACAAAAATTTGTTATAACTGCGGAGGCACCAGTGCCCGAACGTGTAAGAATTTTCCAGTAATAAAGTGCGTTTTTCTCAATATTCAGATGTAGAATCGCCAAAAAATTAATTCTTTCAGAATAAATTCATTCTTAGAAAAAAATCAATTTAAAATAAAATTCATGCACTTGTGAATAATACTTAATCGACCCTTTTCTTCGCCGTACATAATGATTTTATTTAATTGTTGCCTACATTTTCTGTTTGACACACGCTACACCGCCCAGCGTCTCTAATCAACTCGGTTAAGAGATGACGTCTGACGGTATCGTGTCAGTGCAGTCCGTCAGAAAATTAAAATTATGAAAAGATTTCTATTTTAAATCTGAAAAATTGAGCTTGGGTCGAACAAATTACAGTTTTCTGTTTCTGAAAACTGTATAAAAATTTAGAAATAAGTCATAATTAGTAGTATGCGTTCGGGTACTCCTACCTTGATAGTCCATTTCAGTAGCGAAGCGGTAAGTCGATTTTGACTATTGGTCAGTTTTTGACGAATATCTCGGAATCTAAAAGAGCTAGAAAAATTTCTATCATAACCTTTTTTATCACTCTCAATTGGCTCTACAAAAAATGTCATAAGAAAAATTTTGCTATCTTTCTTAGATTCCGAGATATTCATCAAGAACTGACCAAAAGTCAAAATCTACTAAACCAGGTTTCTCGCTTCGTTACTCATTTCTAATATAAAACAAAGACCACATCGAGGATATTTCTATTAACAAACGATGTATTCTTCCAAAAATGTTAAAATGTTTTCCGAATGAAAATTCCGCATATCGTCAGCGCAACGCGAGTCTGACTTATACAAGTATATTCTACTAGCGCTGCAGTTGAGTGAATCTATCAATTCTGCCAAATTAGAATAATATCTTACGATCGATAGGAAACGAACGTCATCAGCGGACTGAGATTGACGGAGAGTTGTTCACTGGCGAAAATTTATTCCGACAGAAATTGTGCAATAGCGAAATGGACATTGACTGCACGGATCGAATACTATGCGAAACAAAAACCTAAAAATGGAATACTCGTTACTTAGGACACTTTCGTTTCTATTCGCTAATTGAATTGAACAATTGCCATCATTCACGAGATTTTGTGTGATTACGTTGATTTCATCACAGAGTGGCGCTATTATTTCGCGAGTGATTAGCCCCTCGCTTCCGCTCGGAATTTTCCGCGTATACACAGAGAAAATTTTTTGATAAAAATTATTCTACTGTTCTATAAAAGTGTATCATGAGTCATCGTTTCCTCATTTCCATCCCGAAATTTGGTGAAAATTAATATATGATGATCAAATTTTATTCTACGTTAGAGCAGTTTTATCCTGATAAAAACAAAAATTACCGTGGTGGTAGAGTAAAAATTATTGGACTGGAAGGGTAAAATTTATTATGCGTCAGGATAAAATTTCTCTGACGTAGAATACCATTTGATCATCATATATTAATTTTTATTAAATTTGGGGATAGAAATGAGGAAACGATGGCTCGTGATACACTTTTATAGAACGATAGGATATTTTTTACCAAAAATTTCTCTCCGTGTAATTGAAATCCGAATTTTCACAAAAAATTGGAGTGGGAAATTCGAAATTCAAAAATGTAATCGTGACTTACTTAAATATGGGCTTCACTGGATTCATTTGTTGACTAGTGTTGAATGAATAGTCAATTAATCATCCATTTTATTCCCTGCGAATGTTCTTATTCCAACAACACAAAGTTCTCAATCTGAAAAATTGACTGTATTCTGAATATCTTTCATTTGCAGTTGGATATAATGAATAAAATCCTCGTTTTCTCATTTCTGCTTCAGCTGGTAATTTTCCACGTATCACGCGGGCCCTTTATCGAGGAGTTTACCCAATGTGTAACTCATGGATTCTACACTGAGCCCTGGCAGGAGCAGCTTTACACAACTCTGAGCTTAATTTTCATGTTTATCTTGCCTCTTGCAATATTAATTTCTACTTATGTGTCGACAGTTATCACAATTGCCCGTACGTATTGAATAAACATTATTGTAGCCTCTGAAGGTCATTATCACCAGAAAATTCTACTGAATTTCTACTGAATTTTCTATTAACATTCGCCTGATTGAATTGAAAAATTCGGCAGCTTATCTCCGCGATTTTTTTTCAAGTAGAAATCTTCAATGGAAAGTAATCAATAAAGAAACCAATAGAATTCATTTTTTATGAAAAATTCTTCGGCTAAATTTCCTCATTTTTTTTATTTGATTGTTTTCAATGAGACGAGATGAAAAATAGAGTGGAGAAAACGGAAAAAAATTATGTCGAGGGAAAAATAGTTTCTGTTGCACATTTAAAAAAAAAAACTTTTCAGCAGAATCAGACAACAACTAGTGGATTTTTCAATAGAACTTCAATAAAAACCTGATAGAATTTTCTGTTGGGAACCGCGAGGTTTCTCTGCGACGATTTCTCACGCGAGAGACTATAAAAATTTCGAAATTCCACTTGATCCACAGGAAGTGAGAAGGCATTCAAGACAGGACTGGTTAACAATAACACGATAAATCAACTCACTGGGGACGTGAACCGGCGAAGACTTATGCACCGAGCCAAGAGCAAATCTCTGCGAATAAGCATCGTGATCGTTGCGGCATTCGTCATTTGGTGGATGCCTTACTACAGCATGATGGTTATATTCATCTTCCTGAATCCCGATGAACATGTAAATACAATTTTTTTTAATAAAATGTTTTTTTTCTGATTTCTTCGGCAAAAAATCGGCAAAAATCGATTAATTTTCACTATAAAATATATTTCCTCAAACATTTCAATCTAAATTTTCTCTGCATGAAGTCCCAACAATTTTATTACTTAAAATGTTTTTACTGATTTTCTTTTTCGTTGAAAAAACCTACGAAGATCTATTGATTTTTCCTATAAAAAATCATTCATTAATTATTTCAATAGAGTTGTTAAATAAAAATATAAAATATATGATCATAACTTGTCAATTAATTTTCCAGCAATTTCTGCCAGGGTTTAACTCAAAATTTAGAGATAATTCGATTATCCGAATTCCATAAAATTTCCTTACGAATGTGGAACACACGCGATGTGGGTGGGTCACGACTTAATTTTAAACCAGTATTATCCTCGTGGTTTCTCGCCCACAAAACCATAAGATACAAGTCACACGGGGCTTCCTTACCGTATCGATTTGTCTTTGTGAATTTTCTAGAGATGTAGAGAGCACTTTCGGTAGACACAAGTGCATATGGTACAATTTCCTTTTGAAGAGAATCCAGTCCTCTGTTTTTGCTAGGTCTCTGATAAAAGAGAAATGATTAAATTATTTCCAGCTGAGCGAGGATTTGCAGAACGGAATATTCTTCTTCGGCATGTCGAACAGTCTGGTTAATCCACTTATATATGGAGCGTTTCATCTGTGGCCCAAGAGACGACGTCCGGGAAGCAGACACAGGTAATATCGATATCAATCTTTTCATCTTGACTAAACCACAGATTTTATGTTTGTGGGGAAGAGAAATACAATGATAACATATGAGAGACATGTTTTTTCGTATTTATCTGCGGAAATGGTCTGGGATTGAATAATATTATGAAATCAAGAATTGTACACGTTTTTTAAAAAATTGAAAAAAAACGTTGTATCGCAAAAATTGCAGGCTCTGGACTATTTTTAATACTTTAAGTGTGGGCGGTTCTAGGTGAATGCCTCCCGGGCTAGTTATCCCAAACAAATGCCAATGGAATTTTTCACGGCCAAAACAATAATTTAGAGAGTGGAAAATATTAACTTCATTTTCACAGAAAAATGCACTAAAGACAACATCAAAACCAATCAGATACTTCACGATTCCCTCATAGAGTCATTTAGATTTTTTTCCGGAAATCCATACACGGAGAGAAATATTCAGTAAAAATTATGGAACAATTCACGTAATCCGCAATGGGGAATCGTTTCCCGACAATTTTTATAGGAATGGAAGAGAACAAATCTAAAACGTTCAGTGAATTTTCAGGTTCATCACCGAACAAAGTACGAAATTGTCACGTAATTTTTCCCGAAGAAGTAAAATCTTACAGAAACTTGCCGACTTGTTGTGCCTCCAAAATCAAAAATTCTTGAACATTCAACAATTTTTATGAAGCTGGTGAGTTATTTTTACATTTCGTTCCGTAAAATTTCTCAATCGTTGGCGATTCGTACAATTTCTTTTTTTCATTTTTCGCTTACGGATTACATTTCGAAACGTAATTTTTACGTCTTTTTTCTGATAATTTTTATTGAATTTTTCTCTTCGTGGAGGGACTAATTTTGTGTGCTATTGTCTTGGGTTACACACGGCTAGAAAATTACTCTTGAAATTTCAAGTAAAAAAGCTTGAAATTTTTAACAACGAATAATTTACGTGGAATTTCCATTGATCTTGTATTGTTTAAGAAAAATTATAAATAAAAAATCTCTCCCTCTGCATTATTTGCAGAGACGGTTCGACCATGCAGCACCACAGTACGACAACCCACGCGAGTTTTATGGCTGCCACACGGGGCGGTAGTACACGTGTCACGCGAAGCAACCCCCCAAGATGGGTCGAGACCAACATGCAAGGAAATTCTCATGCAGCTGATCAAGCAGTATTACTGAACCACGCGGACGGCTCTGGGAGCGGCGACGAGAAGAACGGCAGTCAAACAGCCAAACTCATACTACAGTACAATGTCGATAATCACGAATTCAGAAAAAAAGTGATTGATGGTCGTTGAGCGGCCTCAGTGTTAGCGAGATGGGCCAGGTGTTTTTTTAACATTCAAGGAATCTGGTGTCATTGCTCCATTCATCTTCATTCGCCATGACAGCATCGCACTCAGACTTTGATCCATCCTCAAATTCGTCATATCTACCTCAGATTTCCATTTCAGGATTTTTTTTTGTATTTTGATTGTAGACTACACTGTTGAAGGTTTCCGAGAGGAACTTTTAAGGAATTTTTAATTGATTATTGAGCATTGAGTATTGACTGATTCTCCCATTTATCTATTGTTCCACTAATAGGGGAGCTGGTGCCTGTACCGTCCAGCGGGTCAAAAAAATTTTTTTTCTTTTTTATTATGCAAATATTTGATAACAACGAGTAATTTCAAACAAAATTTTCAATTTTCTGCCGCGGAAACATCGTTAAAAAAATCAAAATCGTTTCCTACCGAATTCTTAAAATATTTCGACCCCAGAATTTAAGACTTTTCAAATTTCCAGTTGGTCCATAATTGAATGGAGTGCGAAATATATGTTCGTTATACATTTCCACATCCATTGCGACCTTTTCGATAGCAGAAAAATATCCTCATCAGTTATTATTGGCTATTTTATCAGCCTCCGCGTTTGTGGGTAATTCCGCCCAGAGTTTGTGGGTAATGCCGCTCAGGATTTCTATAGGGCTGCTAGACTCTGTAGCTAGAGGGCGGTCGGTGGCCACTGGAACATCGGGTAAATTCAGGATAATTTATTATTATTCACGTGAAATCTTTCTCAAAATGGAGCCAAAGGATGGAAACGAAGGATGAAAATAGGAAAAATTATAACAGTTGGTCTGCATTGCTCGAAAAAGTCAGGAACACAAGATGGGCGGTATGGAACGCATGCCGGGCGGTATTACCCTCAAAGTTTAATTCCATCGCTCACTGGACGATGGCAATTGAATTACATAATTAAATTCGTAAATACCTCGAAGAACCCGTTCTAACCGTTTATGACTCCTCGCAGAGTACGAGGCTGGAAAAAAAACTCATTTCCCTCAGCTCCTCTACATTCTCGGAAAAATGTTGAAATTTCATGGAAAACGTTGTTTGTGAACTTCACAAGTTCTTCAACCGCTTCCAAAGATTCACAAAGAGGAATTTAGGAACGGTGTCGTGACAAGAATTGAACAAGTTCCAAAATGTTGAACGATTTGTTCACCTAATCATTTACGTTCATTTTCTCATTCGTTTTTTAAAGTCAATTTTATGAAAAAAAATAAAACAATCGTTATACCGGGGGGGGAGAGGGTCCAGAAAGCGTGCATCGTAATATTGGAACGACCCCAGCACTGAAAATTTCTCCCAAAAATGTTTACCAGTGATAAATGTTAACAAAGAAAACAATCATTTATACTTATTAGAAAATTGAATCGAATTTTTATTGACACTCTGTTAGAAGTTGATAAAAATTCTATTAAACATTCTATTTATTTTTAGTGCTCAATTATTTACACACTATTCAGTAGAGAAATCAATACGTAGATTTTTTTCTTGTAAATTTCTTCACACGCGGCTTTATAGAGGTAAAGAATTTCTCTGAAATTCTGTTAGTTATTCTGGAAAAAATCCCGACACTCTCTAAATATCTTAAACGACTTGGTAATTTCACTCACGAGGCTATCAATATTTATTTCCACCGATAAAAACCACCGATAAGATCATGGAAAACTCCGCACTTTCCGAATAATTTCACATGAATATTCAGCGCTCCATAAAATCTATTTTTCTAATCGTTCAAGATTATCAGGGCAAGTTTGAAAATTCAAAGAATCTACTTTAATTATAAGCGGTGTCGCAGTGAAATCCCGTCGGATTACCTCGAAGGATCGGGGCAACTTCATTCACGAGAAGTATTCAATTGATATTCAATTCCACTCGTCAACTTGACCGATTCATTTAGGAAATATAAAAAACCCTCCGTAATTTCTGAACATGAATATTCACTGCCGCATGAATAATTCTTTCCTATTTATCGACGATTTTCGGTGATAGTACCCCGAGAGCTTCAAAATAGTCGGATATTTCCCGATAACTTCGTTGCATACAAACGAATCTATCAATTTTCGGGGATTAAAAAATTCCCGAGCGCTTGCGCGCGCGATTTTTCTTGCAAAACTTGACGCAATCGTCGAAAGGGTGATGGAAGAAAAGAACAAAAAATAAAACGAAAAAATTCAATAGCGAAGTGGTAAAACGGTTTAAGGCGACTCATCTCCCAGTTGAGTTTTTGATGAATATTTCCGAATCTAAGGGAGATAGCGAAATTTTCGTAATGACATTTGTTGTAGCTCTCAATCGGCTCTACAAAAAAGATTTTGAGCAAAATTTTGCTACCTCCCTTAGATTCTGAGATATTCATTGAAACCTCGCCAATAGTCACAATTGACTGGAACCGTTTTACCACTTCGCTACTGAATTCGACTCGAACTGCAGTGATATTCGACCAGAAGGTTCCAACGCAGATTTTCAACAGTGTAGTTCCCCAATGAGTCGAGAGTCTACACGTACCTACATCGAGATCTTCTCCTGCACGTATGAAAAAATTAAATAGAAAAACTTATGATTTTCTCCAAGAAATTCTCTTTGAAATTATTCAAAAATCCCATAATTTTGCGACTTTTGGAGCGATTGTCAATCAGATATTTCATGCAAAAAAAAAATTAAACTTCCTATGCAATTTATTCTATTGAATATTTCACAAGAAGTCGTCTTGGATTTCCCAATGCAAAATGGAAAATTCACATGAAAAAAATACAAATCTATTGAATTTTTCCTACCAAATATCGATTAAAAAATCGCACAGTGAAGTTGCAGAATTCCTTCATTTTTCTTCGATATGATTTCAATGAAATTTCAATGAATTCTCTTTTCTATCAAATTTTTCCATACGCGCCCGTAATTCCAAAGAAAGTGAAAAAACCAAGAGCATTTTCATTTGATACGAATCCCTCGATTAAATGCAACTAACAGAATGTTCCTACGAAATAAGTTTAATTAATTAATTTTAATTTGCAGTATTAGAACGTACGTAGTTGATCATCGATATTTATACGCCTCCAGCGCGTTATTCAGTTCTCAGTTGCCTCCGGCATTCCACTAAATATTTCCCCCAATTGGGTCTCACGTTTGTTTATCCACCGTAAATACCTGAAATTATGCGGGATTGAGTATCTCAAATGTCGAAAGACGCTCGTATTTACCTCGAAACATGCTGACATCATTTGCTGAAAGTTTGGGTTGACGACGTGAACTTCCACGCTATAATTAGTGAGTAATGCTCGGGCAGTTAATGGAAATATGATTACGGTTCGGTAGATGCTAAAATCGCATCAAAAACATGATTTTGTGTGATGAGTCGACATTTATCATTAGGAGAAATAATGAATGTTCGCTCGAGTCTAAATGTCATCTATCCTTTTGTTCCATTCTGAAATGTTCAGCTGCACGTCCGAAAAAGTCAACAGATTTTTATTTATTTACAACTCATTCTGTGTTTCATTCTTGACGTGAATTCCAGAATTCTTTTGCTTGAAATTTTAATGCGAAAAAATGCAGTGAACAAAACTAAAAAAACTGTTGATGTTTTTCCATCGAACTTTTTCGTCAGTGATATAACTAGAACATCTAGTTCTCTATTATATTATAATATTATCATATTATTGTATTATAACATTATTATTATTTTTATTTATAGTATTTAATTCAACGGACCGAGTAACAATGATTTTAAGAATATAATTTTCTGCAACATGCGGGTCCTAACGACTGAAATGTATTTTTTCCCAAAGCTTTTTTTGATATTAAGCACGAAAAATCCCAGTACCCCACTTACGAAAAAAATTTATAGAAAAGTCTAAAAAAGTCGCTGGGAAATTCTATTCGATTTCTGTTGAACTCTCCATTAATTTTTGGCCGATTCTATGGAGATATTTTCTACAGAAATTCAACGACTCAAATTTTCCAATTTTTAAAAATCTAATCTTGTTAATAAAAACAAAAAATAAAGTAAAAAAAGCTCATAAAATTCATATCAAGGAATTCTATAGAAAATGTCTCAATAGGAAAATTTGTATAGAAAGATGGAATTCTACTGATTTTTTCTATAAAATAGTTTCCATAGAAAATTCTCTATTAAAAACGCGCAGTGAAGCTGCGGAATTCTTCAATAAAAAGAAGTTCAATAGAAATCTAACAGAATTTTCTATCAAATTCGCCAACTTTTTCTGTGATTTTTTTTCGTACGTGCTTAATGTTCTAAGGATAAGGATCAGGAGAAGATGATGTAAAATAAGTGATAAGTGTATTTTAAACATAAGCATTTGACGATAATGAATAACGATGGAAAAGATTTCTAAAGAAATATATATTTTCGTGAAAGCACAAATCATTTCCATTATTACATATCGACCCCAGCTGATTCCAAAAGTTAACTCGATGTGACTCAACAATGTTGTAGACTATATCATCATTTACACTGAGAAAAATTATTCTTTTGTACTCTGGAATTGATATTAATGATACACTGAATAAAAATCAATTCGTGACTCGAGATTGGGTTAAGTGTCAAGACTTCACCTATTGACCGATTTTATTCGATAAAGTAACACCAGTGATTTAAATTGAGTTGGTTAATGTATTCTTTTTTTTCATCCTTCAGACGTGCGACACTCGACCCGAGAAACACCAAAAAAATTGTCTGTGGTATTGATTAACGTGTTCCCTTGCAGGTGCGCTCGTGTACAGCAACGCGATCGGGGTTGAAAGTCCTTTTGCAGTTCTTGCATGCCACCAATTGTCCCAGGTGACTTTTCCATCTTGCTTCTGACGTTGCGGACCAGTCTACCACTGGGTTACCAGGAGTTGACGCACCTGGAGACATGAAGGGATGAGATTGAACTGTGCAATTAATTTTTGATAATGTTTCTAATTGGGGGAAAACCTCACGGAAAAAAATATACTTGATTCAAGTATATTTTATACTTAATTGGGGGATGGGTATTTCAATTCAAAGATGATTCTTTGTATCCGGGCGGGTTGTAGCAAGCCCTCTTAAGGGTGCCAAGTGAATTTGAAAAAAGATTCAAAAAAAATTTTTTCTTTCCCTCCATCATTGGAGAAATATGTATTCATTCATCCGACGAAATTTCAAACCCGCAGCCGGAACTAGACATCGAGAAAATAAATGCGGAAATGCGGTACCCCATTGTTTTTTGTCGCCATCACATTGAACACATCATTCCCCATATCTTCAAATTTTTTCAAATTTTTCTTGAGTTCCTAGGGGGTTGAAACGTTCAATTTAATCAAAACTCCATAAGAGGCCGTGTATAAGACTGATTTTGTTTATTTAATTTCTCGATATCCATAAGTTCTAAAATTTTAAACTTGTCACTGATGTTCGCCATCTGTCTAATACTATTAATTAAACAAATTATCACTTTGTTGGTGAATGTAAATTTTCAAGGTCATCGCCAAATTCACTTGGCACCCTTAAGTGTAATATAAGGGTCAGGCATTAAATGTCAGAATATAAGGGTCAAAAAGTGGAAGTTAAAAAGTGAGGGTCAGAATATTAGGGTCAAACATTAGGGTCAGAATATAAAAGTGAAAAAAGTGGGTGTTATGCAATGAGGGTCTAAATATGAGTCATATATTATGCTTGATCACCGTTTTTAGCCCTTATATGACCCTCATTCCCTGACACCCACTTTTTTTACTTTTATATTCTGACCCTAATTTTTTGATCCTAATATTCTGACCCTCATTCCTTCACCTTTACATTCAGGCCCTCAGTTTTTGACTCTAATATTCCGACCCTCATTTTTTAACCTCCACTTTTTGACCCTTATATTCTCACACTTAGTGTCTGACCCTTATATGTTACACGTGACAGCGCTTGGTACGACCCGGGCTGATACGAAATAATCATTCTCGAAGTGAAACACCCGGCCCCCATTCGAGCAGAAAATATACTTGAAACAAGCATATATTTAATTCTGGTGTACAATATACTCAATTTAAGTATATTCTTATTCCGTGCTGTTGACAATGTTGTGAAATACTTTCGACCTCTTCGAGCCAGTGTTGATTGTTTTATGAAAATTCTGGGGAATAAATTTTTCAAGTTCTCTTCACTGCATTTTCATTAATTTCATATCACAAAATCCAAGAGGAAAACGTGCGAAATGGGGGGCTAAGAATTTTTATGTAGAAAACAACATCTGTCAATTCTTTCTATCGAATGTCTATGGGAAAATTCCACGGAAAAATTGCATTTTTCATAGGATTCCAACAAATTTATGATTAAATTCCGAAGGAATACACGATCGAATTTCCTAGGAAATGAAATTTTCCTTTTTATTTTCATTAATTAAATGTTTCTTATAGAAAAAGTTTTATTAGAAATTCACCACAAACTATCTAAATTCATGACTTTTTGTTCCAGAACTTTATGTACATCAGAATGCCAAGAAATATATCTGAAAAACTAAAAATAACCATGACAATAAAAAAATTTTGTCAGGAAATGTATGAATTGTCCACAGAACTACCCTCTAGTCATTTGTATACGCGATGGCAGTGTTTTTACGAGCTTTTCACAGCCGTGCGACCTCTTTCACCCTTAATTTTCAATGGTAAAGACAGTATTGACATGCACTATACGCTCCGACCGAAATTCCCTTGATTTTTTTCCCCACACGCATCATGGCATGAAAAAGTCAGAAAAAAAGCTCTTTGAAGGAAACTGCGCTGCACGAATTGATTAAAATCACTGCTGCGTACTTTATTTCGCCATTCAACTTCTCTGTCCCTAAAAAAATTCAATTTAAACATGAAACAGCGTCGCAAACGCAATAAAATATTCCGAGTCGTTTTAAAACTAGCATGAATGAAAAACACTTTTACATGCAGAACTGGCGTTCCCGCCGTTGGCCGAGCAATTCCCTTCTTCTGTCTTATATTTTATTTAAAAATGACGAATTGTTACAAATTTCCTCAAATTTTTTGGCGAAGCCTCAAAATCTCCAGAATTTTCTGGAAAACCCGAGAATGTTCTCTTTTTTTTGCAGTATTTCCTAGAAGTTTTCCCCAATTGTAAAGAATTTTCTTGAAAATTAGAGAGTTTTGCAGAATTTTTCTCCAAATTCTAGGTTCCAGAATATTCCAGATATTTTTATGCTGCATATCTGAGTATACAAAAGCGCCAAATTGCCCCAATTTTTCTATAAAACTCGAGAACTGCCTCTAATATTTCGAAAAAGCCCCGAATCTTTCCCAAATTATTCTTTGCATGATAATTGTCAATTTCCTCATATTTACGCAATTACACGCAATTTCCAATAAGCACGCAATTGATTAATTCTTCCTTCTTGAATTTTCATTCATAATGTATTTTCATGAATCTCACTAGCCCTCAAGTGGTCGCACAACGAGGGAATCCCCGCCATTTTTTCGATTTCTCGTTTCACGGAGAGAAATGTTCAGTAAAAATGACGAAACTCACAATTCACTCACCGATTACGGAATCGACTCAGAAAATTTAAGTGACGGTATCGTAATTTTTTACATGAGATTCAGATAAAAATTACGGAACGCTTCGGAAAAAGTCCGTGACAGTTCCGTAAAATTTCCTACAACCACATTTCGCTCCAGAATTACAGAAAAAAATATGTAATTTTTATTGATTATTTTTCCCAATCGGATTTCGACCAGAGCGCAGTATTTGAGGCACCCGACAGTTTTTTTTCGGACATTTCCTCGTAGCTTTTGAATATTTCGCACTAGCTCTTCATTTTTTCGGCTCATTTCAGATAGAATCTTATATTCGACAGTCTATGGAAATCGGGTTATTCTATTAACATAATTTATTCAAATCAGTAGCGAAGCGGTAAACCGGGTTAAGTCGATTTTTAGTATTGGCTAGTTTTTGACGAATATCTCGGAATCAAAAAGAGATAGAAAGATTTTTCTCATGACCTTTTTTGTAGAGCCAATAGAGCGTTATAAAAAAAGTCTTGAGAAAAATTTTGCTATCTCTCTTAGATTCCGAGATATTCAGTAAAAACTGGCTAATAGTGAAAATCGACTTGACTCGGTTTACCGCTTCACTACTGAAATCTTCCCAATTCACCTCCTGATGTTGTCCACTGCACTCTGCTTAGCCAAAATCCGATTGGGAAAAATAATCCGACAAATACCCCTCGAGATTCAAAATTAATCGGGTATTTCCCTCAAGCTCCCCTGCAAACAAACCATCGTGCCAAGTTTTGCAGAAAAATCCCTCGCACAAGCGCTCGGGATTTTTTAACCTGCAAAACTTGACACCCTCATTTGTTTGCAACGAAGCTATCGGGAAATACCCGATAATTTTGAAGCTCTTGGGGTATTGCTACTGAATATCTCTACGACGTGTTTTCCATTTTTTTATGAAAAACTTTGTAATCAATCTGGCTCGTGCAAAAATCGAGATATCGACTTGTTTCGCTTACAATACATGTTATAAACTTTTACAATCGTTTCTATAATTCCCAAAGACTTTCAAATGTCACGGCGGTCTGCCCTTCAGACAATTAATGCAGACAGAAGATTCCCACAGGATCTCCATCACCCCGGAACATGCTGCATTCCGAGAATTGTGTTCTCACCTGTTCCGGCACTGCAGTAAAGTGGAATGAATATGTAGCGCTTAAAATATAACACGTACGAGTTCACGAGATACACATGTTAATGCCATGCATTCATCGATTTTACGACGTGCGTTTGACCTTGGCCAATTTATTTATCAATTCCCATTCGCTTTATTTCGTCTCGTCGCGAAATACGCGACAATTTACTGTCTCATCAATCAAATCTCTTCCTAATTGAATTTTCCTGCAATTATTTTTTTTCTCGCTGAACGGACTAATGAAAATAGACGTCCCCCAGTGCCTGACTAATTAGTTTCGCAATCCTCTTCTGTTTTGTACTCGAGAAAATAATCAAGGAAACAGATATGATAAATTTCAATGGGAAACATTTCGTCTTTCGGATTACCATTGGAATTCTGTCAGAATTCTACTGCAATTCATAACAGAATTCACTTCTTTTATAGAAACTTTTGAATTTTTGCGCTGGATTTTCTTTATTTCTTATTGCAAGATCGAAGAAACAAACGTTGAAAAATTTATTTCCAGTATTTTTTTTTAGAAAAAAAAACTTGGAAGAATGTGTTACATAAAATAATTACGATCTATTGATTTTTTAAATATCTATATTTATTGGAAAACGCGTAGCAAAATTTTCTATCGAAACAAACGCAAAAACAAACTAATAAAATTTGAATTATTGATCGATAGAATTCTTAAAGAAAACGCTAGCTTTTTCTGTTTAATTATCACATGCTTGAAAAACCAAAAAAAAGCCCGTGATGTTCTATTTCCAGAAGTCGATTTGGATTTTTATATTATTATTATTATTATTATTATTATTATTATTATTCGCTTATTCGATCTGTTTCATAAGGTACAACCTAGGAACAGCAATCTTGGCATAAATATAAAATATATCAGAACGAACAAGTAAGTTTGTTATAATATAGAGAAATTTATTTTTTAGTAAAAATAAATAGATTGAAATAAAATTATTTAAAGTATTATTATCATTATTTTTTTTAGATGAAAATCTTCATTGAAAAATGCATGGCAAAGTTGCCTAATTTCCAAGAGAAATCTGATGATAAATAAAGCGATTTTTGTTACAGAATTCTTTAAAGAAAATGCTAACTTTTTCTATTGAATTGTTTCATACGGAAAAATCTAGAAAAGTAGAGGCCGATGATTTCCTATCAAAAAATGGCAACATGATTTAATTAATGGATAGATAAAATTTTGATTGTCATTCCTATTGAAATTGAAATAAAAATGCCCTCTGCATTTTCCACCTGTGTAAACTCACTGAAATTGCAACGAGACTGGATGTTTTTTTATTCCGCAGACAATATAAATACAAATTTTAATGAATGCATGGGTTGAAATTGAAAGAAAAAAACCGAATGGAGTGAGTGCCGGGGTAATTCATCAAGTGGATGACGTGTGCAAATCCGTTGTGCTTCATTATGACCTCTTGATCAGACGCTCAGGCCCCACTAGTTCAACTTCACGCTTTCGGGTAAATCGATCCAATAGGTCACTGAACCCACGTCCAACGCTTGACCAGGTGTACAACTCTGAATATTTAACATAATCATACGGTGCTGTTCTCCATTAGAGAGATTGTTTTGTTTGTGCCAGTGGAGTGTGGGTAGATGACGAGTTTAGATACAGTCAGGCCTTTGTATAAGATACCTTAGGGACAGTAGGCGAGTGGAATTCCCGTTTTTACTGAATGGATATTGATAACTAATAAATCTACACGAGTTTAAGGATGTTTTACCTATCAAGTGGACAACTCAGTTGAAAAGAAAACTAAAATTGACTGAATAAGTCATTCACGTTGCAAATTATTTTTCTCATCAAATTAGAAGGGTTATGGCGTACTTTTCCGGTCTCAAAAACAATAATTAAAGATAATGTTCGTAGATAACGGAGGACTTGGGGCTGCAGTGGTAACAGTCGAATTTTGATCGGGCAACATCGCACGCTTCGGCTAGTAGTGGGGTTGTAACAGTGAGATGAATGTTTGTGTGTGTTATACGTGCCCATATGCTTCCAGCACTGAATTATCGTCACCGACTTTACCGACCTCGATCAACTGTTGTGCGGTGTTGTCGCGTTGCTCGACTCGTAATGGCGGTAAAATTTTTTTTAGAGGAACTCGAAAATTAATCGAAGATATCACGCCTATATGGCCCGGTCCCCTACTTGTTCTCGCCGGCGATAGATTCTCCATAGTCTAAAGTAAATGGCTTGTGGTTTTTTTTCAATATCTTGAGTGTCTAACCCATGCAACATCTCGATCAAAGTTCACACGGTCACGTTTCTTCCCTGAGCGTAATGTTACAAGAAGGGATTTTCAGAAATTAATTTCTCACTAGGCTGTCCCGAAGGAAGGATTAAGATTATTATCAACGTGTGGCTCAAATATGAACCTGGCATATGAGACAATATCACAATTATGGTGAATAATGTGAGTTTTGGCTAGACATCCCTTAATCGCTCTTTTCGCGCTCGGAGCGCGAGGTATCTTATATGAAGCCTAGACTGTAGGGAATTTACGTACTGCTGAGGATAACTTCCGGTTTCTGCGGCTCCTGGCGCCTCTGGCTCAGTGGTAACTTCCCATTCTCCATGTGCCACTTCTTCAGACACTGCGGCTCGTGTATTTCAATACTCGTGGAGCCAAAATCACGGCCGCATATGTAACACGTCACCGTTTTTCTCTGAAATGTTGTGATGAGAGTGGAATTAATCCGGGGGAAACAGAGGGGTTTCGTTCGTGAGTGGAGCGAGGACTGAATGAGTTATTAGTTGGGGAGAGAGTTAGAGGACACAAATCATGGGTATCTCTCGCACGGATTAATATGAGTTGTGAGGCTGTAATTTAATTGCAGAAGTAGTGGGAGAGGGAGCTTAGGCATAATTTCGGGGTGAGTAAGTGAACTTCAGAGAGAATTACAGGTTTGCTGCAGGAATTATTCTAATGAAATTTTATTGGAGTTTTCCCTTGGATAATCATCAGATTTTTTGCGCCAATCCTTCTGAAAATTATACAACTTTTCCGCGACATTTCCTTGAGAGATATTTGATAGAAGAAAGCCAATAGATTTTTTTTTACCGAAATTCTTTGCCACAAATTTTTTTAAACAAAGTTTATTCCACAATTTTTTTATTTATTTGTCATGATAATATCCTAGATAAAACTTTGGAAATTCATGCTAAAAAATTCTAATGGAACTCCAACAGAATTCTTGTGGAATTCCAATAGAACGTCACGAAAATTTTTTAAAGGGCGCGCTAGGTTTTCTCTATTTAATTTTTTCATGTGTTATTTAAATATGATATTTCCTAGAATCCAGAATGCAGGCATCTCAACTTCGGAAATGAACATTTGTTGATGGAGATTTGTTTGTTCCCTATTCCCGATTCTTTAATGTATTCATTCTGTGTGAAAAGTAGAACATATCAGGGCTTAATCAGACGTCGGCGCCCATCAGCAACCCCGAGCTTATCGCTGAATCTAAATCCGAATTTCAACTGCCTAGGGCGAACATTTTTGAGTGCCAGAATACAGTCAGTCTAGATTTTTATTCACAATATTTCCAGAATAGTTAACGACCTAGTTCTGACGCAGACAGATACGCACACGCACGGACAGACGTTATCACGAAATATCGTGTGATTTTATGTCAGAAAGAAGAAGATTAGAACAAAACAAATTTAGAAGCAAAGTGGTAATTATTAACAATAATTATTAACAACAGCCGTTATTTTAATTATAAGATTAATTTCTCAACTTAAGAAGATGAATAATGAGGAAATATTAACTATGGGATTGTCCTAGAAGAATTTGTCATAGAATTTGAATGAAAATTCGATCATTCTCATCGGATTTCTGATTTCATACGGCGCGTATGAGAAAATCGAAGAGAAAACCTAGTGCATTCGCTAGAAAATTCTATTAAAATTTTATTGGTTTTCGATTGAAATTCTATTGAAAAATCGTAAATGAAAAAAAAATATTATGTCAAAATTTGATGTTAAATGTTGTTTTTTTGGGTCATCTCCCATTAAAAATTATGAAATTTTTCAGTTTGAAAAGTATATGAGAAACGAATTTTCCAAGTTTTTGTTTAATTTTGCGTCAGGAAAAAATCACAGGAAAAAACAAATAGAATTCTCAATAAAATAAAAAACTAAAATTCCAACGAAAGCACTGGGATTTTCTATTCAACTTTTACATATGTGAATTCATCTTTCGTTTTCTGGAAAAATGTGAATTCTTGGCTAGAGACCATCGGGTGACGAATTCCTCTAAAAATAATGCTAAAAATCAAATTCCCAAGAAAGTTCCGATACTTTATAATTATCTCTCCCCGATTTCCTCCCGAGGTATTCCAGTTCCTTCATAAATCTCTAGAAATGTTCCTGGAAAACCGATACGAAACAATCAGACCCCCGAGCTCTACGAATACCAGGGGAGTTTTTATAACTGAAGGACGAGAGTTGGAAGATCTAACGAAGTTTCATGCGTCAAGTCTCTCCCGTCAGTTTATCACCATCACTGAACCAGATTCCATTACGGTTTTCCGCCGCAGTTGAATGAGTTTAACTTTTCACCCGAATTGTTTGAATATTTCGAGGGTAAATGTAATTGCCGTTGCGATGACTATGGAACAATTTCGCAAATTGTTTCTCCTGTGACGCGTAAGTCTTTCCCCAATTCTTATATTAACACGTACACTGACAGAAAAATTTAATTTTATCAAGAGAATTTTATTTCAACCAAATCTCATTTGGTTGTTAATTTCCAAATAAACATGATTTCATAGTGAATACCAGTTATCTCTTCTTGAGATACATTTGATAGGGAGAAATCGAACTTCTCCATAATTGAAGTTCCTTTTATTTGTCGCAATAATGAGGGTATTTGATTTCTTTCTAGCCAAAAGTTGGCCAACTCCAGAAATTCGTTGGTTTACTCAAAAATCAAAATTATTCCCATGACTAAATACCTTGTTATCTCAATCAACACGATCATACGTTGTTCCAAGTAAATTATAATTGAAGTGAGCATTTCGTATGTCGAATCAGGAGGAATATTGTTACGCGGAAAAAGCTTTGGGATTGTAGTAAGATGTCGTTGAGTTGAAAGAAGTTTATATTTCTTGACTAAAAAAAATCGCATTACTTTACAATAACAGAATCACAGATTACGGCAATTCTACACAAACTTGGATATCACAAATTTCGTTCAATGTGATGTACGGAAAGCTCAATTTAAACATCGGCTTCATTCGAGAAAACAACATTCAATTCATTCCTCAATGTAATCATCTCCTAGGTACGAATTTTTGATCAATTCATGAAAGTAGAAAATTTCTCGGCTGGAGATTATATTAGATTTTAAAAAATTGAACTTTTCCGTTTTTGTGGTGAATACATGTGACTCGACAAGGACTGTTTTATTTAATTCAAGTAAACGTATCTCAAGAAAAAATAATTGATTTTGACCTTAAGATCTTATTTATTTGAAATTAGTTCAAGTATATAATATTTGTTTCCAGAGAAAAACATCTCAATAAATGTTCATTCATTTTCAATTGAGAGTCAGTGGAATTTTTTATCAAATTGCTAGGTTTTTTGGATTGCCCACAAATTGAATGAAAAAATAATGTACTTGTAATGGACTGGAGGATGAAACTTTTTCACCAGACTCCTGACGCTTCGGTGGCTCTTTTTTCCGTTCACCCACTGGCAGTCCTTCATTCTCTGTCTGCCATCGTTTCAAGCACTGTGGCTCGTGAATTTTAATACTCGTGGAGCCAAAATTCCGCCCACATACTGCACACTGAACAGTTGTTACGGAACGAGTGCTGGAGCTCTCAGAGTGATCGGATCTGTCTGACTTACTCGAGGCTGAATTTTGCTGCGAAGAGGGATAAAACACAAGCGAATCACAATCATCGTAATTGGGGCATTTCAATCACAGGCAGGATTGACAATTTGTGAATGGTATTTGCAGTGAAATTCCACAAATTTTCGGGTTTCAACACAAAACTCCAGTGATCGGAGCTCAATGTTTTGGAAATACGAAAAAAATTAACAGAAAAACGTATAGAATTCTGTTGGAGAATTCCACATTTTTTTCTGATTTTTTTTTAAACGGGAATGCTCAATGAATTAATCAACAGAATTAATTTTTTCTGAAAGAGTAGAAATTTTTTTTTTTCAAGAGTATTTTCATGAAAAAATTGAACTCAAATTCACATTTTACGTTGATTTTCAAATGGACTTGTAAATTCTCAATGACGAAATTCCTTGAAATTTCAGTAGAAGTGTCACGTAATAAAAATTTGCAAAAAGTGCGCTGGAATTGAAAAAATGCAATCACTCTAGTGGAAATTTATGAACTTTTGTGGAATTTCGTATTTTCCCCAGACTTGTTGCATGTTTTTACTTCAATAAAAATTCCTGCATCAGTGACTCATTCATCAGAAAATTCTATTAAAGAATTCCGCAGTTTATCCGCATTTTTTTTTTCAGTAAAAATATACAATGCAAAATATTCTATAATAAAAATCAATAGGATTCAATTCTTCGACTCAAATTTTCCAAGTTCTTTTGCTTGATTTCACTAATGAGACAAAAAGAAAACCCTCAGGAAATTCACGTCGAGAGATGCCTACAGGGAATTCCCCAATACAAAAATCTATTCCATTCTATTCCATAGAAAATGAAATTCTCCTCCATCTTACTGCGACTTTTTCGATTTTTCAACTTCACTAAAAATGTCTGCATCCGTAACTTTTTCACCAGCGATAAAAACCCTTAACGGCTCATTCCAAAGCCTCAACAGATAACGAACCAACTTCCTTCGCCGCTCTCATTGCCGTTAGTCATTCATTCAGTCTAATTATCTTTTATTTTTATTACCTTAGCGGTAGCTTTGCAACTTTTTTGATGCACCGGCAGTCGGTCGGGCAAAAAGGTCCTCCCACACTTCCAGCACGGCACCAATTGCGTCTGGGAATGAAAAATTCTCATCAAAGAAGTACACCATTACCTGAATTTATATTCGAAATGTCACGAGTATTTACGCTGCTGCACCTTGAAATCTTTTATTGCAATATCCCCGGCAACCCCAGTTGGAAAAAATAGAAGAGAATTGAACATGTAGATCACAATAATTTATCGAGCAATCAGCGGACATTTAGCTTTGTCTTTCCTTCACATTCCTTTTTCACTTCATTTTTCATGACTGTGAGCACCGGAATTGCTCGACGTATATCCTATGACACTTACTCCCTTTCAAAGGGTGGGGGAGCCAGTACACCGGACATTAATATCGATTGTTCACTATCAAATGTATGATAATATGTTAGCCGGTCAATCGAGGAAAAAAACGGTGTCAATGTCTAAACTCTGGGAGTCAGACGATTGCAATTGCTTATGAATTTATTATTATTCCCGGGGGTTGTGATGCAGTTGAGTAATTTTTTTCTCGTTTGGGGGATTCGTGGGGGTCTCCTGATATTTTAAATATCATGGGGATTTTCATTTTTTTATAGGTGAGGATGTCTAAGTAAACAGTTGAGCTGTTTTCTCTCTAGTAAAATGATTTTCTACTTTTGTTGTCGAACATCAGAGCTTTTATTCAGATCCCATTTGGCCATAAGTTTCCGGATATTTTACAATGATTTTATTGTTTAAATTTTACAGGTCTGAAGTTGAATGTCGATATTAAACCGTTAGAAATGATTTTAACAATCTGAAAAAAAAATTAGAAAGTTTACTTTTGGAGAAAGATTGATGAAATAATTAAAAAATTGCAATTTTCTAAAATTACGAGTATTTTTTATAAAGAATTTACTAACAATCAATTTTCCACCATGAAAATCGTTCGTCCTAAATCGTAACAAATTTATTTAATTTTATTCTATTAAAAAAATAAGGTTTCCGAAAGTTTAAACAATTTCAATTATTTATTTATAAACAACGCATGTTTAAAATAATAATGCTGTGCAAAATGTAATTTGAATGACGCTGAATATTCATGATTTCTTTTTTAATTTATCTCACGCAATTTAATTTATTAATTTGACGGTTAAAAATGGGATAGTAATGGGTTTCACTGATTAATTTTGCGACATCATTTAATCGCTAAAAAATTCAGTTTCTATTTTTTAAAAAGCAACGAAATTTGACTGCTCTAGTCCACAAATTTGCTTGAACAATTCATTCTTCTGAAGAATCGAACACAAATATTCAACGAAAATCTCGAAATTCATGGAGCTTTTATTCCAAACTTCAACACAAAATTTTCAACAGTGCAAATAAAATTAAAAACTGGTGAATGCTCCACCAACACAATCAATCATTTCATCCTCTCCCGTTGCATTTCCCGCCATCTCGTATGACTCATTAAAGAGTCATTCATTACAAGTCTCGCGAGCACTTGGAATTCACGAATAAATTAATCGATTCCCCCACCACGGAAAAAAATTTTTTTCTGCTTGAGGAATTGCGGTCTTCGTCCATAATCACCTGAATCATTGAATACCTAATGCAAAAATAATTGTCTCGCAATCTAAAGCGATCTGGATCGTTCTGAGCTATGCACACAGTTCTATACCCCCGCGACAAAGGGAGCCTATGTGGAGCAATGCTTTTCCACCTTCGAAGAAATAATAATATCTGGAATTTGAGGGCAAGTGAAGTGGGTTAAAGCTCCCTTACACGATTAGAAACAATGAATATGCACTTCCGTGTGGTTTATGCGCATAATTGTGGCGAGAGGGTGCACGAGACCGGGGGATAAGCACTGAAATACCTGAGATAACTGCCAGGCGGCTGTGTTCCATTCTTGATGGTCAATTGGGACGACCGGACGCTGAGGTGGCGGACGCTTTTGAGAGGGTGGCAAAGAATTATTTTCCCGCTCCCATCTCTACAAATTAAGAAGAATATTTCTAACACATTAAAATGTTCTCTATCTTTCTCTTCATACACCCAAAAAAATGGCTTATGCGGAGAGAAAAATTCAATAAAAATTACCAGAAAAAAACGTAAACATTACGGTTGGAAACGTAATCCGCGAGCGAAGTAAAATTCAATAAAAAGTGTGAGTCGGAAGTGAAATTGTACGAATCGCCACGTAAATTCTACGATTTGTTCCGTAAAAATTAACCACCGGTCTGATGACTCACCGCTGTGGGGACAAGTCGTTCCGTAATTTTCCCCCAACGATTGAGAAATTTGACGGAACGGAACGTAGAAATAACTCACCAGCTTCATAAAAATTGTTGAACGTTCAAGAATTTTTTATTTTGGAGGTTTCATAAGTCGGCAAGTTTCAGTACGATTTTACTTCTTCGGGAAAAATTACGTGACAATTTCGTACTTTGTTTGGTGATGAACCTGAAAATTCAGTGAACGTTTTAGATTTCTTCTCTTCCATTCCTATAGAAATTACCGGAAAACGATTTCCCATTGCGGAGTACGTGAATTGTTCCGTAATTTTTACTGAATATTTTTCTCCGTGTATTTTAAGATTTGAAAAAGATGTGAAAAAATTAATTTCAATGACGCTGAATATTCATGATTTTTTGTCAAATTCTTCTCACGCAATTTAATTGACAAATTTGATGGTTGAAAATGGTTGAGTCTATAGTGTGGTCTGTGCTAAACTGAAAAAGAAACTTGGATATCCTTAATTTGACACTTTAGAGGGCTTGTGAATGCCTTAATTTAAGAGTCGCAGAACTCAACTTGAAGAAAAATTTCAAATTTCATTTTTTTTTGAGTTCCCAAAATCCTTCACTTGAGGCATTCAAAGTTTTAAACCCTTCACTTAAGACGTTCGGGCTTCAAATTCAAACTTTTGAAAATTTCATTTTGAGACCTTTAAAATCCTTCGGCGTTTCGGCTTAAAATTCCCACTTTTGCGTGAACTTCCTAATGAAATATGAAAGTGTCAAGACCCACGAAAAAATCTACTAAAAATACCCAGCGAATTCGCTAATTTTTCAATTAAATATTTTTGTCCGTGCGAACTTTGCAAAACTATGTCGAGCAATTTCCGCAGAATAGCTACAAAATATAGGACTCCTCACCACAATAAATTGTACAAAAAAATAAAAATCTCTAAAACAATGTTATTCAAACAATCTGCAAAAAACAGTATCAATTTCCATCAATTCTTTCGTACATGTCCTACCAATACTATCCCCTCATCCCCCTCCCTTTCAATCAAAAACCTTCACAATGAATTCACCAATTTGTTCCAAAAATTGTAACCACAATTGCATCCAAATTGCGAGCGCGTGCCACCCCATATGCAGAATAAATACCTCTTCCATAATTCTGTGCATTCAAGCCCTCCCGATTGATCAATCCCCACTAGTGATGCCGTCGAGACTAGTCGAGAATTATCTTGAAGAGATCATCACGGTCTGGAAAAACATCGAAAGTTTTGGAATCGTGTGCATCTCGTCACAATTCCGGGAGGATATATCTTGCCTGGATCTCGAGATTTTCGGTTTTCCAAGTTCGCCAGACGAAACGAAACAGACATCGAGACAAACATTTGAAAAACAGAAAATACTGAAACTCAGACGTGATGGATTCTTCCAAATTCGTGACGAGATGCACCGATCCAATGTCTTTCGAGATAACGACGATTCATAAACTTTTGATGTTTTTTTAGACCATGATGATCTTTCCAAAATAATTCTCATCTAGTCTCGACGGCATCACCAATCCCCACCCCAATTAGTTCATCTAAACATCAAACGCATGAGAACCCACCACATGCCGAATAAAAAACGCCTCCATTGCGTAACGGTGTGTATTTAACTATGACTCATTCCGTCTCCATCGATACGAATGAAAAAACAATAGGCAATTCAATTTACCAGTCGATTAAGCCGGGCAATCATGCCCCCCTCAGCCGATACACAAAATAACAATTGATGATTTTATATTGTTTTATTGACCAAAGGTGATGAACATGCAGAGTACTCTGATTAAAGCATGAATGATCGCTGGTACGATAGTCCCGATGATTTCTTGAAAATGATAAAATAAACTGTTCGTCTCAGTGATTACCTGCATGCACTTGGGCTCGTGTATGGGAAAGCTTGCGGTTCCGAATTCCCGTGCGCAGATGTAACAAGTGACCGTTCTGGGGCCTCGCCTGGCGCCCGCCGAGGACTCGCGAATTTTTTCTGCGGGCGAGTCCTTCGGCACTTCCTTCGCCTTTAACTTGTTTTTTTCGCTCTGGAAATTCAGCGCTACCGGCTTTTGCGTTGTTTTCTTTGTCATGTCCTTCGGCTTTCCCGCGCTCTGGTCCTTGCTGATGATTTTGGCGGGCAGAGCACCCTTCGGGTGGCTGTGCAGACGCTCCGGCTGGTCCGGACGACCGCACGTGGTGCACGGCTCTGGCGTCGTCTTCGTGGGACCAGTGAAGACTTCAATCTCCGCTGGCCGGGACGACTTTACCATTCGCACGGTTGATAACGACGACATGACCTTGTTGTTGCGATTGTTGTTGTCGTCGAGACGTCGCACTTCCGGGGACAACTGTCGTCTCACGCCCAGTGGCACTAGGGTCTGCTCCATCAACACGTGCTCGAAGCTACGTCGCTTCTGACGCGTCGTCTTTACGTCTGCTGTGCCACGACGATCCCCACCCAACTTTCGTAAACCGTGACGAATTTGTGTCATGGAATCACTCAGTACTTCTTTACTCAGCAATGACATGTCGAGCTTGTTGACTAAGCTTGGATCAAGGACACTTGGCCTCTCTAGGTTCGCGGTTTTTGGGCGCTCGCTCGGGTCGTAGGGGGAGAGCTTCTTTATTTTTGGCGGCCAGGTGCCTGTGTCGGCCGCTGATTTCGATTTTTTACGGTGGGGCGGCTCTTTCACCGTGCAGTTCGCTGGGGGAGAGGCGAAGGGTGAGTGGGGCGGATTAAGTTGGCGGGTGAAAGGAAGCTTTTTTCTTTTTTAGAAAAACCTAGCGAGTTCGGTAGAAAATTCTGTTGGATTTCTATTGGACTTTCTATCAGTTTTGGAAAAGAGGCGATAGAATTCGATTTTTTTATGCAAATTATTCTCTTCAGATATTTTCGATAGAATTTTCTCGACTCAAGTTTTCTAACACGTGTGACAAAATTGAATAGAAAACGTTAGCGAATTCGCTGGGAATTCTATGGGAAGTCTATTAGAATTCTAGGGAAGTCTTGTTGAAATTCTATTTGTTTTCTGCGCAGATTCTATTAGATATTTCATAGAAAAATTAATAGTTTCCGATTTTTCAGTCTGAATTTTTCAAAACCTAAAAAACAAAAAATTACAAAGAATTCTTACTGAGAAACTCTAAAGAGAATAAGAACAAGTAATGCAGAAAAATTGAAATCTATTGACTTTTTTCCATGAAATTGAATACCGTACAAAAAAACTAATACAATTTTCTCTAGGATTCCAAAGTAATTCAAATATGACTCTAGTACTTTGTAACTCTAATCGAATTTTTTAGAGAAAGCGCTGGATTTCTAGTTTTTTTATTAAATTTTTCCACACGCGTAATGGATTATTCTAGGAGAAAATATGGGAAGACCTTTTTATAAGTGAATTTACTCCAACAAATGAAACCCCTAAATGTACGAAGTTTACAAAGTCGTTTTTTACGCTTTTTGAAGCGTATTTTACACTTGAAGTTGACGCGTAACTTACGCTCAAAATCGCCGTAAATTACAATTTCATAAATGTAATTTACGATTTCGTATTCATAAATTGCACTCAAAATCGCTGTAAATTACGATTACACACACGTAATTCAGGATTTCGTATTCGCAAATTACGATATTTTTTCCGTATTTTACGTCTACTTAGGAGAGGTTGGGGTAAAATGGACACATTTGACTTTATTTAAAATGTTAATGACGGGTTGAAATGTTGATAAAACGTCATATTTTTTTTTCATTGCAAAGAATAATTCTTTCCCTTTGTAATGAGCCTAAACTGAGCTCAATTGATAAATTTGTTTCTGAGTTATGAGTAATTAAAACAAAAGTCTAAAGTGTCCATTTTACCCCACTCCCCCCTATCCATAATTAACGGTGATGAAAAAAAATCAATTTAAGCGTAAAATACGATTTTTCCGTAAATTACGCACAAGTAAATCCTAAAATACGTTTCCATTAAAATCCCAATTAACGATTTCTTGAGCGTGAAACGACTTAATGAAACGTAAAAGACGCTTTGTTTGTGCTCAAAATAAGTTCAGCAAAACGTAATTAACATTCAGCTTTTCCTGTGTAAACTTCCTCATCATCGAAATACTTTTATGTTCGGAAATCCGCGGAAAATTGACTCTCTCAATCAAATATCAGTACAGACTGGAGAAAATTACCTGCCAATGCCTCCAAATCATCTTTAATAATTAAGAACGTCTTCTCAGGGAGAAATTCCGTTGGCGTCCGCCTCCACTTCATCGCGATACGACTCTTCAAATCCACCGTGAATTGAATCGCCGGACCGACGTTCCTTATTTTTTCAGATTTTCGGGGTTTAATATCTCAATCGATTCACAAATCCAAGTCATTATCGCGGGGGCGGTGAATTTCTGCAAGAAGTGGACAGTTCCCTCGGGCTTTTTTCAAACATAATTTAGATTATACCGTGAAATCGCAATTCCAAGCCCAAATCCGGCTGATGCCAGGCACTCGGATCGATTCATTAATCACAAAACTTCAGCACTGGGTGTTACATCGCAGATAAACGTGACATTTAAACTCATTTCATTTGTTCTTCGCCCCGCGATACGAATAATCGAACGACTGAGGCGGGATCAATCGAAATGTTGGGGGTAATTTCCAGAAAGAAACGCGGTTTCTCTGTATTTCGAGATGGGGATTGTCAGCATTTTAGCGGAAAATACACGTGATAACTCAGGGTGAATGATTGCAGCGGGGAGTTACGCTTGTTACGACTCTTTGGGGGCGCGGAGCGCGAGAAACTACTGTGGAAGCAGGTAGTTTACCTTGCCATTGGTTCGATATACACCTCTCTCTCTCGGTTTTCCTTCGTTGTGGTCGATTTTCAACCGGTGATACCGCACAGGTGGCCAGTGGTGGTGAAAAAATCGATCCAACATGTTACCATGAAACGATCGCCCTTATTTACTCATTGTTAGGCATATGGAAGTGCGAATTGTAGCTTTTTGTGGGGCTCTTCATTTTAGAACGCAGTCATAACGATTGCACACACGAAATTATAGGATGTGAGCACTTTAGTCATTGTCTAGCACACTGGGAGCTTCTGAAATTTGAGTAATGGAAGGAATTCTCTGCGGTTTTGCCCAGAAAACAGAAAGAAAAAATTTATTTAATTTTTTTTTTAATTTTCTGTTAGTTTTTGGCTGATTCTATTGAAATGTTCAATAGAAAAAGTCAATAGAATTCGACTTTTCTATGTAACTTATTCTCTTCAGATATTTTCAGCAAATTAAATGAAAATGTTTACCTAATAAACAAGAAATCTGCATTTTAGTGAACCGCAATAATCATAAAAAGGTTTTCTCTCGCTCTGAATGAAGGAAAAACGCTTACAAATCAGAATAATTCAATTTATTACACGCTATTTACATTCATACATTGATAATCAGTACACAATGATAAAATTATTTGTCCCCCCAGTATTGTATCATCCCGATGACAAACACTTTTCGATTCAGTCCATCGAACTTATCTCCTGTATCTGTACCGTTTGAAATGGAACCACAACTGAAATATGTTGTTATGAAATTGACACCTGAACCCTCGTTTGTATGAGTACTCCCACTCCCTGCTGACGATTTTGAAGGCGATATCCTCGTAGGGCGGCCCTGCATGGAATCGTAGGATAGCAAAGTCTCTGTTATCACTGCAGGGTGTCTAGAACAGAAAAAAAAATTATCAATCCCTTTCGAGAATTGTGTTAAAATAGAGTATCATGAAGGAACAAATTTACAGGAAAATTTAGTAGAAAAACTTTCTCCGAGAAATTCTATTGGAATTCTCTAAGAATTCTATTAAAATTTTATTAAAAATTCTTGTGCATAAATTTTTCAAGTTTATTTTCTTGGATTTTTCAATGAAAAAAAAAAACATAGTTCAGAAACTTGATTCATATTTAATTGAAAGTCAATATATATTAACGTATCTAACTCCTTCCTTTTAAATTTTCCAACTTTACTCTCTTGGATTTCTCAATGAGGAAAACAAAAACACAAGAGACAAAAACTTAGAAAAATCATGTCCAAGAATTTTCAATAGACAAACTAAACTCTTAAAAGCAATTCATCCCCTAAAGTCAGTGTCTATTCACTTTAGTCTAAAATACCCACTAAAAATCACACGACAAAGTTCTCCACAATTCCAATGAAACTCCAAAGAAAGTGAAAAAGCGAAAAAATTCCCAGAGACCTCTAGATATTTAAGCCCATCTCCTTCACAAATAATCAAAAAAACAAATCCTCACCAAGTAATATTCAGGAGTCGTGCTCTTGTCGATCAAATCAGGGTAAAATATATTGAACTTGTACCCCTGTACAATCTTGGGTGGCGGATTATCCATATCATAATGCGTCTGATTGTACTTGTTCCACTCGAAGCCAGTGTGCACCCGATTAAAATACCTCGGTTTTCTGGGTCGATACTTATCGGACCACAGATAAATTTGCGCCTCCAAGGAAGTCTCGACACTGAACTGCGCCTCATCTGACCCCATATTTTTCCTCGCCTCTGCATGCAGAGCCTGCTCCTCAGCAGTCATGGCACTCTGCACTTTGTTCCCAGTGCTAAACACCTGAGCCCTGGCATACTCAAGCCTCTGTGTGTCCTCCTCCTCCAGAGTAACGATAGTTCCCGGCTCAAGTTGAGAAGTCGACATGTATTTGGGGGAGTAGCCACCGGACTCGTACTCTCCAATGGACTCTGACAGCATGTCCTCAGCTGCAGTTGGCGCCTCTTCATCGTCAGATCCCTCGTCGTCACTCTTTTCCTTTCTCTCGATTGCTTCCTTCTCTTCCTCTGTATTCTCCACTCTTGTTGTCTCACTTTTGTCCTCAGAGCCATTGGCCTCGCTCTCTGCCCTGGCCACTCCCTGCTCAGCCATCAGGACCTCCAGCTTCTTTCGCAAGTTCTCCTGGTGACGATCTCGCAGACGAGCCCTCGCCATGTGGGCCTTCAGTTGAGAGAGCAGACTCTCCCAGTAGCCAATGTCCACTCCTTCAGGCTTGCCTGATATTTTCTCTTCGATTCTCAGTTGAATACCTGTGGGAATAGATTATTTGGTATTTTTGCTTCTGAATGGAATCGAATTCTTTGAATTTGTTTTGAATTTTTGTATTATATTGACCCAGTTTGATGCAATAAGTCCGAAAATGCAATTTTTTTTTATTTCGTTGCACGTTTGTAACAAACTTTTTCTTCAATCGTTCGCTAATGAATGGATGGAATTGAATCTTTTTTTTTCAAATGTAGGTATTGTTGAGTCCTATCAATCACCATTAATTAAATGACAATTCATCAATTAGCTTTTTAAATTTTCGGTTGTCCCATGATAACTAAAAAAAATGTTCCGAATTGATTGAGTGAGGCTTAAAAAATTTGCTTGGATGTCCTCTTGACCGAGTCCAAAGATGATGGCGACAGCAAAAATTTTGTTTTTTTTTAATATTAGAATTCCGGGGATATCTTTGTATGTCATGCTTCGAATGAATTGAATCATAGCTCAAAACGTTTGTTTTAATGTCATTAACTCGAAGTTAAAAGATGATTACGATAGCTATTTTGATTGATTTGATTTTTATGGTTGTTGAAAATTTCGAATTTGTCATGAATTTCTCTGAAAGTGAGCTTTCTAATGGTGTCTTCAAATGTGATGTTTCAAATTCATTCAAGCATGTACAAATAAAATTTTCCATTCATAATTCTGACCAGAAGGAAATATCTATTCAATTCACGCCCCGAAACCAAACTCCACTGAGTATGAAAAAAATCAATAGAAGAACTCAGCACTTTCTCAGAAATATTAATGAATTTCTATTGGAAATCTATTAAAATGCAATTAAAATGCTATTAGACTTCCATCAAAAAATGTTTTTTGTACGACTTTTGTTAAAAATTATACAATGTGTTTAGTTTAGTGTTTATAACCATGTGTTTTCTGTACTTATTATTGACAGAAAAAAAGTATTTTTCAGTGAGAATTCTTGGTCATGAATATTCCAAGTTCTTCATTATTCAATTCCACTACGACAAACAAATAAAAATACAGCAGATAAACTTAGAAAATTTAAGACCAACAATGTCTTTACAGAAAAATAAAAATCTGTTTGTTGTTTCTACCAAATTAGTCCTAAAAAATTATCATTTCAAGCAGTATTGCATCCTCAAAACCACCCGAAATACAACCCGACAACATTTCCCCAAAATAGCGATAAAATCTCCATCGAAAATACCTTCCAACTGGGCCACAGTCTTCCCCTTGAACGTAGCAGCAACATCCTTAACAACCGACTCATGTATCCCTTCCCTCCTCTTAACAGCCACTTCGTACTCCGACCTCTCAAGTTTCTTCAGTTTATAAAGTTCGTCCTCCACAATAACAGTGATGTCATTCCAGTAGTCCAAGTTTCCACCCCTCTCGAGTTCCTTGTAGACCTTGATGTCTTCGATGAGGTCCTCCAGGTCCTTCACCTGGAGCCCCCTGAGGTAGGTGTAAGGCTCGTGCATCTCCACAGCATCGACTTCCTCCTCTGCACTTATGTATTTCGCCAGCAGATCAATGGGTTTGGCTCGTCCATCCTGAATACGAATTCGAGATCTGAGTCTCGCCTGCTCCAAGTGAAACTGGTCCTCCTGTTTCGCCCACTGCTCCAGCTGTGCTGCCTCTTTCCCCCTCTGGAGCAACGCCATCTCCTCTTCTCTCTGCTGTCTCTCCAGCTCTCGCTCCTGTCGACGTTTCTTCACTTTCTCGAGCTCTCGCTTGTTCTCCTCCTGCTTGTGGCGATTCCTCTGCTCCAGGGCCTCGTGGCTCACCCCCAGGAGACCCTCTTTCTCCAGCTTTTTGGACCACACGAATGTGGAGAGGAGGTTTCCATCGCCGAAGGGATTGTCTGTGTTCGTGTAGTGGAGGTAATCGTTGTCCCAGCCCATCCTCTCTTTCCGTTTACGCTCTTTCGCTTCTTTCTTCTTCAAACGACGCAGCCTCTTCTCCTCTGGGGTCTCAGTCGCCTTTTCCAACTCTTTCTGGCGTTTTCGCTCTTCTAGCTGCTTGTGGCGCTGTCTCTCGAGCTTCTTCAGGAGCTTTGTGGAGTCTGCGGAGGAGTCCGAGGACGATGAGGATGAGGAGGAGCTTGATGATGATGATGAGGATCTGGAATTGAAGAAAAAGTAGGTGAAGTAATTGATGAAAAGGAATTAAGACGTTGGGGGGTCGTTGCGTTAATCTATTCATTACTGAATTGATCTTTTGGTACTTTAAGGGTCTTTCGATGCTGAAATTGAACTCTAATTCCAGGAATTGAAGTAGTCGCAATTTTTTGAGGAACATTTCATCAATGGAGGATTTTTTAATTGATTTCTTCAGTGTGAAAAAAATAGTAGAAAAACCTAGTGCTTTCTCCAATAAATTCCTCTTTTATTGAGAATATCAGAGCTGTTTAGATTGTTCAATAAAAAATATTGGTGCAACAAACAAATGGAATTTTCAAATAGAATTCTAACAGAATTCAATACAATTTCTTAGAAAAAGCGCTAGGTTTGTGAATAAATTCTGTGAACGTCAACATGAAAAAATGTAGAGTAAAGTTGCAGCCCAGATAATTAAAAAACCCATTCCCTTAATCATAATTTCCAAAATTATCAATTCCTTCGACAAATTCACTCAAAAAAAAAAACCCAGTGCTTTCTCCAAGAAATTCTTCTTCTATAGAAACCACAAGAATTCTTGAGACTTTTTTCAGTCAAAAAGTGTATATTGAAGAATGCATAGCAAACTTTTAATAGAATTACTGAAACAACAAATAGATTTTTGAAATCAGAATTCCAACAGAAATTCAATAAAATTTATTAGAAAATGCGCTAGGTTTTTTAATCAATTTTGTTAGACTCTACAGCAAGCATTTCCCCCCTTCATGAACATCAACATGAATAAATGTAGAGTACACAAAGAGCCCAGATAATTAAACCCATTCCCTTAATCCCAATTTCCTAAACTCCAAATTTCTCCAAATCTTTAAACAAATTCCCTCATAAATTCTCTGAAACTCTTGACCCCTAGAACAACTCCATAAAATATCCCTTGACCCCAGGCAGACAAAAACATCACCCATTGCATCAAGAATAAGGTTACCGCCACTCCATACCTCCTTCGACTCTTATGCTTAGATCTTCCCCGATCCCTGGACTCTACAGGAAGCATTTCCCCCTTCATGAACATCAACATGAATAAATGTAGAGTACACAAAGAGCCCAGATAATTAAACCCATTCCCTTAATCCCAATTTCCTAAACTCTAAATTTCTCCAATTCCTTAAACAAATTCCATCATAAATTCTCTGAAACTCTTGACCCCTAGAACAACTCCATAAAATATTCCTTGACCCCAGGCAGACAAAAACATCGCCCATTGCATCAAGAATAAGGTTAACCCCACTCCATACCTCCTTCGACTCTTATGCTTGGAAGATCTTCCCCGATCCCTGGACCCTGACGTCCTCTGTTTGGACTTCTTCCTGTCCTCCCTCCTCCTAGAGGATTTGCCCTCCGACTTCGACTTCCCCGGGCTGCAGTTCCTCTCCCTATCCCTGTCCCTGCGACTCGCCCTCACTTCCTGGTGCCTGCGCTCCCGCTCTCGAGACCGAGCTCTGCCCTCCTCACCCCGTCTGGACTCTCTCTCCATTCTACTCCCCAAAATCCCCAAAAACCGTTCCAAATCAGTCTTCAAAACACCTAATCCCCAAACGTCAACACCACGTTCTTTATTTTCCTCAGAATCTTAACCTACAACACAAAACGCTCGCCAACACCCGCCATATTGGATGTCACAGCTGATGTGACACCACTCGAATCAACAGTCAAACTCTCTCCAATTCCCGAGCGACAACAAAATCCCCCGAATAATCAGTAAAAAAAAATTTAAAACCCTCAAAAGTTAAAATGTAAAGGACACTTAGACTCTTCGTTGCCAAAAAAAACATTTAAACGAGAAAAAAAATTTCTATTCGATTATTAGTCGCGATATTGACCCTAAAGTGCCCCCACCACCTCCGCCACAAGCGGCATCCGTTACTCGTTACTTTCAAAATCCGCAGTATAATACGCCGTTGTGAGTGTGTATTTCAATAAATTGTGAAGTTTTGTTTGTAATCTTTCGTTAATTAAATTCCCCCGCTAGTACAAGTGCATTTGAGGAGAGACCGGATAATTGGAGGCAGAAGATGTCGAATTCAATCTACTACTCAGACAAATACTACGACGACGAGTACGAGTACAGGTAAATTAACCAAACTAATTCTCTGAGAAATGCTTTGTTCTGATATTTGAGGGGTTTGATTGATTGAATCGTCAGGGGCAGCTCCAATTCTCGTGAATTTGGTTTTTACTGGTGTGTTTGGAGCGGTTGGAGGCTTGGGGCATCCCCCGGAGTTAATCACCGAGGGATTTGTTGGTTATGGTGACTTCTGGGGCTTTCTATGGGCCGTCGTCCTCTCTTTGTCGTGTTTTCGTTTAAATGGCCAGGGTCTAGCACTCTTTTTAGTCCCTCGAGGTACTCCTTTCACGTCGCAACCGGTTTGCTAGGAATTAGCCGTTGCTTACATCATCTAGAATCTCGGTCTTTGTTGTTAATTTCAAGTATTGTTTGACCGTGAAATTAAGTCGATGGGAGTGGAGAAAGTGATGGTTGAGCAACAGGTTATTCCTCCAAGGTTTAGCATTTTGGAAGTAAATTTTTCGGATTTTATCGAGAGATCGGAGCAGAAGCAAAATTATGTATTCAGTATTTTGGGGATTTGTCTACTTCGAGAGGAGAAGGCAGAGTTGGGCATTATTTTATGGGAATCCAATAGAAATAGTTTTTCAAATAATTGGTTTGAGTCTTTTATTTTTAAATGTTAATTATATTCATTTTGTTTCTTTCATTCTGTCATAATTACTAATGAAATCGTCTATTTTGTTTCCCTAACAATGGTCAATAGGCCCTACGATTTTCATTCTATTTTTTATGCCCCAAGTGTTATTAACAAATGAAAGTAATTTTGAAGATATTTCCATAAACCGTTCATTCCAAATACTATTTTATTCACTACTCATTTTATCACTATACTATTTTACTAAATATTTAAATAATATTTTACCTGTTAAAACATGTTGATAGATTTCAGTTGATAAATTTATTTCTGAGTGATAAATACAAAGGAAGGAGTCAAAAGGGTCCTTTTTCCCCATGAACATTAGTATTTCCATTCAAGAGCATTTTTATGATGATAGAAAATAGGCAAAAGGCTTTGTCCTACGATTAACATTTCGTTTATGCCCTAAACGTGGTTATCTAATTCATTAATTGTTTGCAATAGTTTTTAATTATTCCCCAACTTTTATGATAATAAAAAAAGCAAACTCTTAAATGATTAAAATACTAATATTTCAAGAGGTTTTCATTAACCATTCTCTCCAAATACAATTCTGCTGAATAAAAATACTGAAATACCATTTTATTCCTCATGTTTAATGGCTTGTAAGTATTAAATAGTCATTAAGAAATAACTCTATTAATATCTCATTAAATTATTGATGAAATAAGTCTAGTTTGATTCATAAATTCATTCTTGACGGATAAATCTAAAGTGACTATTTTTCTAATCTTATAGAGATGAAATTACATAAATTACCTCACTCGTCCGACACATGTGCAATCCAAGCAAATAAATAAAATAAACATAAGATAAAAATAAACATAAGACGATTCAATCGACTAAATTCAATCGAATAAATAAAGGATTTACATTCCGCCAGGCACGTGGTATTACCCAAAGATCTTGAGAAGAGAGTGCCAAAGACTCACCTGATGTCCGAACAAGAGTGGAGAGAACTGGGGGTACAACAGAGCAAAGGATGGGTCCATTACATGACTCACCAGCCAGGTATTACAAACATTAATTAATCAATCAATTAAAAGGAGTGATAATATTGCCACTGGCCACGACTCACCACTCAAATATTCTTCCAGAGCCTCACATCCTCCTCTTTAAGAGAAAAATCACGACACCACCACCAGAGAAATGAAGCTGAGAATGAGAACGATTCAGAGTAATTTAATCTAACGATTAATTAATTTTTAAGATTGTCGGTTACTGAGGGGGAGCTCATCGGCATGTATACGTTAAAACGTCCTCACCAACATATGTATAGATTATGATTAGCAGTAGTTCTATGAGATTATATTGATTTGTCACTAGCACTAAGCATCATTAATTTTGTTTTTTGTAATTGATTGATTCAATTTCTGTCTTTATTCGCCACTCAAGAGCGATGGATACAATATTATTTAATTAATCTACTCAGAAAAACACTTCGTGGGCTCTTCCCTTCACTCAGGATAATCTTATTCCATCGATGATTCCGTAGATTAAGTGTGTACATAATTTGATGATCGTACATTGTAAAAAGAAATGTCTGTAAAAGTTCTGATTTTTTTAAAATTCAAATGAAGTTATCCAGTTATTTCGGGAAATCAGTTGATGAGAAATTTCTTTATCCCAGTAATCACTCAGTACCATATCGGCATCATTTTTTTTTATAAGATAGAAGTTGAGAATACAGAGGGATAAATTATTCAATGCTGAGTACTCGATTATTCTCGTCATTCACATTCTGTATTTTAATCACTTTGGTTCATTATTTTGTGGATATATTAAATTAGGATCGATAAGTAATTTACACATGTGCCTTGATAAGATAGATATCACTCATCGGTCTAAATCTGCATTCAAGTGAGAGAAAATAACAGTCCGCTCAATTGCTCTACAAATGTTTGTAATGTCTTCACGTTCGATTTTTTTGATTGAAATTGGGAACTGTGTGGTGTACGTGAGACCGATGGAAACAGGAACAAATACCTCATGAAAATTTTGTTAACATGAATGGACCAATTGAAAATAAAAACTATTTTGGTTCTAAATTTGAAGGCGTTTTTTTTTATTTCTAACAATTTCTTTTTTTTATAACGACATTATTTTTGTATCTATTATTGAAATAATGAATTGATAATAATGAAAAGAAGTAAAATATTGACTCTAGAATTTTTATTTTTACAGGGATAATTCTATCGTTTAAATCAATTCTTGCACTGCTTTGAAGAAAAATTCATTTTATGTTTCAATTTATCCATTTATTTTAGAATAACTTCAGATTTATTCTAAATTAAATATTCGGAATTGTTCTTGAAAACAGGAGGAGGAAATAATCAGGGTCAATATCTAATATCATTTTAAAAACCCTAAACATCGTGAACTGAAAATCAAGATTATAGAAATGTACATTTGCTCATTTCAATAGCTCCAATTTCTCCCAAAACCCCAATCATAAAATTCTCTAATATTCTGTAGAAAAACTCACTAGAATAAGTTGTATAGAAAAATCGAATTCTATTGCCTTTTTCTGTACAATATTTTCTATTGAAAAATATGAATAATAATAATGATAATAATAATAGTAATAGAATGGCATGAAAATAACATTCAAAATTCGAATAGCAAATGACCAATCATTTGAATTCTTACAAACGTAAAAATTCAACAATTTAAACTCCACATTTTTTATGACAATGAAAGACTATGAAGTACCAGAATACAGTTAATTAATCTGCATTGACCTCAATCTAATTAACGGAAGTAAACTGTTTCACAACGTGACGTGTGACAATTTCCCACAGTAATTTCCACAAATTATGAATAAATTAAGATCAACACTGTTAATCACTGACGTCCGAGACAACGAGACCTCGTCATATCGCGTTTTTTTTGTGTCATCAGTATTAACCGCTGGACCCATATCGCGACGAAAACGAAAACAACGAGACCATCGAAATATTGGGAAATACGTGATACCCGCGATGCTGCAATTGACTTGGAATTTCCTTTATTTATCATATGACGGTCCAAGGTTACACATGTATATATGCTTCCGCGTCAATCTACGCAGTGTGTGTAGTCCCTTTGGTTTTTTATTCTATGTGGATCTATGCATAATTCAGTAGGCATATGGCAACTGGTGGGACATTCATAATGATTGCTGCTGGGAAATTAGTCTTGACACTTGAAATTTTCGAGAACGACTCATTAATATTGAATTTCTGGGAATGTCGTTGATGATGAATCATTTAGTTTCACGCGCGAAAAAAACTAGTGGAAGAACCTTGCGAATTAGCTAGACAATTCTGTTGGGTTTGTAGGGAACTTTCTGTTAGTTATTATTTGGCTCTACTGAAATGTTCAATAGGAAATATTCTATAGAAGCAGTCAATAGAATTTGATTTTTCTGTAAGAGTTGTTCTATTGAGATATTTTCTGTAGAATTTCCTCGGCTCAAATTTTCATAGTTCTTTTATTTGATTTTCTTGAGGACAAGAAATGAAAAAAAAATTGAAAAATTAGAGCTGAGGAAATTCTGTAGAATATTTTCTATTGAATATTTCTGTAGAATCGGCCAAAAATTAATAGAAAGTTCAACAGAAATCCAATAGAATTGTCTAGATAATTTGCGAGGATTTCAGTAAATTTTTTTTATGTGTTGTGGAATGTTCAATGAAATTTCATCGTTCATCGTCACAACACTGAAAATTGTTGAATTCTCAATCTATTCAGAGTTGATTTGTCTATAATTTTCAGTTTCCATAATAATTTTTAAAATATTAGGAGAGGGTATTTTGACGAAAGTTATTAAGTGTTTCCGATTGTAATGGCTTCTCTCATGTTTTGACTGAAATGGTCGTGAAAATGAACTTGGGAAATATTTAGTGTTTTGGAAGTCATCGACATGAACGCGAAAAGGAAATCAAATCGAGAATATATTACTCTCTTGAAATGAAAATACGAAGTTCTCCAATTGAGAAATTTTCAGTGCACTTCTTGGGAATATTCATCAAGTGACGATTCTGTGGAAATTTCAGCATTGTTGATTCAATAATAATTTGCCTTCAAGGAAGAGGAAAGTCAATATTGTTCATCTGAGAACACATACGACAAAATTTAATAGGAAAACCTAGCGAATTCGTTAGATAATTCTATTGAATTTTTATTGAACTTTTTATTAGTTTTCGGCCGAATCTATTGAGATATTTTCTATAGAATTTCCTCGGTTCAAATTTCTTGATTTTCTTGATGAAAAGAAAATATCTCAATATAATAATTTTCATAGAAAAATCGAATTCTATTTACTGTTTCTAGTGAACATTTAAATAGAATCGCCCAAAAATTAATAAAAAGTTCCATAGAAATTCAATAAAATTTTCTGCACGAAAAGAATATAAAATTATTTTTTACTATGGGGATATACCCACCACATTTAGAATTTACTGTTGAACAGAGTAAAAATCGCGGGTCGATCTAGTAGAAAGTGATAGAATAAAAGTAAAATCTAATTTGGCACCAGTAAAAATTCAGTTAAGATAACTCAAATTTTAAATTTGTATCGGTTTGGTCCTCGATTACTACATTCACATTATAATTTTTAATTTAGTATTCCCTCCGTGTACCGAATTCACTAGATTTTTCTTTCAAATTTTTCCATATGTGTAATTGCGAAATGAAATTATAATAGAATAAAAAATACTTTTTGCGAATTATACCTTGCGATTCGTTCGGTAAAAAACCACATCTATAGAAGCAGAAATTACTGTTCCCTGTACAGGAAAATTTTCCGCACCGGTAGTGTTTTTCCGGCCCTGATGTGAAGGACATAGGGACGGACGAAAGTGAAATTTTACCATTCGCTGTTTGGTAAGAAGAATCATTCTCCGTCCCCGAAAAATTCCTACACAAATGTGAATGATTACGCAATATTGAGGAATTATTCACGTTCACGGGTTAAATTTTCATGGAATAAGTCATAAATTTTACAGTTTCAGTACGAGTTACCCTCACGTTTAATTAATAAATTTTGCCGAGTCAGCGGAGAAAAATTGACTATTCAAGACCTAGAAATGGATTTCGCTCCAGGATTACCGACTTATTTCTTACTTTGTAATTTTTCTCAAGTTTTTTTCAGATACTAATCCATTAGACATATTTTATTTTAAAAAAACACACATTAGAGCTGCGGAATTTTTCAACAGAATCAGCCAAAAGCCAATAGAACTCCCAAAAGAAATCCAATACAAAATTCCCTCGAATTCGTTGAATTTTTAATAAATCGTAAATCGAATAAATCATAAATTTTACAGTTTCAGTACGAGTTACCCTCACGTTTAATAAATTTTGCCGAGTCAGCGGAGAAAAATTGACTATTCAAGACCTAGAAATGGATTTCGCTCCAGGATTACTCGACTTATTTCTTACTTTGTAATTTTTCTCAAGTTTTTTTCAGATACTAATCCATTAGACATATTTTATTTTAAAAAAACACGCATTAGAGCTGCGGAATTTTTCAACAGAATCAGCCAAAAGCCAATAGAACTCCCAAAAGAAATCCAATACAAAATTCCCTCGAATTCGTTGAATTTTTAATAAATCGTAAATCGAATAAATCATAAATTTTACAGTTTCAGTACGAGTTACCCTCACGTTTAATAAATTTTGCCGAGTCAGCGGAGAAAAATTGACTATTCAAGACCTAGAAATGGATTTCGCTCCAGGATTACCGACTTATTTCTTACTTTGTAATTTTTCTCAAGTTTTTTCCAGATACTAATCCATTAGACATATTTTATTTAAAAAAAAAACACGCATTAGAGCTGCGGAATTCCTCAACAGAATCAGCCAAAAGCCAATAGAACTCTCAAAAGAAATCCAATACAAATTTCCCTCGAATTTGTTAAATTTTTAATAAATCGTAAATCGAATAAATCATAAATTTTACAGTTTCAGTACGAGTTACCCTCACGTTTAATAAATTTTGCCGAGTCAGCGGAGAAAAATTGACTATTCAAGACCTAGAAATGGATTTCGCTCCAGGATTACTCGACTTATTTCTTACTTTGTAATTTTTCTCAAGTTTTTTTCAGATACTAATCCATTAGACATATTTTATTTTCAAAAAACGCGCGTTAGAGCTGCGGAATTTTTCAACAGAATCAGCCAAAAGCCAATAGAACTCCCAAAAGAAATCCAATACAAATTTCCCTCGAATTCACTAAATTTTTAAAATGAATTTCCTCAAATCCCCAAGTGCAAACGCTCGATACATTATCCCACATGAAATAGAGAGTGGTAGATAATGACGAAATAATTTCCGCCTAGAAGACGCTATGAAAATCGCCTCGAAACCCCACATATGTGGAAGCAACACCAGACACGAGATCTCAGCGTCTAGCCACGTGTGTCCCTGTTTTTATTCTCCCTATCCCACATCCACCAACACATTTGCGCATTTTACCACTGCCCAAGCAACATAACGCATTTTAACTCTTTCACAATCTGCGCCTGCGCGCGGCGCGCAGCACTCTCCCACTTGCCTTTTATTTATTTTTTTCTTCATTTTTGAAACCATCGCAAAGTCCCGATGGAATATACATCTCCAGCCGCTACGTACACATGTATCCTCCGGCAGTTCGCGTGTAACAGCCGCGATTGCGAGTACTTCTCGCCGCATTCCCATTCATTATTTCATGAATAACGATTACCCAGTGTTTGCATTGCCACGAGTTTTCGGATAATAATTGTGACTGGGAACACATTTGTTGCATTACGGTGAGTTCTATCGTCAAATTCTGGATGAAATCGCGCGCGGAATTTTCGATTTTTCATTTTTACTCTCATTTTTGTTGATCACTTTTTAATTCACGGGTCACTTCGTCAATTATCTTGGAGGGTATCTCATGGGAATCATCACGCAATTCGGTTACGCGCGGTTATCGGAAGCGTCGCGATCACAATGACACTGATTTTACAACCATCGATGGGGTGTGGGTGGTGGAAGTGCACGGAAACAAATTCTTCGGAAAAAATCTAGTGCACAGGGAAAAGAACTAAATGCCAGGTAGAGAGAAATTCCAGGGGTCGTACTGAAAGCTTCATTGCATGTGAATGTGTTTCGAAATTTTACGAGAACAAAAAATTCTCATGGCCGGTGGCAGTTTTAGAAAAACCTAGCGAATTCGCTGGACAATTCTGTTGGATTTCTATTGAAATGTTCAATAGAAAAAGGCAATAGAATTCGATTTTTCTATACAATTTAGTCTATTGAGATATTTTCTACAAAATTTCCTCGGCTCAAATTTTCCATTCTATTTTTCTTTTCTTTTCATCAAGACAATCGAACAAAAAACTTGGAAAATTTCAGCCGAGAAAATTCTGTTAGAATTGTTCAATAGAAAATATTCTATGGAAAAGTCGAAAGAATTCGAATTTTCTGCACAACTTATTTTACTGAAATTTTTTCAGATATTCCAAGTTTTTTTGTTTCATTTTCTTTACAATAGAATGGAAAAAACATGGAAAATTTGAGCAGAAGAAATTCTATAGAAAATTTCTGAAGAAAATGAGTTATATTGAAAAATCAAATTTTATTGACTTTCTATTGAATATTTTCTACTGAAAATTTTCTCACGAATTCGCGGGGTTTTTCTACTAAACTTTTTCGTGCGTACTGTTAGAAAAAATTTAATTCCACTAGTTATTGTCAGGGCAGTGACATTGAATGCCAAAATTCAATTTCAGATTTCACTGAAAATTCAATGAAATTCCAAATGTTTCAACCGCATTAAGACGAGAATTTCCAATTACGCCGAATTTTCAATAAATCGAGAATTGAAGAATACATTTACCGGAATTTTCCTGATTTCTATTAATTTTCAGAGAATAACTGAACCAAAATTTACAGTTCTCAATAATTCAAGAATTTTCAATAATTCAATTCATGAAATTTCAGTGTAACAAAAAAGTTTCCCAAAAATTTCAACCAAAAATTGTCAACATTTTCCAAGCCCTAGAATTTTTCTACAAAACAGCTCTCCGTGTGCGTGAAAGTGGGAGACTGGAGAATTTGCGGAATAGGTAGAACCGTTAGATTTCCGCTCATTGCGCGGTGCATATGCGTGCGCGAAATTCTGAAACAATTTGATATGTTATTATCGAGGTATCGAGTGTTGGATAATTGGTCATCGTTCGCTGAAAGGAAATCATTGGAATGGAGATACCGCTTGATTCATCATATTATATCACGTGTATGTTCTGGTGATTAAAAGAGGGAAAAGTTTTTTCATTAGCGCAATAATCGGCTGAGGTGTTACGGGGAGACATGCCAAACCGTTGAATTATTCATGAGTTCATAGTCAGAAAGAGATTGAAAGTGGGGGGCATCCTTCTATTTGATCTTTTTCTCCAGTCGTGGAGTTTTTATTTGATTCATGCATTAAAATGGTGAATTGATTCAGTGACCTGTTGCTGGCTGATAGGTGTAACCGTTTCATTCATTTCATTTTGATTATTGAATATTTTTGTCGGACATCGGAGGTAATGGATTAATGAGTGGAGTAACGCATGGACTAATGTCATGAGTAATAGCTCTGCTGAGGTTAAATATGGTTCTTAACACCAGATTGATTAATTAATTGAGAGATACTCTGGGAGGTAATCAATCACAAAGATCCTTCTGTCCATTTATGCATTTCAATTCCCTCGTTTTCTTTTCATTCCAGTTTGAATGGTTCACGCGTCATTTTTTTTTAGGTTGTTTAGGGAATTTTAAGGATATCCCACACTGAGGAAAAAAATTACTTTTGCCAAGTAAATTTACTTACCACAAGGAAATGTATGTAAATAGTTGCATCTGAAATGTGTAGATTTTCTTATAGTTAGTAAATTTGCTTGGCAAAAGTAATTTTTTTTCTCAGTGCAGTACTTTGGCTATTTGTTCTCCAGTGAAGTTCTTTTCTACTTTTGAAGTCGAACATCAAAGCATTCACTTGAGCCCCATTTGAAAATGATTTTATTATTTACTTTGCAGGTTTGAATTAAAATCTCGATATTGAACCGCTAGAAAACATTTTAAAACCCTCAAAAAAATAGAAAGTTTATCTTTGGAGGAAGATTGATGGAGTAATTTAAAAATCACAGCTTTTGGAAGTGATTCGGTTGAAGAACTACGATTTTGAAAAAATAAATGCTTCTGTCAAGTCAATGAACATTTGACAAAAATATTTTTTTCTCAGTGTTGGCCCAAACACAATTTGTTTGAGAAATTCGTTTTTCGTTCGTTTTTCTCTCAGCGTGGGAGAATTTTATTCCCGACACTTCGCGACTATAATTTGTATTTTGGACATTGCACTCTATTTATCCACACACTCTTATCATTTGGCAGATTTATCATCGAAATTTACCGCAGACATCCGCTGTTAAGTGTATTTAGTAGGCGATTATAAAATAATGTCAGGATAAGATCGCTCTCATTATCAGTTTTTAGGGTATTGGGTAATTACGGAATTATGTAATTTCAATTTCGAAAGCGAACACTTCAGAATTTTCTGCAAGTTGAGGATATTTTGAACATTTATCCAAATTGTTGGGACCGTCTACACTGAGAGAAAAACGACATAGCTCTCAAACAAGTCTTACTTGTGCCAAGAAAACAGTTTCTTGAAAATTATCAAAAAAGTATTTTTTGTGCCAAATATGGAGAGAGTGCGCCGGAATGAAAAATTTTTCTCGCAAAAATAGATTTAGTAGCTCAAAAAAAATTGCATTCTCTGGACACGCAAGAAATGTCATTTCTAGCACTACTCCTGCGTTATTCGATACTCCCATACGTATTTTGCTCCCGAAAAATCTTTGTTTTATGCGAAACAAGGGATAGTAGTTTTTCGTTTCGGCTGTCTAATAATCACAGACAAGAAATGAACCCTTAAATGAAACAATAATAATATGATAGCAATCTTGTAACTTAGAGATAAAATATTTGTTGATAAATTTTCCTCTATTTGAGATATTTTCATCCTGAAAAGGCACCGTCTGGTGTGAATTATCCGCCTCTTGAGCCAAATATTTCGTTGCTGTCGAAAGCAGAACAATTATTCATGTTTGAGACTTTCAAATTCGAATCAAACAAATTCTTTTCTGGCAATTTTCAACTAGCGATTTTGTTGGCCCCAACAAGACTTGTTTGATAGAGTTTTTGTTTTTCTCTCAGTGTAGGGAGTAAATAGTAAATAGTAAATGTATCTGCGATAGGAAAAAAATAATAATATGAGGGTAAAAGTCATTACAAGTCAACACAGCATGAAAATCCTCGAGTGAAGTATAATACTCTTCATACAGAGACATTTTTGTCTTGTGTATTTTCGAGATAAGGATATTTAATTGTGCAGATGAGGCATAAACCGACTAATGAGTTTGTCTTTATTCGTTGAATCGTTAAAGATCCATTGTTTCGGTGTACCCTTGCGCTCGATGAACCGTGAGAAAAAGAAACGTACGACGTGTCCGAAATGTAATGCCGTACGAAATTGTCCCACTTTTTTTATGGCCCTGTGGAAACCCACGCTCGCCCATCTTTAATTTTTATTTCGTAAAAAAAGAGGGAAGCTCAACTGCAATTCGATTCTGGAATAAATAAAATAATTAAGGAAAGCTTGATTTTTTGTTATTGTCTATCCAATATTGTTAACATGAATTTATTCTCAAATGAATTTTATTGAAAATTATATTAGTTTTTGGACGATTTTATTGAATAATTTCAAAACTCTACTGCGCGTTTTTTTATGGATAATGTCGAATGGAAATTATTTTGTAAAGAAATCAGTGGAATTTTTCGACATAAATTTTCTAATTGTTTTCACTGATTTTTTCGTTGAGACAAACGAAAAAATATTGGAAATTTAAGCCCAGAATTTCTGTAGAAATTATCTCAATAGAAATATTTTGAACTAGAGTTGTATAGAAAAATTAAATTCTATTGATTGTTCCTTCAGATTTCCTCATCCGTGAAGATGAACATCTAGTTCAAAACCGTGTAATTAATTCTTAATTATTTTGAAAAAAATTCTTCTAGAACCCCGAAAATGGCGAAGATGGGAAAAAGATGGAAGAGTTGTCTGTCAGCAAATGCCCTGACTCTACTGACAGTAATTGGTGTTGCTAGTGGTGTTGCTCTCGGATTCATCCTGAAATACTCGAAAGAGTCATGGTCAAAGCGTGAAATTATGTACATCAACTTTCTCGGTGATCTCTTCCTTCGAATGTTGAAGGGTCTCATACTGCCCCTCATTGTTTCCAGCATCGTAAGTGCCATCGGCAGTCTCGACCTCAATTTATCTGGTAAAGTCACAAAAATTACCTACTCAAGTATAGGGATGTGCAAAAATTTTGTGACGCGTCACATGGCTGTCTGATTCCAGTTATGACAGTTTTCGTCACGTGTCTAAATCATGACGGTGTTGACATATGAGCGTCATATTTCAATGAAATACTCCCAAAAAAATGATATTACAGTTTAGGATTTCCAAGGTCTTAAAATAAGATTTTTAAAAGTTTTAATTTGAAGCTTAAAATTCTTAAGTTGAGAGCTTCGAAAGTCTCAATTTGAGTCTTTGAGATCTCAATTTATGCCTTCTTTCAATTCCAAATCATAAGTCCTTACGCTTCATTTCGAGACTTATGATTTGAAAATCGAATTTGAGTCCCAATTCCAAATCATAAGTCCTTACGCTTTATTTCGAGACTTATTGACTTATGATTTGAAACTCATATTTTGAGTCTCAATTTTAAATCATACGTCTGAAAATAAAGCGTTGTTTTTTGGGTGTAGATAATGGTCGCATGAAACCGTAATATTCCATCTAAATATCAGTAACAACGTCAAACTATTCAAAATTTCATAATGGCTTCTCCATTTTATCTCGTTTTTTGTGACAAATTTTGTGCGACCGTCATATTTCACCTAAATAGCCGTGACAGTGTTGAACTACCCAAATTATGACCAAAAAAAAATCTGATCTCACATGACTGCCATATGACAGTCACAAACTGCGGTTGAAAATTTGTTATATGACGATAAAAAATGGCCGTTATTTACACATCCCTATTCAAGTACTATCACAGAGGAAAAAAAATTGTAATTATTGGTGATCCCGGATACTGATTAAAATAACACTGATCATCAGTGATTTTCATCACTGAAATTTGGTGATAAATTTTTAAAAATTCAAGACGGGAAAATCAGTGACTTTTTCCTGAAAATTAGTGACGATGTCACTGCAAATTCGCAATACAATCGTGAATTCCTAATGATTGCAGATAAATTCCTGAAAATCAATGACACATCCTGGAATACGAAAACTTTTTTTCTCTGTGATCACAATCTCCGGCTATTTCCCCCCGTTATCAATGATCTTGTTATTGTTTTCAAGGTAAAATCGGTATGAGGTCGATTTATTATTATGCCACAACAACTGTGTGTGCTGTGATAGTTGGGATTATCCTGGTCACAACGATACAACCTGGTCACATTGGTGATAAGAAACTTTTTGTCACGCATGAGTCTCTCGTCCCAAAGAGAGAAGTCACTACTGCCGATACTCTTCTAGATCTAGTCAGGTAAAGAAACATCAAATTCGTTTTGCATTTTTCTCATTTCAGAGAGCTTTCAAAACAGGTTGTCCTTAACGGCCAATATCTCCTGAGCCAACAGCACGATTTAGATGAGTCAGATTTCATCTTGAAGAAAAAAAATGAAATCTTGAAAATGAAAAAAAAATCGGGGAATTCCACTCTATCGTTGTCGTTTGAAATAAATATGAGTTGTGCTTGGCATTGACTTCAACTTTAAACTTTTACCCTCTTGATTTTTTTTTTTTTAATAAAAAAAATACGTATCTGACATTCATGATATTTCATGATTTTTTCTAACGAAAAAAAATGATGTAAAATTTTTTTCAGAAACGTTTTCCCGTCAAATCTCGTCCAAGCCTGCATCGCACAAGTACGTATTTTTCATGTCACCCAGATATTGATAACGAATCCGGTATTGTCCGAACCATTCAAGATAAATTTAATTCCTCTTATCGAGTTTCAACTTTCCTGAAAAATTCAATTTTTTCAAACACTCGCAGCATCTGCCGAGGACGACACCCATTCACGGTTATATCATTACTTAATCACTAGCGGATGATGAATGTTCGTCTCATTGGCGATATTTTTTTTTTACAGTACAGAACGAATCTTATTAAACCGCCGAATGCGACTGAGGAAGTGGGTGAGTATTGCGTTGTAGTTGACATGCATTTGACCATTGAACGTGAAATAAGGATGAACTTTCGTCTCAAAATAGTCAATATATTTTCGATAATAAATTAGCAATTTGCCTCCGAATGGAATTTCTGTGATGATGTACTGTAAATTGAATTTTATGATTCGTGAATTCAACATTGTCCTAATGTTGGCAGCCAACACTGCCCTGGCGTTAAAATTTTTTACCTTTCCCTGAATATCGGTTCCAAAATAAATTTTTTCAACAACAGATAATGCAATCAATAGTATATTTCGATACGAGTGAGGCGGAATTCTCACGAAGCGAAGCCGAGGGCTGCCAATCGCAAGAGCTGAAAATTCCCGTCTCACATGTGTCGAACAATATTTTTTGACAGTGATTTTACGTTCAGCGAGTGGCCGACCTGTACCTTTTCCGTTTACAAGTAAACGAAAACTTTTCGAATACTTTTCGTTTACTTTTCATTTACGAGTAAAGCAAAAGGCACTTTTCAGCGCGCACTGAACGTAACAGCAGTGTCAAAAAATTACTGTACAATCTAGGAAATCAAGGATACAAATTGTCAATTGTTATGGAAAGAAATGTGAATTAAAGGAGATTCCCCCAACCGTAACCCAATCTTATGCAAAGTGATAAAGTTTACGGGATTCCCAGTGAATGTGCATTTTCTCTGCAATTGTTCGCTGATTTGTTTCTCCCTGAGAAAAAGTGGAGCAAGATATCCTATCTTTGACGATGTCTGAGTCCCGGTAATTTAGATAGGAATGAGTGAGTTATTTTTATGTGTCACTTTTCAGCTAATGATATTTACAAATGGACTATCGACCACGACGATGCTGATGGAACGAACACCCTCGGGCTCGTTATTTTCGGAATCATTCTGGGTATTGCCATTGGAAAAATGGGTGATGCGGGACAACCATTGCGCGATTTCTTCAATGCCCTTTCTGAGGCGATGATGATCATCACCAACTGGGTTATTTGGTGAGAAATATGCTTGTCGAACATTGTTCATCATGCCACGCACGAACTTTCATAGAAAAGTTTTGCGAAGTCGATCAAAAAATCTACTGAAAATTCCACTCGATCATGAATTTGTACTGAAAATTCTATTCGTATTTGGCCGATTGTATTGATGAATTCCGATGCGTGTATTTATAGTGAATCTTTAATCGAATTTCAACTTTTTATACAACTTTTTGTATTGAGACATTCTGTATAGGAAGTCCTCGACATGAATTTTCCAAAGAGAAGAGAAACAGAATGGTTTTTCATTAAAAAATCAAACAGAAAAGATTAGAAACTCTGAGCCGATGAGTTTTCAAATCGAATTGAAAAATCGAATTCTAGTGACTTTTTCTATAGAATACTTTGTATGGAAAAAAACGCAGACGAGTCGCCGATTTTTCTAATAGAGTCAACCAAAAAATAATAGAAAGCTCAACAAAAATTTCATAGAATGTTTTAGCGAATTCGATAGAACATTCCATTGGGTTTGTATTGAACTTCTATTGAAGATAGAAAATGTTCAACGGAAACTACAATTTTTTTCTATTGAGCCATTTTTTATAGGAATTTCTGGATATGAATGTCTCCAATTTTTTCCGCTCTATTTCTCTTCTTTTATCATTTAAAAAATCAAACGAAAAAACTTGGAAAATATGAATCGAGGAATTTTTATAGAAAATATGTCTGAATTGAAAATCCAATACTATTAATTTTTTTTCTAGAATATTTTGCATTGAACAATAGAATCTGTCAAAAACTAATGGAAAGTTCAATAGGAATACAATAGAATTTCCCAGAGAATTCGTACAGGATCCGAGTGAAAAAAACTTGGAAAATTCATGCCCAATTATTAAAGAAAAAATTCCAAGAGAGTATTCATGCAGAAAAATCGAAATCTACTGACTTTTTCCTGTCAAATATCTCATAAAATCAGTGCAAATAACAAATAGAATTTTAACGATAATTCCCTAGAATTTTAATAGAATCCCAATAGAATTTCTAGACAATTTCAACAATACAATTTGTTAGCGAATTCGCTAATTTCCAAAATTCGCGAATGAGAATGTGATTTTTTTTTGATTTCGCGAATTTCCAATACAATTTTCTAGCGAATTCGCTAATTGTTTCTATTGAATTTTGTCATCCGCGAAAGGCCCTCCTCAAAATGATAAACCCCAATCAACTACAATTTTCAGGCTATCACCCTTCGGTGTAACTTTCCTCGTAGCATCAAAAATCCTCGAGATCAATGATCTCGGCGCAGTGGTGGGAACCCTAGGCCTTTACTTCATGACAGTTCTCCTCGGACTCTTCATCCACGGTTTCGGTACACTGTCCTTGATTTTCTTCGTATGCACTCGAGAATTACCCTTCCGAGCACTTGGAAAAATGAGTCACGTCATAGTGACCGCTTTCGGAACCGCATCCAGGTATTCATAAAACCCGAGTATTATTCAACTTCAAGGCCCTTGCCTGCCCACTTCATTCATTCAAATTATCAAATTAATTCACAGTTCCGCAACACTTCCCATCACTCTGCAGTGTTTGGACAATATGGGGGTCGATTCAAGGATATCGAAATTCGTCGTGCCAATTGGGGCTACCATCAACATGGATGGCACTGCTCTTTATGAGGCTGTCGCTGCTCTTTTCATTGCACAAGTCAGAAATGTCGAGATGTCGTGGAGCAAAATCATCGGTGTGAGGTAATATATTTTCAAGTATATAATTTCCGTTTTGTCTTTCATTTTTTTAATGATTCATAACAAGATCGTAAAACAATTAGAAATCCGCGTAGTTTTTCCCTGATTTCTACGAATACCTTCTTGTAACTTTATTTTTCAGTAGAGAAAAATATTCAGTCGACAGGGAACGATTGAGTTGGATTTTTCTTGGAATGGCCTTGTCCATAAATTATAATTACTAAGTTAAATTATTATGTAGTCAATTCGTCAATATCACTCTTAAATTTGAGTTATTGAAGTAATCATCAAATGTTCAATTTCCGAATTATTTATCATCAATTACTTAGGAAGATTGACGATTATTTAGATAATCGGAAATCCCTTATGAGAAATTTAGTATTATTTACTTAAGAAAAAATTTATAGTTCCATATTATTAAATATTTAATTCATCATCAATTGGAAATTTAGATTATCAATTATTATTCAATTTTTTAGTTTCGATTAGGATATTTACACCTTAATCAGGGTAAGTCGGAAATTTTTTTAATATTGAAGAGATTCACAGTTTTTCCCTGTTATTTTTTATTACATGAGAATTATTATTATGAGATTATCTCACATTTTTGACGTTATTAAGGATAGAAGAATCTGAATGCAATATAGTAAAATTGATGATCGATTTTTTCAGTTTGAACAAATAATATTAATATCCAAATACAAAATTTCTGATATGAATAAAAAGAATGAATAAAGATACATATGAATAAAGATTCTCATCGGTCATATTGCTTTTTGCAATGAGAATGATGATAAGTAATTAATTAAAAAAAGAAATGTCGAATCTGATACGAAAAAGGCCATTCTAGTCATACAAAAATCTGAATCGATTGTTTTTTTTCTATCAAACAGTGAGTTTTTAAAGTAGACATTCACACAGAAAAACCTAAACGTAAATTACGATGGTTTTTCCGTATTTTACGTTTACTTATCCGTAATTAACGACGAAGAAAAAAGTTATTTCAAGCATAAAATACGATGTTTTTTCGTAACCTGTGCGCAAGCAAATCGTGAAATGTGTTTCTATTAAGATCACAATTTACGAAGCCTAAATTCCGATTGTCATGACAGAAAAACAAGCCACCAGATATGATATTGGTGTTAAGCGTAAATTACGCTTAGCAAAACGTAATTCCCGAATTAGCTTTTTCCAATGCTCAATTTTGTCACACTTGTAGCCGAATTTTTGTGGTGCAAGATGAGACCAATAGAAGAAATTCCATCTATAGAAAAATGTAAAACATCTCCAAATGCAAAAACACCCATAAAGTTTTGTTGACTCATCCTGTTTTACTACTTCGCCGATAACTTCCTCATTAGAATTACGACCAATACTGCACTCCACGGAATGCAACAAGTAGAATGTCTGCATAATGTTCCCGTCTTTAAGATGAGTTCCATTACCAATGCTGAAAATTTATTGACAAAAATACTAAAATAACTTTGATACCACAAGCCATTCATCTGAAACCTCAGCCGCAGCTCTGCATTAGCAATGAATCTCGATATTTCTGCTGAGCATTCCCGCACGGAGACGTGTCATGGTTCGAGATAGGGTCGTCACCATATACCGAATCTATCGAGAAATATCCAGATAACTGTGAGGGTCTCGTGGCATGACGACTTAGAAGATTTCAAGTACCATAACATGTAGTCGAACGATGGAAGGCTGTTCGTTGTTTGGAATAGAATCATATTCATTCTACTGAATAATTGATAACATCGGCCGATTTATTATTGCGGTGTCTGCGATATTTGCATGATTAGGTACTCATGAATAACTGATTATGAAATGGGAGAACTAGAGGCTAGTTCTATTATTTAGACCAGCCGAGGGAAGTTTAATATTTTTCGAAAGCCTCCTGAGCATTTTTTTCCAGTGGCAAAGGGTTTATCGCTAACCTTTTGTTATTATCATGTTCTCCGAGATATTCTGCGAAAACTAATGTCGAATTCCAAAGGAATTATCGCGTTTTACGACTTCACTGAATTCTCGGATGAATTATAATTTCTATGAAGAAAGACTTGAATATTCATTATTTTCTTCTGCTGACGCTGAAGCTGGAATCAGTCAGTAAGAAGAACTGATTCTGAAGCTATTCCGTGAAGAAAGATTTAAATATTTATTCTTTTTTTCTTGCTGATATAAAAGCTAGAAGCAACCAATGAGAGAAACTGAATTTGTGTCAAAATTCTAAAACGAAGTAATTTGAATTAACTTGAGAATAAGTTTGTGATAAGTGTGTGAAATTATTTATCTGTCTTTGATTCGAACATATCTAGCAAAAACAATGTCGAAGTCGAATTCACTCATCTTGTTTTATCAGTTCATGGAATTGTCGAATGAATTATAATTTCCACGAAGAAAGACTTGAATATTCATTATTTTCTTCTGCTGGCGCTGACGCTGGAATCAGTCAGTAGAACTGATTGCGTCTGGGAATTCTAAAGCTAAACAAGTTGTATTCACTTGAGAATGACTTTGTGATGAATATTTTTGAATATAAAAACTTTCTTTGAAGATTGAAATAAAAAATGACTCTTGAAATTTTTAAAAACAAACTTGCATGAAATTCATATATATTTCTTCATTGACGAAGCAGTTAATTTTTCGAATATTCAAGGGATTCTCAATTTTCAGGTCCACAGGACACTGAAAATATAGAAAACAGCGAAAATTCAGGGAACAATTTTTTAAAATTCTCAATCTACTGACAATTCAACAGTACCTAATGTTCAATTTTCACAATGAGTTTGAAAATTCAAATTTTCATTGGAATATCAGTGATCGCTTGCTATGAAACAACTAATTTTCTTGAATTTCCAAGACAAATGAGAAAATTCATGAATTCAAACTCTCGATATCGAGAATTCAGAAGATATTATGGCTGAAATTGCAAGAAATTTCTAATAGTGTAATGAAAATATCCTTATCCTTCAATTTCGTGATCTATCTACGAAAAAATATTTTCAAAATTCATTCAGCCCATCCCTTTGCAAAGAATATCATTAACAATGAAAAAGTAATAATAATTTTCCCTGAATCCCGGGAAATTCGAAATCATCGAAAATAAATCTCCATGAGTTCGACTGTTTAATCACTTCGATGATAAATTTCCAAATGACTCGGCAATTCCACGATGATTATCCTCGATAATCAATTCATCCCGGTTTTTCAAATATTCACAGTATCACTGCAACAGCAGCTAGTATCGGCGCAGCTGGGATTCCCCAAGCTGGTCTTGTAACAATGGTAATGGTCTTGGATACAGTTGGACTCCCCGCCGAGGATGTCACCCTAATTGTAACAGTCGACTGGCTTCTCGATCGATTCAGAACAACCATAAATGTTGTCTGCGATGCACTAGCGGCAGTGATAATTGAGAAAATGAGTATAGACGAGCTTCGACGGCTCGATGCACCGAAGAACGAGGAAATCGTTGAGCTCACACACTTGAGTAAAGCCGAGGCATGAGCCGTTTGGGCTCAATGAGAATGCGACGAATTACTGCCCGTCAGATACTTATCGATGTCGCAACACGGAGAGAAAAGTTGGGTAAAAATTACCGAGGAAATCGTGGAAAATTTTACGGTACAAAAAAAAACATCTTTGGATGCAAAATACGCACGACAAAATTTAATAAACGAATCTAGCGAATTCGTTAGAAAATTCTATTGAACTTTCTAAGAGGTTTTGGGAAAAAGTCTACAGAATTCGATTTTTCTATGTAACTCATTCTCTTCGGATATTTTCTGTCGAATTTTTTCGACTCACATTTTCCAAGTTTTTTTCATTCTATTTCTACTTTCTTCTCATCACGAAAATCAAACAAAATCAAACAGAAATTTGAGCTAGGGAAATTCTAGAGAAAATATCGCAATTGAATAAGTTGGATAGAAAAATCGAATTAAAAAAAATAGTAGATTGTTTAATAGAAATCCAATAGAATTTTCTAACGAATTCGCTAGGTCTTTCTATTCAATTTTTTCATCTGTGAATTATCGAAATTTTCGCGCGCCAGCGGGGAAAAATTCACTATCCATCTCGCACTTTTTCCTCGATGTAAGTACTGTAAATCGAGTTCGCTCCACGATTACTTGACTTTTCGGTAATTTTTCTCCAAATTTTTTTCTCCGCGAATTGTCGTGTGATTGCACTTTAACAATACTCAAAGGGCTTGCCATATATTTTTTATTATTATGACGAAGCATTTGTGGAAATGCATAATAACGTATCGTTGTCCTTATGAATATTCACACGCACGAACAAATTTTATAGAAATGAGAAATGTATTTTTCTGGGCTGTTGAGATGGGGTGTTTTACGTGCGTGCGTGGGCTGGCCAACCACACGAGTAAAAAAAACCGTCGCAACAGTCCGGGATAAGATTTTTGTGTAGTGATTTTCAAGTCTCCCCGAGGTTGGGAAGTATGCAATACCAATTTCCAAAAAAATACCTAGCGAATTCGATAGAAATTTCTATTGGTTTTTCATTCAAATTAGGTTTTTGGATTTTTATTAAAGATTCTATTAGTTTTCGGCGGATTCTAGCGAAGAATTCTGCAGTTTTACTGCCCATTTTTTTTATAGAAAATGTCCAATAAAAATTGGTTTATAACCAAATCAGTAGAATTTCATTTTTCTATCGAAATATTTTTTATAAAAACTTCTCGACATGAATTTTATACGTTTCTTCAATTGATTTTTTTAATTGAAAAAATAAAAATAGGGCGAAAAACAGAAAATTTATTAATGATTTTTGTAGAAAATAAGTCAATAGAATAAATTGTCATAGAAAAATGGAATTCTATCATTTTCTTCTATAGAATATTGTACTTCTGTTATTATTTCAATAGAATCGGCGAAAAACTAATAGAAAATCCAATAGAAATTGAATAGAATTTTCTAGAGAATGTGCAAGGTTTTTCTATAAAATGTTTTCGTCCGTGTGATTCTTCAATTATTCTGTCAATGGCTGAAGTACTAAATTCCTGCGAACAATTCAGATTGATTCGAGCTACGTGTGAGAAAATCATTCCATCTCACGTTCACACATTAATCGTCGTTCGTTGCAAAGGTTAATTGTATTATACAGTGAGAAACATGGCGACGGATGAATTAAATTCATTTGCGAGAAAATTAGTGGTTAACTGACATTGACACTGGTAGAATTTTCAAGGAATTATTTCCGCTTCGCTACTGAAGTGGAAATCAACGAAATAAAATCGGTTTTAATCAATTATTCGTACATTCTATCGTACGTTTTATTAATGCACCCAGTGGGTGCGCGGCAGATGCATTCCTAGGAATAACGAGGTGCTCATCACTTTCCTAATTAAATAATAACGATTTATAATTGTATAGCGAAGGAGTCAAGCGTAATAACAATAATTTTTAGTACTTTTTAGTAATTTTTAGTACATAACAAAAATTTTTAAATTTGATATTCCCTTCTACTTTCAACATATTCTGAAAATTCATCATGAAATTCATTATTTTATTCCACTTCACTGCTTCGCTATTGAACTGTTGTTGATTGAATTAACCAACTTCCAGTCATACCGATGGTGTCTGTTACAATAAGCCAATTGTTCCTCGTATTTAAGAATGTTAATTATGAAAATAGATATTCGTCTATTCTATTGGCGTTAGATTCATGCTGGCGGCATATTTTTATATGTAAATGTTCGGCATCTGCGAAATTGTGTAATTTTTTGAATAAAAACAGTTTTATAAAATTGTTCCATAAAAATCATTTGTTATTTCAGACAATATCGTATTAAAATATTTAAATAATTAATAATATATCTGAGTTATGGACAAAGTGCTGGCAAAAATATGAGTTATTTCATTGTGAATACACTTGATTCCGTAAGTAGATAGATATATTCATTCAACAGTTGATTAATTAACCGATTAAATTCGATAATTCAATTAGAAAAAGTTCACTTCCTGATTTTCATCGAAAAATATGAGTTCAGCCTTCGACAGAACTAATTTTTTCTCTCATCGAAATCGACTTAAACCATTTTCCCGCTTCGCTACTGAAATTTCAATAAACTTTACGTTTTATTAATCCAGGGGGGGGGGGCAGATCCATTCCTAGGAATAACGAGGTGCTCATCACTTTCCTGATTAATTAATAAAATTTATAATTGCATAGCGAAGGGGTGGAATGTGGAAAAAATTGAGGATTTTGTTTAAATTTAAATTTTCTTTGAACAAAAGTTTTTAGATTCAGATATGCCCCTCTTATTTCAACATATTTTGAACATTTATCCTGAAATTCATTATTTTATTCCACTTCACTACTTCGCTATTGAACTGTTGTTGATTGAATTAACCAACTTCCAGTCATACCGATGATGTCTGTTACAATAAGCCAATTGTTCCTCGTATTTAAGAATGTTAATTATGAAAATAGATATTCGTCTATTCTATTGGCGTTAGATTCATGCTGGCGGCATATTTTTATATGTAAATGTTCGGCATCTGCGAAATTGTGTAATTTTTTGAATAAAAACAGTTTTATAAAATTGTTCCATAAAAATCATTTGTTATTTCAGACAATATCGTATTAAAATAGTTAAATAATTAATAATATATCTGAGTTATGGACAAAGTGCTGGCAAAAATATGAGTTATTTCATTGTGAATACACTTGATTCCGTAAGTAGATAGATATATTCATTCAACAGTTGATTAATTAACCGATTAAATTCGATAATTCAATTAGAAAAAGTTCACTTCCTGATTTTCATCGAAAAATATGAGTTCAGCCTTCGACAGAACCAATTTTTTCTCTCATCGAAATCGACTTAAACCATTTTCCCGCTTCGCTACTGAAATTTCAACAAACTTTACATTTTATTAATCCAGGGGGGGGGGCAGATCCATTCCTAGGAATATCGAGGTGCTCATCACTTCCCTGATTAATTAATAAGATTTATAATTGCATAGCGAAGGGGTGGAATGTCGAAAAAATTGAGGATTTTGTTTAAATTTAAATTTTCTTTGAACAAAAGTTTTTAGATTCAGATATGCCCCTCTTATTTCAACATATTTTGAACATTTATCCTGAAATTCATTATTTTATTCCACTTCACTACTTCGCTATTGAACTGTTGTTGATTGAATTAACCAACTTCCAGTCATACCGATGATGTCTGTTACAATAAGCCAATTGTTCCTCGTATTTAAGAATGTTAATTATGAAAATAGATATTCGTCTATTCTATTGGCGTTAGATTCATGCTGGCGGCATATTTTTATATGTAAATGTTCGGCATCTGCGAAATTGTGTAATTTTTTGAATAAAAACAGTTTTATAAAATTGTTCCATAAAAATCATTTGTTATTTCAGACAATATCGTATTAAAATATTAAAATAATTAATAATATATCTGAGTTAGGGACAACGTGCTGGCAAAAATATGAGTTATTTCATTATGAATACACTTGATTCCGTAAGTATTCCGTAAGATATATTCATTCAACAGTTGAACCGTTGGTTCAGTTAACCGATTAAATTCAATAATTCAATTAGAAAAATTTCACTCCCTGATTATCATCGAAGAATATGAGTTCAGCTTTACCTTGAGACTCCAAGGTCTTGAGTGCCCTAGTCACAACTTCTGTGTCTAATCCATAGAATTCTGGAAAAAACAGGGGAATTCAAGTCGACATGATAATTAATTGAGACAGGGTCTCGTGATATTTCTCGTCCACTGACCTTGATCCACTGTGTTATCGCCTTGGGTCAGTTCGAAGAGGGTACAGACAGATCCAACGAATCCGTTCTCCTGCGCCCAGTTGTAGATTATCTCCCCCCATTCATCCAGCGTGTGCCAGTAGACCAGCCAGCGCTGCTTTGATTTGTCTAGGGGACTCGCATTTCCGGATTTTGATAAGTTATCCAGGATTAATTGGACAGCGTCGGCAGAGAGTTTCCCTGGGGGGAATGGAGGGTTGAGTGTGACGAAGAAATCGCAATTTTTCGCAGAATCTCACGCACGAATAAATTTAATAGAAAGATTTAGCGAATTCGCTAGACAATTCTATTAGAGTGCTATTAGTTTTTGGGTGATTTTATTGAAATATTGGATAGAGAAGTTATTGACTTGCAGTCGATTTTTCTATGTAACTTATTTTACTGAGATATTTGCTGTGGAATTTCGTCGACTCAAATTTTCTAAGGTTTTTTTTATTCTGTTTCTTTGCTTTGCATAAAAAAATCAAACAAAAACATTGGGAAATTCGAGCCGAAGAAATAGAATTCTATTTTGCTGGACAACTTACTCTATTGAGATATTTTCTATAGAATTTTTTCGGCTTAAATTTGACAAGTTTTTTGGTTCATTTTATTAATGAAAAGAGAAGAAAAGTAGTGGAACAAACTTTTTGTTACAGGGAATTCATGTCGAGGAATTCCTGTAGGAAATGTCTCAATATAAAAATTTGTGTAAAAAGACGTGAAGACGTAAAGCTGTGGAATTCTTCAATAAAAGTTCAATAGAAATTTAATAGAATAATTGTCTATCGAAGAAGGCATTCGCAAGAACAATTGTTTATAGAGATTTTAAAAAAATTTTTAAAATAGCTGTAATAAATATAAAATTTATAATAATTGCAAATAGTGCAAAAGTAACGTATTCTCTGCGAGTGAGACGAACAGATGAATCTGCCTGAATTTAGTTTCCTTCTGAAGTTCAACAACAAATGTTTAGGGGAGGGTAGGGTAAAACGGACACTTTTGACTTTTTTCGAAATATTTATGACGTGTTCAATTGTTCATGAAATGGAATAATTTTATTTTTCAATTGAAAAACAATCATTCCTCTTCGTGATGAGCTTAGACTGAGCTCAATTGATAAATCTGTTTCTGTTTATGAATATTTTTAAAAAAGTCAAAAGTGTCCATTTTTCCCTACCCTCCCCTACTAAAACTACATAGGGGAGATTGTGGTAAAACGGACACTTTTGGCTTTTTTACAAATGTTCATGACAGATTTAAACGTTAATGAAATTTAACAATTTTTTTTCAATGCAAAGACCAATTCTTTCCCTTTGGGACGAGCCAAAACTGAGCACAACTGATAAATTTGTTTCTGAGTTATGAGTAATTAAAAAAAGTCTAGTGTCCATTTTACCCCCCCTCCCCTACTAAAACTACATAGGGGAGATTGTGGTAAAACGGACACTTTTGGCTTTTTTACAAATGTTCATGACAGATTTAAATGTTAATGAAATTTAACAATTTTTTTTCAATGCAAAGACCAATTCTTTCCCTTTGGGACGAGCCAAAACTGAGCACAACTGATAAATTTGTTTCTGAGTTATGAGTAATTAAAAAAAGTCTAGTGTCCATTTTACCCCACCCTGTCCTATGTAAACTCATAAACTTGCATAAAATTCACCCCAAAATTAATGATCATCATTGAACCCCTTACTTTTAATCCCAGCATTATTAAAAAGCGGAGTGGCATGAATCTCTCGAACATCCAAGACCGACTGCTTCGTCGCCTTGTAAAACTCCAACACGAGGCTCGTCCACGCCGACAGCTGCTTCTCCTTGGTCTCGGAATGTGGTTGAAGACTGCAACAGTAACCCTTCATCAATCACCCCTGAGCAAATAAAACTGCACAAAATCCTTCGCGTCGAGCACTGAGTTAACCTATTCTTACGTAAAAAACGGAGGAAAACTGTACTGCCAAGGCCACTCTATCTCCCCCATCCTCGCCGCTTTATTCAACTATTTTATACTAAATTCGACCACTGAATTAATTAGAACACTCGTGGACCCACTGACCGATTTAACCACTTATTATTTACAAAGGGAAACGTCAGTGCTCCGACTCTGCACGCACTCGCCCCCACAATCGTCAATCGTAATTTTCTTCACGCGCCACTGGAAGCTCCCCCCGAAATTCCGAATCCATCGAACATCTCTGGATCTTGCTGACAACAATAACTCGTCTGTAGAGTGAATATCTCCTTTTGTTCTCGATAAAAGAAGTTGACGTGATTGCTGAATCATCTGACGTGAAATTACTGCTGTGAATTTCCTCGCACAGATGCGGCGCGAGGCGAATGCCATCACTGCTCCGAATTATTTCACTGATTGTTTATTATGTAGATGAGAATAGTGAACAATTGGGCTGGTGGAACTCAAAGTGTCTCCGATTCGGAGAATATATCAGCGAGTAAAGGGATAGGAATACAATTCAGATCTTCCAGCGAGTCCCTGTGACACGGTTTTGAGGTTAGAAATCAGGTTTTCTATTTTTGATGGGGAAAAGGGACTAAAATGGGGTTTGAATCATCAATATCTAATGGGGAAATGACGCGATTGGAATGAATGAGGGGCTGTTTTGAAGTCTGCGAGAAGTGCTTGGGAATGAAGGGAGAATTGTGGAATTTCACTCAGCGGATTTTGAGTTATTGACGATTGAAAACCGATCATTTCACACTTTTCATCTCGAATTGATGGGGATTTTACTGATTTTCAGGGGATTATTCGGGAATCATGATCACGTTGAGAGGAAAATTGAAAAAGGATGCTGAGGTTGGAAACGCCAAGTCACGGGATTTCAACAAAAGAATCTCCGTTAGAGATAAACTTCTTGTGAAAGAGGTAATTTCAGAAATAAGTAGTTTTATCAAGAGAATTTTATTTGAATCAACTATCGTTTGGTTGTTAATTTTCAAATTAACATGATTTCATAGTGAATACCAGTTCTCTCTTCTTGAGATACATTTGATTGGGAGAAATCGAACTTCTCTAGAATTGAAGTTCCTTTTCTTTGTCGCAATAATGAGAGTATTTGATTTCTTTCTAGCCAGAAGTTTGCTCACTCCAGAAATTCGTTGGTTCACTCAAAAATCAAAATTATTCTCATGACTAAATACGTTGTTATCTCAATCAACACGATCATACGTTGTTCCAAGCAAATTATAATTGAAGTGAGCATTTCGTATGTCGAATCAGGATGAATATTGTTAAGCGGAAAAAGCTTTGAGATTGTAGTAAGATGTCGTTGAGTTGAAAGAAGTTTATATTTCTTGACTAAAAAAATCGCATTAGTTTACAATAACAGAATCACAGATTACGGCAATTCTACACAAACTTGGATATCACAAATTTCGTTCAATGTGATGTACGGAAAGCTCAATTTAAACATCGGCTTCATTCGAGAAAACAACATTCAATTCATTCCTCAATGTAATCATCTCCTAGTCACGAATTTGTGATCAATTCATAAAAGTACAAAACTTCTCAACTGGAGATTATATTAGGTTAAAAAAAATAGAACTTTTCCATTTTTGTGGGGAATGGGGAAGGTGGGGTAAATGGACACTTTTGACTTTTTTTAAATTGTTCATAACTCAGAAACAAATTTATCAATTGAGTTCAGGTTAGGCTCGTCACAAAGAGAAAGAATTGTTCTTTGTATTGAAATTATTACATTTCATCAACATTTCAGCCCCTCATTAACATTAAAAACAAAGTCAAAAGTGTCCATTTTACCCCAACCTCCCCTACATGCGAATGACGCCAAGGACTGTTTTATTTGATTCAAGTAAATGTATCTCAAGAAGAAATAATTGATATTCACCGAAAGATCTTATTCATTTGGAATTGGTTCAAGTATGTAATACTTGTTCCAAAAAAGGAACATCTCAATAAAAATAATATTTTGTATCAGTAGTGGGTTTTATGAATGGGTAATTGTGGGAGAGTTGACGGGGTCCACTCAACATCACATTAGGCAAGACCTGGATTCTAATATTCTAGTGTTCGTGATATTGATTCAAGGTTCAAGAGATGGAGCAAACATTGCCGAATACCTGCCAAGCGACTTTCAATAATCCCAACCGATTGCATGAGTTCAACCTCATCATTACTCCAGATGAAGGCTACTGGTTGGGAGGTAAATTTCTGTTCCACATTTCCGTACCTGAGGAGTACAACATGACCGTACGTATCATCTGCTCATTGTCCCTGCGTTTCTTACATTCCACAGCATTAATCGAGAGACTTATCATAAATATATTGATGATCACACATTTAAACAACAATATTCTTCATTAAATTCATGAAAGTTTCAATAATCACTTGAATTTTCACATTAATGATTGACATTGGACATTACGTTCAATTAAATTTCGGATGAAGTAGAAGTTCGTTTAATCGTCATTGTTTCCTCTGAATTGATTGCTTCTTCACTCTCAAAATCTGTTTTAGGTTCACATAAATTAATTTTTGTCGAAGACTCAAAGAGTTTTCATTTCATATCTGAAGTAAAATTGTCTATTAGCCTGAAATTATTCCAAAAATAACATCAACAATTCATTGTTATTCTCTAACAGCCACCAAAAGTAAAATGCATAACGAAACTCTGGCACCCCAACATCAATGAAGATGGTGATGTCTGTTTATCCATCCTAAGACAGAGTAGTCTCGATGGAATGGGTTGGGCGCCAACTCGGAAGCTCAAAGATGTGGTCTGGGGGGTAAATTCCTTATTCACTGTGAGTTTCGCTCTCTAAACTTTACAAGTTTTATTTAATTCGATTGACTCCACGTACATTTTTTCAACAGGATCTCCTGAACTTCGATGATCCACTGAATAAAGACGCTGCAGAACAATTCTCAAAAGACAAAGAGACATTCAAAAACAAAGTACGAGAGTACGTGAATCAATATGCGAGAAGATGATTCAAGAATTTGTAGAAACTCCTGCGGACATAATTCATTTATAATTGTATTTTTTATTATTTCTCGATTTATCATTTTTTCTATTTAATATTCAGTTGCTAGTCTCATTCATCCCAACGATTGTTTGTCATTCAATTTACGATAATTTTGGTGAAAAATTGGAGTGAAGGGACAAAAAATGTACAGAACGATCAATATTTTTCAGCATTGTAGTCTTTATTTCCAGGAAACATTTTGTAAATAAAGAAAAAAAATTATTATATAAATTAACGTGCAATTCATCCCATAATTAACGTTTTTTGTACAGTTTTTCATGTATTCATGTCTAAAATGAACTAATGAAGGCCACAAACGACGTCTCTCAAACGTTCAACAAATAAATAACAGAACAAGAACGAAAAAAACTTTGAAATTCCGGTCGCCGTGCGATAATTTTCACAGATGTTTCACTTGAAATTTTTCGAAAAAATGGCCCTTTATTCTTCAATAGTTAAAAACTTTCTCAATAAATAAATACGTTATTTGGAAAATCATAATTGAATTGTACCTTACTCTAAGTCGATGGATGTGATCAATTCATCCTCTGTGCTGTAGGATCTATTTAAATTACGAAGACTTCCAAAGGCTTCCGTCAGATTGTCACTCGTCGATGCAAGGTTGTGCTTCATTTCGTGATATTCTTCGTTATATTTTTTCAATCTATCACCAGGGAAAGACGCTCTCTCTCGCTTCTTAATCATAAATTCTGTGGGCATCAGCCACCTGTGCTCGTGGCATTCCTCAGCTGTAGGTCTCTTACTGCAATTTCAATCAACGTTACATTTGTTAACATCATCTGAAGATAGAAAGTATAGAAAAATTTAGAGAGAGATGGGTGGACGAGAATTAATTTATTTATTTTGAGATGTGATGTGAAACACGTAGAAAAATTCAGTAGTGAAGTGGTAAAATGGTCCAAATTGCGGTTGACTATCGGTCGGTTTTCAATGAATATCTCGGAATCTAAGGCAGGATTAGACAAATTTTCGATAAAAATAATTTCTTGTACGAATGAGTTGCCAAGGGTTTTCAAGAGACAAATTTTCGCATTTTATGACTTCTGCGTGCGTAAACTCAACTTGAAGAGATTAAAACTGCATCTTCCTGTTACATGGGGAAAAACAAATTGCTTTGGGGAAAAATGGAAAATTGTGAGATAACGAATGTATTTCAACAGGCGTCTTAAATATCATTTTACATGTGCGACCGAACAGGTACTCTGCAGAGCGTCTCTTCCGGGTGACGCGTTGACTTCCAACCATTGACCCGAAGGGTCACGAAGATTTCCGAAGATGGCCGAATTATTGGACCGCCCGGCTTGAGATTCTAGTTACGTTTCAAACAACGTGATGACGAAAATTTCGTTCTCATCGGGAGATATTTTCGAAAATCTCCTTCTCGTTGGGAGATATTTCTCAAAAACTCAGCTAAGAGTCAAGTCGACGTGAGTCATTTTACCACTTCGCAACTGGATTTCCCTCGTCTCCATAGAATTGATTCCACTCCTAAATTACCACCCAAAACCTAAGAATTCTCTCCACCCTTCCCATTTCCAATAAAACCCCAAAACCCACATACCTAGGTGTTCGTTTGAACAGCAGCATGAGGAACCTCGTAGCTTCCTGGCTGATTTCCTTATACAAATGTTCGAATCTGTACCTCACAAACGAGATATTCTGCCTAGTCTCATTATCATCAGCCCCCTTAAACGGCGACACCCCAGACAAGAGCACATAAGTGAGAACAGCAACGCTCCAAATATCAGTCTGAGGATACGCCAACTCCTCATTGAGTACCTCAGGCGACCTGTACTCATGATGCCCGGACTTCAACGGGACCTCAGTTCCCAGTTTCGAGACCTTCTTCGCAGTTCCAAAGTCGACAAGTTTAACATGCGCCGACCTGAGAGAAGCCATCACCACATTATCAGGTTGAATATCCAGATGGCAGTATCCCCTCCAATGAAGGTACTGAAGAGCATCAAGAACCTCTGTGACAATAGTAGCGACGCAGTTCTCGGTGTACTCAGGTCTGCTGGCCAGATACGTCAGGACATCAGACCCCTGCAGCTTCTCCAGGATGAAGACAGCGACTGGTGAGTCGGCGGCCCAGTAAGCCGCGTCGAGAAGTGCAATCCTCTCGTGTCTGAGGGACCTCAACACCTGGAACTCCTCGCCCACCGCTTCCTTCAGTTCCGGACGAATCTCCAGGATCTTGGCCACCACCAGCTTATCACTCTCCTTCTCAGCGCCCTTAACAACCATGGAGAATCGCCCCCTGGAGACCTCAGAGATGAAGGAATACCGACTCGTGAACTGGGAGTCGATGGTCCACTCGATGGGTGTGTCCTCAGCGTCGTAACTGATCCTCGGCTTCTCCTCGTCAGGGATGATCTCCTGACCGGACTCAGTCAGATGCTGTAGATGTGTCATTGCCCGACTGATAGGCACCTTCGGCGCTCCCTCTGGCTTTGTCTGAATGAGATTGGTCTCGAAGCCTTTGTCACCCCAGCCAATGCGGTTCCTAGCTGCCAGCCGGAAGTGATAGCTCGTGTTCGGTTGGAGATCTTTGACGAGGTAGAACTCGTGATCGATATTGCTGGCCACATCGATCCAGTCGATGGAGTCACCAGCCTTGTATTGTAAATTGTAACACAATATTTCGGAGTTTCCGTCGTCCTTCGGGGCTTTCCAACGCAGGAGGATTTCCGTGTCTGATATGCCACAGACTTCTGGGGCCTGGGGAATACCTGGGACGGTGGCTAAAACTATTCGTGTTCGAGCTACGGTTTGGCCCACGGGATTTCTGGCAACCACTTTGTAGATTCCGATGTCGTATTCCCGGGTTGGGTTGAAGCTGAGGATTGATCTGCCGTCGGTTGCCTCGACGATGCTGATTCTCTTGCCTTCTTGGATGACGAGGTCGTTCTTGTACCATTGGACGTTGGGCTTTGGGTTCCCAACGGCGTAGCAGGCCAGCTGGGCACACTTGCCTGCTTGGATCTGGAGGATCTGGGGCTTCTCACGGAAGAATGGGAGGTTTCCACCTTTCTTCTCTTCTATCATGGCGTCAGCCTCGTAGTAGGAGTCCAGGCGGGTTCCCAATTCGTGACGCAAACGTCGCATTGTGTTGGAGTCCGCTCCGTAGTTGTTGATCCTCGCTTTACGCTCATCGTCGATCTCCTCGTCCATTACGTCTGTGAATCTTCGGCGTTCTCTTATTATTGGGGTTCTCCAGTCGTACCTGGTAGAAATGAGAATTTTGGGAGTGCCATTGCAGCCATACACTGAGTGAATACATTAATACTTGGTTTATTCTAGGCAAATTATTATGGGAAGGTGAAGAAAGTGAGATTCAAGGGAAGTTTTGAAGGAATTAAAGGAAAATATTCATGTGTAGTCGTTGTGTTGTATCATTTACTTGAGACTCGTAGTTATTTTCATCATTTTAACGTTGAGGAAATGGAAAAAAGACAGACAAAATCCATGAACTTGCTAAAGAACAAAACCACTTTGATGAGAAAAAAAGTTTCTTGATAAACAAAATTGGTTGATTATAAAAATGATTGAATGTGGATTGAAATATTAACGTAATGATTGAATAAAGCATTGAATTCAATAAAACGAAAATTAAATCCTCAGGACTATTTCATCACTTGTGCAAAATTCCCCTTTTCACACATCGTGATGAAGAATGGGGTTCGATACTCGTGAGAAGTGTTTTATGATCCTCGAGACGGTAGCATTCGGCTTACACACCTCCCACGGGTCCAAAAACTAATGTTACTATTACGCACGTATGACGCATTCGTATCGAAATATATTATTATTTCATGGCTTCCAGTTCTCAGAAATCTTGCCACGCGTGAGCTCGTGGTGGGGGTTGCGAAATACAGTCGCATTCTCCGAATTCGTTTCCCCTATTCCCCCATAAGTGCGACTGCGACGAGAGTCTATTGAATTGAGATGCGCTTTGAGGCAATTATTTCAATTGAGCTGAGTTTACCTATCAAATTGTACCACTATTTTTCTATTCAAATTTCGTCAAATTATTGGAAATTGAGATGTTGTGTTCAAAATAATGTAAATTGAAATGTAGTCTAGAAGAAGAATGGAATGTTAGAAAAAGGGAGCTATAAGATTGCGTCAGTCGCGACCGTTTAAGAAAAGGGGAGTCTTAGTCTCGCCGACTTGTAGACAATATATCCAATAATTTAACATCTACAACATACCCATCGTCATTGTAGATCCTCGTGAAGCTCGGGCAACGATCATGAGCGACCTTCATGTACTCCCGAAGCCGAACCGGGAAGTCGGTATCCCGTAGCTGAAGGAGGTAAGTATCCGGGCCGTTCTGGTAATGACTTTCGTTCGAGAACATTCCAATTTCCGTGTCAATAGGCTCCCTCGATGGCACCCTATTCTCCCAAGCCCTGGGCTCCGGCTTCTCCCGCGGAGTATAAGTGCGTTCAGCAGTGGGTTCTGGTGTGTACCTATCCCCAGGTGGATACACCATCTTCGAGGGATGTTCAAACGCACTGCTCAACCTCCTCCTCCTGTACCAGTTCCTGCAAGAGGCGTTGCTGTACCAATCCCTGAATAATTTGTAGTAGTTCCTCAGATTTTCCGAGGGGATCTTGTAAGGCTCCACCGGTGGTTTATCCAGGTTGCGTAGCCAAGGATGCCGAAGCGCCTCAGACACATCCATTCGATCCTCAATAGTGTAAACAAGAAGTCGTTTTATGAAGTCCTTAGCTTCACTCGAGATGTGCATCCACCAGCGCTCGTCAAAGTCCCAATTTCCATTCTTAATCTTCGTCAGAGTCTCGCGATCATTGATTCCGCGGAACGGAGAGATTCCCGACAACAGGATATGCGTAATGATACCAAGAGACCACATGTCAGCAGCGTATGCCACCCCATCCCCGTTGACAACCTCCGGCGCAACAAACTCCGGCATTCCGTAAACAAGAGTCATCAATCTGTTGTAAGAAATCCTTCGAGCGAGGCCAAAGTCCCCGATCTTCAGATCATCACTACCAGAGTGCGAGATCAGGAGATCGCCGAGGGTCAAGCCCAGATGAGCCCAACTCTCATTGTGCATGTGCTCCAGTCCTCTCAGGATCTGTCTGATGTAGTTAGCCACTTCCCATTCGGTGTAGAACGGATTCCGCGTCAGGGTGTCCACCAGTTCTCCTCCCCCAGCGAGTTCTATCAAAAGTGTCATGGAGCCATCTGTCTCATACGCATCATGAAGTCGAAGGAGATTGCGATGATTCAGGTGATTCATAGCGTTAATCTCGTTGAACATGAGAGGCTTCAGCTCCCCACGTCCGTGCATCACTTTAGCGGCATAATTCTTGCCAGTCGCCCTCTCAACAGCGTGATAAGAGATACCCTGAGTGCCCCTTCCAAGCTCATCCCCGAGATCATAGTAATCATCGAATAATTTTGTCTTCGGCTTGACGTCCGTCTGCCTCGTGTACGTTCTGTACCCGTATTCATGCTCATTCTCCTCGACGTGGACCATCACCGAGCATGAGATAGATCCAGCCACGTTCCTAGCACTCACGGAGTACAGTCCCTCGTCCTTGAGGATGGCGTCGTTGATGGTGAGGACTGATGTGTCCGGCTCGAAGAAGTCGATCTTGATCCTGGCGGACGGCGCCAGGGGCTTCCAGTCTTTATACCACTTGATCTCAGGGTAAGGAACCCCGAGGATCCTAGCCTGGAGGTGTCCGTTCCTCCGTAGCATTATGATGCTTTCGTCAGGGCGCTGGATGAACGTTGGGTATTCAGCGATCTCCAACCGAACCCTTTGCCGAGCTTCGCCGTGCTCGTTTGTGGCAACTGCCTCGTATATCCCAACATCTCTTTCCAACATCTTGTTTATGAAAAGCGTCGCCTGACCGTTCCTAGTGTAGCTGTGGTCGTAACGCCCTCCGCACTCGATCAATTCGTTATTGAAGTAGTAATTCATCTTTGGTTTTGGATAGCCGTAGACGAACCAGAAGAGGTTGCAGTTGTGGTTCTTCACGCCGTACTGGGCGTCATGCTCTTGACGGAGGAATTTGGGGGCCTGAGCGTAGCCGTCGTGAGGGGGGCGCTCGATGTCAAAGTCTTTGGGGAAGTAAGGGCTAGTTTCCGGGCGGAAATCGATGCCCGGAGGAAGGTACGGATGGAACTTCGGTGGGTCTGGCAGGAGCTTGGAACGGTACGTCTGGGCGAATGGCGAGGGATCGCTTATTCCGTACTTGTTCTCAACTCGAATACGGAATTTGTAATCGCGGAAGGGTTCGAGGTTTCTGATGTCACATACGCAGCTGCGGAGGCCGGATCTGGCTGTGAACCAGTCACCGTCGGGTAGCTCACACATCTCGACGAGATAGGTCACTGGGACACGTGGTCCGATGGGGATTGACGGCTTCCACGAGAGCGTCAGGTGTCTGTCCATCATCCTGCTGATGATTGGGCGATCGGCAAGGGGCAGGGGTATCCCGGACTTGCGGTACTTATCGAACTCCGAGTACTGATCGGCCAGTGGTTTCTTGGGACGAATGTCCAGGGTGTCGTAACGCATCTCTGCGTGGCAGATGTCTTCGCCGTGGGGGTTGTAGATCCTCAGGCTGTATTTACCTACGTCGTGCTCATCGATATTCATGAGAATTAAGCGAAGGAGACCGGAGCCTTCTTCCTCCATTCTGATGCGATCGGTCGGCCAGAGTCTTTCGTTGTTTCGGTACCACTCGAAACTAGGGTCAGGACAGCCTGTTACGCATGCTGTGAACTTGGCGGTCATGCCTTTATAAATCTCACAGTCCCCTATGCGTTTTAGGAAGGACGGAGGTTCGACTTTCTGTCTGCTGTCGATGCCAGAACCTAGGGATAGAGCGGCCTCGCAGGAAGCCTCGCCCTCTTTGTTCACAGTTCTACACTTGTATCTTCCAGCATCAGCTGGAGAACAGTCCGATATGTACAGACAACATATATCCCCGTCTCTTTTGATCTTGTACTTGTCGTTATCACGCGGGATCGGTTTGTCGTTGAAGTACCAGGCGACATCCGGACGAGGTATTCCAGTGATCCTTGCAGCGAACTTGGCGTCATGCCCTGGCAGCTGCTGAAGATCCGTGAAACGCTGTGCGAAGTTCGGTTTCGAGTGGATTTTCCGAACAGTCGCGATTCCGCTGGACGAGTCTTCCCCCAGAGGATTGACCAGACGACATCGGTAGACTCCCGCGTCCTTAGCTGTGCAGGGATATATCTCGATTCCCACCTTCCTCCCATCACAGGATAAGAGAACTCGGGAGTCCGACGGCTCCACAGCTTCTCCATCCTTCGTCCAGGAGACGTCGGGAAGAGGATTACCTGAGAACGCTGCACTGAGGGACAAGGCTTCACCTTCTTCAACACTGACGTCTCTCAGCTGTCCGAGGAAGACTGGCTTCTCCCCAGGTGCGTCAGTTTTCTCCCTTCCAGCAACACTTAATATTCCATGACTGGCTTCCTCGCCTTCGGAATTAGTAGCCACCACTCCGTACTCTCCGGCATCCTCAGCGCTGACTTTGTCGATAAGAAGGGCGTGGGTACCGTCAGGCTGGGAGACGACCTTGATGTGTTGTCCATCGGGAACGATCTCCACTCCGTTGTGCGTCCACTTAAGCAATGGTGGTGGTTTACCAACCGTCGTCACCTCCAGCTTAGCTGGGAATCCCTCAACGACTGTCAGGGGCTGAAGGGTGGTCAAGAACCCTGGCTTCTTCTCTTTAGCTTCAACCTCGACATCAGCTGTTCCAGTAACTTCACCAAGGTCATTTTTCACAACCAGAGAGTACACCCCGGCGTCCTCTGGCTTTGTATTCTCGATGGACAGGCCCATGACGCCATTCGGTTCGTTGATGAACTCTATCTCCTGAGATTTGCGCAATGGCAAGCCGTCTTTGAACCACTGGACCTCCGGAGTTGGAAAAGCGACTACTTGGGCTTGCAGTTTCAAGGGCTCTCCCACCACGATGTGGACGTCTTCCAGAGGCTTGGAGAACGACGGCCTTCGGAGGGTGGGCTTCACTGCAACCGCGCACTGGGTGGTGTTCTCTCCATTGTTGTTCTTAGCTATGAGCTTGTAAGCTCCGCAATCCGTCGGGGTGCATCTGTCGATTGTCAGCTTCGTCGAACCATTCGGCTGTGTTTCAATCTTGATGTGACCATCAGGTACGATCTTCTCGCCGTCCTTGAACCAGGTCACCTTCGGGAAGGGACTCCCGTCTATGTCGAGGGTCAACTCGAGGGGCTCACCTTCCTCAATCTGTTTCGATTTTGGCAGCAATTTGTCGAAGGTCGGTGGGATTCTGATCATAGACAACGTGCACTTGGCCTTGGCTTTTCCCGCGAGGTTCGTTGCGACGCAGACGAGCTCTCCCTCGTCGGTCGCATCGAAGTTGACGATGCTCAGAGTACTGAAGACGTGGTCGTCGACGATTGTATTGATGGTGTGGCGTCCGTCGTTGGTGAGTTCGTCTCCGTTGATGAACCACTGGATCTTGGGGCGAGCTATGCCTTTAGCCTCGACCTTCAGCTCGATAGCCGCGTCGTGGCGGACAGATCCGTTGGAGAGGGTCTGAAGGAACTCCGGGGGTTCGGTGTAAGGTATCAGTTGTGCCTCCGCGCTGTCTTCTCCGAGGTAGTTCTTAGCGATGACTCTGTAGGTGCCGGCGTCTTCGTAAGCTACGTTTTTCAGGACCAATCTGTATATTTTGTTCTTGTAGTCGTCCTCGGAGCCGTAGCGACTCTCGTCTTCGAGGAGAACGCCTTCTCTCTCCCAGGAGAGCTCCGCCTTCGGGTTGGACTTGATAATCACTTCCCAACGAGATAGTTCCTCGACAGCTGCATTGAGGTCCTTGAACTCTAGAATCTGGGGCGGGGCGAGGAGTTCCAAATCGGCTGTGGAGCTGTCTTCGCCGTGAATGTTTGTGGCTTTTAAGGTGTATTTGCCTACGTCGCTTTGCAGACAGTCGGCTATGCTGAGGGAGAAGGTGCATTGGTGAAGGCCGTCTTCTACTTTTCGGCTTGCTAGGTTTCGAGTGAACTTCTTGTCGTCTACTGGGATTTCCTTTCCGTCGTGCAGCCATACCACGTCGGGGATGGGGTCCGCTGTTAGGACTCCCTGGAGGGTGCCTGACGTGTGGATCTCGACGTCTACGTCCTTCACGCCCTCACAGAATCTGGGCTTGCGGAGGTCTCCCACTGGCCCAACTTCCAGGAAAGCGTCGAGGCTTGCCGAACCGAGTTTGTTGGTCAGGACAAGTTGGTATATTCCGGTTTCTTTCTCTGTTGCTTTGTTGATTGTCAGGGTGTAGGTCTCTCCTACCTGGGCGGGTTTGGCTTTGTCAGCAGACTTCAAGGGCTTCTCGTCTTTGAACCATTTCGCGTCGGGACGGGGGAGACCGGTTGCTTTTATCGTGAAGACGGTGCTCTGGGTTTCGTAGATCGTTCGGTCTTCGAGGTCGTGGCTCACGATTGATGGCGCGGCTGGGGGTAAAGGGTTAAGAATATCGTAAAGATGGACGCGAGAAGTTTCGAGGTTGGTCGACACTCGAGAAGCCACTAGAACTATTTGATTACGAGAGCCTTACCTCAGCACTGAAGACTATCTCCTGGGATTGTTATTGGTTTCTGTGTCGCATGCAAGCCAAGCAAAGGTTTGAGGGGATTGGGGGAGGGGCATTATTTATTGAATGATTTGGGGGTGTTGAGGATATCCAACAGAACAACGTCTTCTAATCATAAGAGTATTTCATGAATAATGAAGAGCTATTGGAAACGATGAATAAAGGTCATGACAAAGTCTATCGACTATTTGACCATTTCGTCATGAAATAAATCATGTTTCATGTAAGTTCCAACAGAAAAAAACAATCAGTAGCATTTAGTCGTCCAAAATAACAAATGTAAAATAATATTTCCATTCAAGGCCCGGCGCCATTATCTGCCGAACGTGATCTAGATTAGGTTTTTGTTCGATTTCTATCTCGAAATTTCAACTCGATGACCCGTCACTCGGAGACCCCCGAAAATGATGAATTTGGATTGAAAAAAAGTTTTTAAAAAATCTGAACATTTTGAAAGAGCGTTTTTAATTCATATTGAGGAATTATTCCAATAGAGGAGATATGAATAATGTATAATTACTACGGCAAAAGGCGGCCTGTCAGTCGCCGCCATGTGGTGAGGAAATACAAAATATTTTCGAGATAATCGAACAGAAAAAGTAATCTAGATAACGATTGAACAACCCCTTCCAGCCAATTTACGGTTGGAAAAGAAAATTGGAAAAAATTCAATTTTAAATTAAAGTGAAAGTTACTTAATGTTTATTCATTTTTATGGATTTTTAATTTTTTTCATAAAAAAAATTTGTTCATTCTATACAATAAGTAAAATAGTATAACATGTGCTTTCTTAAAAACTTCATATACATATTTAGAAATTTTGTTCCACCAATAAATAAACTGCCCTGAAGAACTGTCATTTTCATTTTTTTTGAAGTCAGAAATTTCTATTATTTTTGCTTATTCGTGACCGTAAATTGGCTGGAAGAAGCTGTTCAATAATAAACAGAAACGGTTAGACAAATTACAAGAACAATCTAGCTACCGTTCGGCAGATAATGGGGCCAGGCCTTAATTCTCATGAAATAGATTCCCCGAATATCCTCAATGCGCACAGAACGATGACCAATGGATAAGTATATAAAATGAGAGCACTGAAGATCCTTTACACACAAATGACACCACGAGATGATTGAAATGATCGTATAACATAACAAACCTCAGTACCGAAATCGTTCCCAACTCTTACCTCCGATTTCGCCATTCTCCGGTTTCTCCGTGGTTTGATCGATAATTTCTTCAAGAACACTTCGCTGTCTCTTGATCCTCTCAAGAAGAGACTTGGTCTTCTCATCAGCATCCAGATCATCGTCGTCATCAGTGGCAGCCTTTTGCGAGTTTCTCCTTGATCCTGAAGTCACGGAACCTCTTCTCGTCTCCGTCGAGTCAACTCGACTCATCCTCGAGCTTTGACGGGAGAGCTTGCCCTCCTCAAGAACAGCTGTTTGTGAATTCTGTCTGGACAGATCACTGATCGAGGCCCTCGTCGACTCCACGGAGTCAACTCGACTCATCCTCGAGCTCTGGCGAGACAGCTTACCATCTTCCACAACAGCTGTTTGGGAGTTTCTCCTAGGAATATCTGTTATCGACGCCTTTCTAGACTCAACAGAATCGACTCGCTCGACTTTCGACGATTGCCTTGTTAACTTGCTCTCCTCAGCAGTTCCTCTTTGGACTTTCGTCTTAATGGAAACCTCTTCGGGAACCTGTTGAGATGAATTATCGATAAACGTCTCCTCAATTATGGTTTCGGTGTACCTCACGGCGTGGTGAGGCCCATCGTATTCGAAAACTTTCTCCTCAACAGTCTTTCCCTGCGGGATCAATTCCTCGAATATTTCGTTGCGCTTGAAGCCTTCGGAAACTTCAGCGTTGTCGATTTCCTCTCCGCTGACGTCTCTAGAGAGAGCTTTCAGGGTGGATTCGTCATCGGATACCGATACTATCGAGACCCCTCGGTTCACAGATAGCTTGTTCTTCCTATCGTCTTCTTCTGAAAATTCCTCGATCAATATCCCGTTCTGAGGCTTCTGGCTGTTCTCATCGTCTTGTATTGTGTAACTGTAAGAAGCTATCTCTTCTACCTGTGGTCCGTCCGTGTGAATCTCCTGGCACTCGACTTTCGTTGATTTCATTTTGCTGATTGTGTGACGCTCGTCAGGACCTGCGGGGACTCTCAAATGTAACTATCCCCGTGGTAAGTCTCCCTTAGTTCCTAACAGGCGCATTCCTCAGCTCATATCGTCTACCTCATTCTTGTCAATGTTTTAGAAGCCATTGTTATGGTGATGATTTGAAGTGCAGTCGGACATGAAGGCAGAGGTGTTAAGTAGCTTTTTGCGGAGCATCCTACGTAGTGATGCCGCAAGACAAAACAAGACAAGAATTACGGATTTCTTGTCTTGTCTTGTAATTTTAGGGTTTTCTCTTGTCTTGTCTTGGTCCAATTGGCAAGCGAAAATTCGTCATTTGTCTTGTTAGATATGAACAAGAGAAAAAAATTCTTGTCTTGTCTTGCATGGTTTTGTGCACCTCGACAATTTTATTTTTCAATTCCGTGAGATGAATAAATTGAGTTTTTATTTGAGAAAACTTGAAAAGAAATGGAATGAGGACTCGAAATCACTCAGCTCCGGGCTCCATAACGTAAGAGACATTTTCGAGAAAAGTCCTGAACATCAACCAAAAGCCAGAATAGAAGAAACAGCGATCTACAGATTGAGAATCGAACACACCAACTTCAGTCATAAACACTTAATGTGTAAGGAAGAATCCAAAAAATGTCTAAGATGTGATGTCCCCTTTATGGTGATTTACCGTTTGACGGAATGCCCAGAATTTTGAGAACATTAACATAATCGAGGAATACATAATTCTACACAATATCCAGGTGTAGATAAAATGTTACTTGACAAAATAGCCTCATATAATTGATGACTTGAGAGTTTTTGACGAATTTTTTGACTAATTATTTTTCTCTTGTTCCATATCTTTTTTTCTCTTGCCTCCTGCGCTCTTCCGGCATCACTAATCCTGCGTGTCAGTGTGTAATTTGTTTCTTATTATATCGACCAAAATCGTAAACTCTTCGGTACAAATGAAGCGCAAATAATAACGCCAATTGTATTAAAGAAATTGCAAACAAAGAAATAGAAACAAAAATGTTAAATGAATACCGCGAAGAGAAATGTCTCTGGTTACGACATCAGTCTTTGATATACAGATACGCTTTCGAATTTAAGAAGGGTTTTGCTTGTTCCGCATGTGTCTCACCTGTCATCGTAGCTTCATGCTCTGTTGTTGATTCCACGGATATTGTTATCGTTTCACCTTCCTTTCCCTTGACTTTCTCGATACTCCTCTTCACCAGTTTCTCGCAACCTGAATTTATCAAGTTGTAACAACACTACTAACCACTACACCTAAGCGAAGCATTATTTCTTTCGCTAGAAAAAACGTTCGATGTTTCTCTTTGGCTGACAGATAATGTTTTCTTTTTCTGTTTGGATTTGCCAAAAGTTGGGAGAAAGTGGTTTTCTTTTCGTGAAACTGAACGTGTTGAAGTTCTTGAAAGCTTAACTAATGTTCATTTTTTACCTTCTGGTCCTTCAGCTTGTTGTTTTTCTACCGAAATATCTTCCTCAACTGCTTTCTTCTTCTTCGATGCATCTTCGTCTAATGTTTCAGTCTTTGCTTCCGACTTGGCTATGAAGTACAAGAACTTTCATGAAGAAAGATCGGATTTTTGGGTTTATCGAATTATTGAGAAGTTTGACACAATTGGCATTTGGGAGCAGACATCGGCAGAATCATTAATTTTAATGAAAGTTGTTGATATTCCTCATCAATTTATTAATTATTAAATTGATCATCTATTAAATATTCAAATTCCGAATCATGATATCAATCAATCATTGATTTCGGAAGATTGACGATTATTTGGCTAATCGAAAATACTTTTATGAAATTTAGAAATATTTACTCAATAGTCAATTGACAATTCCATATTGTCAATTATTTAGTTCATAGTCAATTGAATATTTAAATTACCAATGATTATATTATTTTTTAAATTTCAATGAAGATAAGTCACCCTTAATTATTGTAAAACGCGTTACTAAATTAATGATTGATGCCAATCCATGTTTGGGGGATTCATAGTTTAGTGTTTTTACGTTCAATGAATTCGGGAAGGGAACACGTTTTTGGTTAACTCAATGCATGCAACTTGATTTAATTATTCTCAGGGAATTCATGGATATAAGTTTCGTACTTACATTAATGAAGCATAAAGCGTTTGATTATCGTAAGATCTTGCAGAAGCTTGATAAGCTACTTTTCCGTACTTAAACATAAGCTGAACGCGCACGGAGAAATTTCATAGAAAAAGCCAGCGCATTCAGTAGGAAATTATATTGAACTTCTGTTGAAAAATTGTTTTTTCAATAAAAAACATTCCATGGAAAATATTTTACATAAAATATTCAAAGAATCTGATCTTTCTTAGAACTGAGTCAACAGACTTAGTTTTTCTATGAAGTTTTTTCCTGCGGGAAACCTGGATTGAAGAAGTTCTTGCGGTGATTATTTAAAAAGTCGAGTGCGCAGTGCAAAAATGGGTTTTTAACCGCAAAAGTCCTTCAAAAAATCGTAAATATAATCAGTTCAGGCATAAACTTACTCAAAACAATGACTTTGCTCTTGCAAGTGACACTTCCCATCTCGTTCTCAGCTCTAACTTCATAAGTACCCCCGTCAGATCCCTTCACCAAGTTCAAAGTGAGATCATAGCTCTCTTTCCTCTGACTGTCCCGTGTGATTTTGATCCTAGCATCTGCAGAAACTTCTTTTCCATCCTTGAACCATTTGATATCTGGATCCGGCGTGCCCGATATTTGCACAGCCAATTTGAGAGTCTCTCCCTCGTTCAGCTTCTGATCCACCAATTTCTTCACGATTTTCGGCTTGCAGTAGACAATCAGTTGTCCACTGCTGGAGTCTGAACCGTACTGGTTGGTCAATTTACACATGTAAGTGCCAGAACGCTCTTCTTTGATGTCCTTGACGACGAGCTTGTGAATGTCACCTTCTGAGGATGTCACGAATTCTTTCTTTTCTTCGGTTATTTCGCTTTTGTTGATGTACCATTGGACCTTGGGTCGCGGGTAACCAGCAACTTCAACCGTGAATTCAGCACTGGTTGCCCCGACTTTTGTGATTACATCGGCCATACTTTTCTTGAATCTTGGGGCACATTTCACCTGAGACAAGAGGACAATCAAATTTTACGGCGGTTTCATATACATATTTTGATCGATTGAGATAGAAGACATCGAGACGAATATTAAAAAAAATGAAATAGGTTGAGTAGTTTTTGAGATATTTGCGAAAAAAGATTTAGAAACAGATGGAAATTTCGCAAAAACGGCTGGATTGATTGGACTCAAATTGAGCAAAAATTTAGTTCTTATTAATGCCTCCAATCTAACAAAATTTCAGATTTTTTTGAATTATTTCAGTCTTTCAATTCTTCAATTTTGTAAAAATTCCCCACCCGGTGGACATCGCACATACAGATGGGGGGCCCAAACTTCGTATTTTTCGTTTCAGGCCATTCTACATCATTTCCAAGGAAAATTATAGAATCAAATAATAGAACGATTTCAAAGCTTCCGTTCAGAAACAAAAATGAATCAAAAATACTGTACCTCAATTCCAACTTGATCCACAGTGGTCCCATCCTTATTACTGACTTTGGCCTTATAAACCCCGGCGTCAGTTCCCACAGTCTCGCTGATCTTCAAGATCTTCGTCCCCCCGTTATCGACAATCGTGATCCTCTGGTCCTCCTTGATAACTACATCATCCTTCAGCCAAACAACGTCCGGCTCAGGCGTGGTCTCCACTTCGATCTGCAGAGTGAGACTAGCCCCCTCCTCGATAATCCTAGACTCCCCCAGCTTCTTCTTGATCTTCGGTGGGCACTTGACGTCGAAGTTCCAGACATCAGACGTTTGATTGATCTCATTCTTGGCCATAATCGAGTACGACCCTGTATCCGTGAGCTTGCAGCTCTTGATAATGAGACTATAGCTGTCACTTCCCTCCTTCACAAACGAAATCCTGTCGGATTCCTTGATCACCTGCCCATCCTTGTACCACGTGACGTCCGGAGCTGGCGACGCCTGAATCTGAACCGTCATTTTGGCGTCGGTTTCGATGTAAACGAAGGTGTCAGTCATCTTCTTCACGATCTTCGGGGCGGATTTGACGATGAGCTCTATGTACGTCGTGTCCTCTCCCAATTCATTCTTCGCTTTGATGGTGTAAACCCCGCCGTCATCGCTCGTCACGTTCTTGATGACGAGAGAGAGGGACTCCTCGTCCTCCCAGAGGTACTTTATCCTCCCCCCAGCCAGGATTTCCTTTCCATCCTTGCTCCACGTGATCTGAGGCTTGGGGAATCCCTTTACTTGAAGATCCAGCATGGCAGAGCCGCCGACGTTGACCTCCGATTTCTTGGATTCACTCCCAAGGACTGGTTTCGCCGGTTCCTTCAAGAGTTGATTCACATTTCCTTGGACTGTCAGCTCAGCACTGCAGCTGATGTTTCCAGTGCTCGTCTGAGCCACGCAGGTGTATAAACCTGCGTCCTCTGGCTTGACGTGCTGGAAGACCAGGGCGAGGGTGTCCTCCTTGTCCTCGAAGAGGACTTTGAAGCGCTCCTCGGGGTCGAAGGGCTTGCCGTCCCGCAGCCATTTGAAGGAGGGCTCGGTGCCGGGCTCGAAGATACCCTCTGGGAGCCCTGCGAAGAGGGTTTTTTCGTCGGTCACTGAGACTTTTGCCTCGCAGGACGCTTCACCGAACTGATTCGTCGCTGTGCAGGAGTATTTTCCTGCGTCGGTTTTCTGAACGTCGGGGATCACTAGCTCGTAGAAACCCTTGTCCGATTTTTCAGTCACGATTTTTATCCTTTCTTGCTTAGAATCGATTAGAACACCATCTTTGAAGCTGGTGGAACGAGAATATTTGTGAGAGCTAGCGGCCTTAAGGCGTGGGAAATTGAGGAGTGAAGGGGTGAGATATAACACAGCTGGTTGAATTGGGGTTTTATATTAAGTTTTTCTATCGGGGGATATGGAAATGTAATGGAAAATACGAGAGCCATAGGGTGAATCGACAAGTGATCTCACTAATTTAAATATTCATTGTGGAACAAATGCGTTATGCAACGAAATGAAACTTGTATGTTCTTTAAAAACCCATATGATGTGCATAAATTCAAGGAGACCTTCTGTAATGTCTTTTATTTGAGCCATTCCTGAATTTTTTTCGTTCTAACACTGCACGGTTCAACCTATTTCTTCATATTAACAAATAACGAAAGAGAAGAGGAACGAAGGATGCATTGTGTCGAATCATTGTAATCGCTTTTGTTTACGATTTTTATCCTTTCTGGCATTGAATCGATTAGAACACGTCGTTGAAGCTGGTGGAACGAGAAAATTCGTGAGAGTTGATGAGCTTCAAAGCGCGGGAAATTCAGGAGTGAAGGGGTGAGATGTGAAGTAGCAAGTTGAATTGGGGTTTTATATTAAGTTTTTCCATTAGAGAATATGGAGACGCAATGGAAAATATGGGACACGTAGGGTGAACCGACCAGTGATCTCACTAATTTAGATGTTCATTGTGGAACAAATGCTCAATGCAGTAGATTGAAACTTTCGTTCTCTTGTAAAAGCAATAGAATGTTCAATTCTGTGCAAATTTGATATTCTTGTGGTCTCAATAATGAACATCCCAGCTAATAAAAATAAAATAAAATAACATAAACTCATGCATGAAAATGGGAAAATCTCAGGAAACCTTTCCTCATTTGAATAACTTACAATTTCAAATCGGGATTTGGATCGCCCTTGACCTTGATCATGAACCGAAGATACGTGTTCTCCAGAAGTTCAGTGTCCTTGAGTCGCACTAGGAATACTGGCGCCTTAGCTTCGGCCTTGGCTTTTCGCTCCTCAGCGGTTAAATTCTCAACGATCAATTGGGCTGTGCAGGTGGCATTTCCGTCGCCATTGGCAGCGCGTGCTGTGTAAATTCCCGTGTCACTCTCCATGACGTTGAGAATTTTGAGTTTGAACGAATTCTCGGTGGATGTGACGTTGATTCTGTCCGCGAGTTTGTCATCCAGGGGCTTGTTGTCCTTCAGCCAATGCAGTCTGGAGGCGGAACCACTGGTCTCGAGGGTGCATTCGAATGTCGCTGACTCGCCAGCTGCATCGGAATAATAACACAATCATCAGTTCATCAGTTATCTCTTTCAATTTATCACTCATTTTTCGTAGAAATTTAAGCTGAACTCCATGATGTGCTGTATGAAAATGGAAATTCATGTGACAAGATGATTTTTAAAGTGATGTGCATATGTACAAAGAAATTTTACAGAAAAACCTGGCGAATTCGTTGGAAAATTCTATTGGACGGACTTTCAATAAAATTCCAATAGAATTTTTTATTAAATGTTTCTGTTGTAAAATGTATGCTCAGAAATTTTTAGTGAAAAACTTTTGATAGAATAGATTGAACGGAAAAATTTTCATCTCCATTTTTCTCTTATATATTTCTATAAAAAATGACGAAAAACTGATAGAATTCTCAAGAAATTTCCAGAGTAATCTCAGGAGAATTCTTCCTCCAGATTTTTCTCATAAATTTCTTCATATGTATAATTCTCCATATGTGACGAATATGTTCATGAGAAGCGTGAAGAGACTTTGATGATTTTTTAGTGCCAATGGATCGCCCATTACATCACACACGAAAAAAATTAATAGAAAAACCTAGCGAATTCGCTAGAGAATTCTATTGAATTTCTATTGAACTTTCTATTAATTTTTGGCGGATTCTACTGAATTATTCAATAGAAAAGATTACATAGAAAAATGGAATAGAATTCTATTTTTCTATACAATTTATTCTATTGAGATATTTTCTATAGAATTTCCTTGGCTCAAATTTTCCAAGTTTTTTTCATTCCATTTTGCTTTTCTTTTCATCAGAGATAGCCATAATCATAAATTACAATTACCGTTAAATTTTCAACCAATCAATTGTTTAATACTATTTTGCCATTTTTAATTATTAAATTAATCATTAATTAAATATTAAAATTCCGAATTATTGGATCAATCAATAATTTACAAAGTTACGAAGATTGACGATTATTTGGTTACTCGAAAGTCCTCTATATGAAATTAGTATTATTCACTCAATGGATAATTGACAGTCCTATATTATCAATGATCTAATTCGTCATCATTATTTTTTTTAAATTTTGATGGAGGGAGTGGTGTAACGAATCTGTAATTTTTCCAATTGTATTCTATCATTTACACACTCTATTCTTTTCTTTTTCCTTCTTTTGACACATCTTTTCGCATTTAATCTTCGCCTCATTAATTTAATAAACCTTTATTTATTTCAACCTACATGTTTTCCAATATTATATGCGAACCTTAATCAATGTACAGCATATTCATATATTCCCTTAATATTGATGAATTCTATGATTGATGACCATCCCTGTTTTTCATCAAGAAAATAAAAAAAAACAACATGGAAAATTTGGGCCGAGGAAGTTCCATGAGAAAACATCAATAGAATCAGCCAAAAAAAAAGAATTTTCTAGCGAATTTGCTAGAACTTTCTATTAAATTTTTTCACACGTGAATGTCCCCTCTCTCCAAAAATTTTTCTCCATAAAAAAAAGACTGACACGTAAGCGCCTAAATTGACGATGAAAGCTAAAGCCAATTGATACAGTTCTCAGAGAAAGTTGAAAAAGCTATGATCATATTCTCATTCTCCATCTACATCACTTTACCTATAACGTGCATAACAGCCTGTTTCGCTCGGATGGCTAGAACAGTAGAAACATGTCATTTTACATCGTGCTACTCATGCACTTTTTCGTCCTCATTATTCTCGTGATCCGGAAGTGATATTATTAACGTGTAGGACCTCTCAACATTGTACATCGTGTTGATAGTGTGACATTGAAACAATCGGAATGGCGAGTGAATACGAAATACTCACGTTCAGCGCTGATGCCCTCGATAGTCTTCACGAACTTGGGTTTTCCAGTTTCGGTAGCAGTCAGCGCCAGTTTGGCGATCCTCGTGTCTCCAGAGGATCCACTGACGGCCGTGTGGTAGGAACTCGAAGACTCCTGGATTGTTGCAGCACCGTACAAGGATGACGAGGATCTTCGCTCACTCTGCGAGCCTGACATCGACGTCTCGACGTAGGACGACGTGCCATTTCTACTGCTGGATACTGACGAATACTCTACAAGCGTTTAGAACAACATGGAGACAAGAGGATTTTTGATTGGGAATATTTTTTTTTCGTACAAGAACAATATTTGAGGGTGATAAAGGCTATTGACGATCATGCAGTTTGCACAGATTCGATGGAAAACAGTCAATAGATTTTCGTTTTTTTAGATGAATTATTGATTTGAGACTTTTTCTAGAGAACTTCTCAGGCATGAATTTTCCGAATTTGTTCGTTGTATTTTTTTTAAATTTTGATTACAGAATGTCACGTATGAAAAAATTCAATAGAAAACCTAGTGAATTTGCTAGAAAATTCTATTGGAAATTCTAGTGAAGAATTTTATTCGTTTTTTGCGCTGATTCTATTGGATATTCGATAAGGAAAAGTCAATAGATTTAGAATTTCTGTTTGAATTTTTCTCTTGAATTTTCTTCTATAAGAATGCTTGGGCATTAATTTTCTAATGGAAAAAATCTAGGAGAAAAATTCAAACAGAAATTTGAAATGTATTTACTTTTTCTTATTGAATATCCAATAGAATCAGCTAAAAAAAAAATTTCAATACAATTCCAATAGAAATTATTTAAAACCCCATAGAATTCCAATAGAATTTTCTAGCGGATTCGCTAGGTTTTCTATTGAATTTATTCATGCGCGGTAATTTAAAAAAATTTGAGAATTCATGTCAAAAGTTTTCACTTGAATAAAAATATAATCAATTTTTTTTGCTCAAATCGTTTATAGAGGATATGTAATATAATATATAAAATCGTTTTCCATCAATAGCTCATTTTCGGAAAAAACGACTTATCTGCTGATTTTACTGCGATTTTTCTATAGAATCCCCTCAGCTCAAATTTTCCAGATATTTATCATTCCATTCCCTCACCTTTTCATTAAGAAAATCAAACAAAAAATCTTAAAAAAATTGAGCTCAGAAAATTCTATAAAAGATTTCTCACTAGAATACAGTCCAGAAAAATCGAATTCTGTCGACTTTTTCTACAGAATATTTTCCATTCAACATTTCAACACAATCGTCCAAAAACCAATATAAACTCCAATCGAAATCCACTAAAATTGTCTAACGAATTTTATAAAATCCTTCACCCCCAATTTCCCTCTTTCCCCCCTCCACTAATTAAGATTGTCCTCGTACCAAGAAAAATCCTCCCAATAGCCAAAACTTCTCCACGAAGCCCGTGACACCGAATACTCATCCACAACATTGATACCATCCACCGACCAATGCAGCATACAAAAAAAACACCAAATGAATCCCCAATTACCTTCGACGACTTTCGAAGAGGCGCTGAAGCGACTCGCCGAGTATCGGCCGGACATCTCTTGGCTCTCGTCAGTCCTCGTTTTCTTGATATCAGAATCGTCGACCTTGGTGGTACTCTCCCTCTTCTCAGCTGTCCTCGGCTCCTCAGCTTTAGTAGCAGCTTTCGCTTCGACCTTGGGCTTCGGCACTTCCGGTTTGGGGGGCGGAGGGGGATTGACGCTGGTGCCCTTGGCCTCGTCGTTGGGATTCTCCTCGGTCAATTGGAGATCGTCAGCCGCATGCTCAGCAAGGGCCACCAGATCGCTCGCGTACTGACGTATTTCCTTCAGCCAAGTCTTCTTCACCTGATCCTTGTGGGCGACAAGGGTGATCGGATAGCCTGGCAACTCGGGATTATGGAGTTCAAATATTCGCTGGTCGGCCGGATAATCCTTGACCTCGACCTCCGGCAATTTTATTATGTCTTTCAGTACGAAAACCGACCGATCCTCGGATATTCTCCGGACTTTGCAGACGAGAATTCGAGCTTTGAAGAGGAACAAATAACGCTCTTTGCTCTTTCCGTCTTTGTCGGTTACCGTGAACCACTCGTGGGTCAGGAGTCTACCGAGTTTGTGAATGTTACCCTTGAATCCTTCGATATTACTTGTGAATTTGTTGTCGGTTGCTTGGTGGGGGATACCCAGCATCAACTCCAGGGCCTTCTGGAGGTCGTCGCAATTTTCCCCTAGTCGGGTCGAATACTTAACCAGCTCCTGGAATTCAGTCGGTTTTTTGAGGATTGGGGAAACGGATTGGGAGATTCTGCGGTCACAAACGGCCACGGGGATGACCTGTTTTTAGAGTTGCTAAATCGGTAGCGGCGCCCACTCTTAGATGAAACACAGATCAGTGGGAAACAGAGGTGTTGCAAATTTACCGGGTTTTGGTGAATGGAGGAGAAAGATTTCGGGGATTTTGGGAATGCGCGGGGGTTTGAGATCGGTTTCATAATTGTTCGAGGGGATATTTCGCGAATATTGTTTATTGTTCGTGTAATGTTGGGGAATACTCTTCAAATTTCATGTAAAACACTTAAACATTTTCAACGACTCACATTAAACGATTCACATGAAATTTCCATAGTTATTATTAATGAAGCAGTTAATTTTTTGGATAGTTAGTGAAATTTCAATTTTTGGCTCAATAAGATGAGTTGCATGCACGGAGAGAAATATTCAATAAAAATTACCAGAAAAAAGACGTAAAAATTACGTTTCGAAACGTTCTCTGGGAGCGAAGTAAAAGTCAATAAAAAGTGTCAATCGTCACGTAAATTCTACGATCTGTTCCGTAAAAATTACTCATCCGTCCGACGCCTCACTAGCCAGGAGTCACCGTGAGGGGGAGATTTTAACAACACGTTCCGTAATTTTTCCGGAACTTTTCGTAAAAATTCTTAAACATCCAAGAATTTTCATGTTCTGAGGCATAATAAGTCTTGAAGTTTCTGTTAGATTTTACAACTTCCAGAAAAATTACGTGACTTTTTCGTATTTTTTCGGTGACAGACCCGAAAATTTACTGAACGTTTCAGATTTATTCTCTTATATTCCTATAGAAATTCACTGAAAACGATTATCGCTTGGGGATTACGTGAAATGTTCCGTAATTGTTCGTGAATATTTCTTTCCGTCTGCGAATATGAATTCAATTCAAGATCAAATCGTTCGAGCAATTCCTCATTAATCTCGGAAATTCAACAGAAAATTTTTCATTCGTGTTAAATGATTATTGATCATATTTGCTGTTCACAATTTTTAATGATGTGAAGATTATTAAAATGGTGAATGATCCAAAAATTGAGGAATTAAAATGGTGTTTTTAAGATCATAAAAAATTGTGATCATTGAAAATCATCATCATTCACCATTTTAATGATCTTAAGAGCATTAAAAATCGTGAACAGCAAATACGATCAATGATCAATGATCGTTCAATACGAACAGAAAAATTTTTCGTCGAATTTCCGAGATGAATGAGAAATTGCCTGGACGTTTTAATCTTGAATGAAATTCAACTTCGCATGCAACTGTTACTCAGTATTACTATTATTAAATGTCAAAAATTTAATAGTCAAACAGAAATGAGGCGGTTGTATCCTTCTTTGTAGAGCGAACATTGAGCTTCACTGTAGCCCGCCTACGAGTTGTGCGAGAGTTTTTTTTATATTTGATTCATCTATTGAGAGCATGTGGACATAAAACGTGGGGCTGTGGTATTTTATTGAAATATCAGTCAAGGCTTGATGAACCCAACCAGAAAATATACTATTATAACACGAGAACTATTAATTATTGCGTTATTAAGGCACGAAAATAATTGCTGAAGATTCTCTTTTAATAAAGAAAGATTTCCGATAAATCATTGATTAAAATTACGATTCAACAAAATTCGGACGCATTCGACCTCGAAAATGAAAATGGGGTCGCCATTTTATAAATATTTTAATGCTGATTTTAAATTTCTTTTGAGCAATATTTTCAGCACTTCTAGTTTCCGAGAAAAAAATGTTGAAATGTTGAAAAACGGCTTAAGTGAACAATTTGAAAAATTTGTAAAAAGATTAATTTGTACGTAGTTTTTCCCGGAAAAACTATGAATTAATTAAAATGGGATTTCTTCAGTGGATTCGATTTCATCCCAACTGGTTGCGTCAAAACGAGTGAAAAAAATGCTGAAAAAGTCCCAATTTTATGATTTTTCTTGTGAAATCAAATGATTTCACAATTTCTAATCTATCTACACCCGTGTGTTAATCTCGACTTAACTTAACATGAAGTTTGAAGATGCCTTTGCTGCAAGGTAACCGGTTAATTGCTCTTATGAGAAGTCACACTCAATTGTTGAGAGATTTATTTGCTGAAATAAAGTTGAAAAATAAAGGGATTAAAGGGATCACAAGGTTAACACACGAATGTAGATAGATTTGAGATTGGCATGCATCAAAGTGTGCGCAACCAACTTCCGATCATTTAAATTTTCAAGAAAAATCATGAAATTTTGAGCTTTTCGAGATTTTTTTCACTCACTTCGACTGAACCAATTCATTAATTCGTTGTATCGTATTAATTCATTGCATTTTTTCTAAAAAAAACTCCATCCCAATCCATTTTTTTCATAAATCTTTTAAATAGCCCCTTTCACCCACTTTTTAACATTTTTTCGCGAAAACTAGACGTGCTAGAAAGATTTTCCAAAAGAAATTTAAAACCGGTTAATTGCTCTTATGAGAAGTCACACTCAATTGTTGAGAGATTTATTTGTTGAAATAAAGTTGAAAAATAAAGGGATTAAAGGGATCACAAGGTTAACCCACGAATGTAGATAGATTTAAGATTGACATGCATCAAAGTGTGCGCAACCAACTTCCAATCATTTAAATTTTCAAGAAAAATCATGAAATTTTGAGCTTTTCGAGATTTTTTTCACTCACTTCGACTGAACCAATTCATTAATTCGTTGTATCGTATTAATTCATTGCATTTTTTCTAAAAAAAACTCCATCCCAATCCATTTTTTTCATAAATCTTTTAAATAGCCCCTTTCACCCACTTTTTAACATTTTTTCGCGAAAACTAGACGTGCTAGAAAGATTTTCCAAAAGAAATTTAAAACCGGTTAATTGCTCTTATGAGAAGTCACACTCAATTGTTGAGAGATTTATTTGTTGAAATAAAGTTGAAAAATAAAGGGATTAAAGGGATCACAAGGTTAACCCACGAATGTAGATAGATTTAAGATTGACATGCATCTAAATGTGCGCAACCAACTTCCGATCATTTAATTTTACAAGAAAAATGATGAAATTTGGAGTTTTTCGAGATTTTTTTCACTCACTTCGACTGAACCAATTCATTAATTCGTTGTATCGTATTAATTCATTGCATTTTTTCTAAAAAAAACTCCATCCCAATCCATTTTTTTCATAAATCTTTTAAATAGCCCCTTTCACCCACTTTTTAACATTTTTTTGCGAAAACTAGACGTGCTAAAAAGATTTTCCAAAAGAAATTTAAAATCAGCATGAAAATATCTATAAAATGAGGTCAGTCTCGCATTTGTGGTGGACGACGTCCGACTTTCGTCGAACCGTGTATTCAAAGATAAAGTAATAAAACGTATTATTTCCTCTCGAAAATAAAAACAAGAAGTCGAGGCCGATATCATTCCCATCGCAACCCACAATATAAATATAAATAGGTCAAAGTCAAACAGGCCCCGAGCATTGAAGAAAATCACTGCTTAAATCCAGCGACGCGCTGTCATTTTTTCCAAGGCGAATATTTGAGCATGAGTATCACCTGGAATGCTTTCAAGAATGGCTGACAGCTGGTGAGCAATAACTCTCATAATAAATTGGTTTAAATTTGGGAATCTAAAACTGAAAAGTGAATCGCGTTTACATTCTCACACACTCACTTGAAGTATGAATTCAGTAATCGTAATTACTCTTAATTAACTGATCACTGAACCCTGAATTTAGAATTAATTAATCCCTCAGTGCGAAGTCACAACACAATTAGCTTGGGTTACATTGTACTTCGAACGTAAAAACACGCCAACATGCACCGGAAGAATGATCTACGTCTTTTGGACGCTTGACAATTATGCTCATGATGACGAACTCATCTGTTTAATGCTCTTAAAATTTTACTGAACATTGATGGCTTATTGCTTTCGAATGGAAACGTTGTAGTCGTTCGAATTTAATTTTACAATTTTCGCAGGGACGAAAAAATTTAGTAGAAAAACCTAGCGAATTCGCAATTTCATTTCATTTCATGAAATGTTCAAGGGAAAATATTCAGTAGAAGAAGTCAATAGAATTCCATTTTTCTGTACAACTTATTATCTTCCAATATTTTCTATAGAATTTCCTCACCAAGAAAATCAAACAAGAAAATTTGAGGCGAGGAAATTCTGTAGAAAATATCTCAATAGAATAAGTTACATAGAAAAGTCGAATTCTATTCGCTTTTTCAGTTGAATATTTTCTATTAAAGATTTCAATAGAGTCGGCCAAAAACTAATAGAAAGTCCAATAGAAATCCAGTAGAATTTTCTACCGAATTCGCTAGAAATTTTTCATCCGTGTTATGTTAGACTTCATGAATTTTTTCATGGATATAGACTTTAATAACCTCCATGCACTGTCACCAATGAAAAATTCAGTTTTTCATACAGATTCAAAAAGACTGATATTTTCCAAAAACCGATTTTTCAACGATCACTTAAAAAGTTGTCATCAAAATGGAATTAGTAATGGCTCAAAAATTGATGACAATACCCTCTTGATTCTATCAGAATCTGATGGGGGTCTCACAATTCCTTGTTGAGTGACAGCACTTGTTTATACGATTTGAAAGAGAAAATCGGTTTTTTCATGATTACTGAAAGAATCATCAGTAATAGATTGATTAAACCTCGATTAAACCCGGACCGAAAACGAATTCGTGTCTTGAGAGTGTCTGAATGTAGAATCATTTGACAGAACGACATAATACTCAAAATTTTGATGACATTTCAATTGATTATAGTACTATAACATGAAAAAATAGAAGAAGAGAGTAGTGAAATAAGAATTAGAAAAAAGAGAATCCATTCGAGAGCAAATTTATTTGTGAAAAAGTGCAATTATCCACTTATTTTTTATATTCTACTAGTTAGGCACCTAGAATGTCTAGAATGCATATCTTAATTTCAGACACTAGTTGTTCTAGTGTAACGTATCCCTTCGTCGAGTAAAGATGAATGAATAAAAAAAATATTACCTTCAGCAGGAGCTGGTAGTCGTTGATGCGTTGTATCGGAAGCTTGAGATGCTCCGACACGCTTTTATCGTCTCCGAGGGTCTGGCTCAGCTCCTGAATAAACATAAATCATTGTCAATAACCCAACAGCGTTATCAATTCCCCGAGACCCCGTAAAAACACCAGTAAATATTTTCCTCTTATCAAAAACGACCGGTCTGACTACACAGGGACTTTTCCCCTTATCTCAATCCTTCGCCCTGGCCAATGTCAAATGCGAAACAAGTGGATGACTAATTTGACTATACTGAGAGAACAACAAACACGTTGTCTAACAAGTCGTGTTCGGGCCAACAAAATCGCTAGTTAAAAATTGCCAAAAAAGAATTTGGTTCGAATTTGAAAGTCTCAAAAATGAATAATTGTTCTGCTTTCGACAGCAACGAAATATTTGGCTCAAGAGGCGGATAATTCACACCAGACGGTGCCTTTTCAGGATGAAAACATCTCATATAGAGGAAAATTTATCAACAAATATTTTATCTCTAAGTTACAAGATTGCTATCATATCATTATTATTGTTTCATTTAAGGGTTTATTTCTTGTCTGTGATTATTAGACAGCCGGAACGAAAAACTACTATCCCTTGTTTCGCATAAAACAAAGATTTTTCGGGAGCAAAATACATATGGGAGTATCGAATAACGAAGGAGTAGTGCTAGCAATGACATTTCTTGCGTGTACAGAGAATGCAATTTTTTTTGAACTACTAAATCTATTTTTCCGACAAAAATTTTTCATTCCGCCGCATTCTCTGCATGTTTGGCACAAAAAATCCTTTTTTGATCATTTTCAAAAAACTATTTTCTTGGTACAAGGAAGACCTGTTTGAGAACTTTGTCGTTTTTCTCTCAGTGTACGTCGTGTGACCAATTTCCTCCGCAAAAAAAAACGGCAAATATTTCCCTCAACGTATATTTTTTGATATTTCACTGTAATCCGATATGCGTTGGCTAAATCACAGGCATTATTTTTGGCGGTAGAATATTGGAACAGGGGAAAACATCACAGGCACATAATCATCAGTCACCAAGTGGTCACGTGGTCACAAGCGTAATTAACACTATGAGCACACCTTGAGGGGGGTGAAACTGAAAATTCAACTTAAGGATATCTCGGTAAATTTTCTCTTTTTCTCGCAGATCGATTTAATTTGCTGATGTCCCCCAGTCAGTCTATACAACACACGGTGGTTCGCCGAGACTCGCGACCCAGAGTCGAAGCAGAGGGAAGATTTAACACGAACGGCGGGACTTGGATTCTATACTTAGACGATAGACGCCATCGAAAGACTGACCAACGTGCAAACACTGGTTAAAAAACCGTTTAGGTCTCACGATGAGGGAGAGGATTTTTTTTCTCTCATTCTCGTGATCCAGTGATCCAGTTTTAAAACACTGCGGAAATGAAGGACATTGCGGCGCAGGGAGGAGAAAAAATTGCATGAATTGGCTGTCTTTCGGAGGAGAAATTTTGGCGAATTTCGATTCAAGTTCTGTTGTAATTCTGTTGAATAATTCTAGTGGAAATCATGCAATTTTATCGTGTTTTTTGGTTAAGGATATTCTGTAGAAAATTCTCAATGGATCTTCATTTTTATGGAGAAAATTCTTGGGCTTAAATTTTATAAATAATTTCGATGCTTTGTTATTTGTTTCGGATAAGAAAATCCAAGAATAAAAATCGGAAGAGAGTGAGGTATACCGGACAATCAACTGCTTTAGATTTGTATAGAATTTTATAAAAAATTTTTAATAAAAAAAGTCACAGCAAAGTTGTATAATTTTTAATGGAATTGACGCACAAAATAAATGGAATTTGTCAATAGAAATTTAAAAGAATTTCTTTGTTGTTCATTTAAAGTTAAGAAAAAAATGTTCAAAGAATGAATTTTCCTTTTTTTAACGTTTTTTTTACGAATTAAAATTCAAGTTTTTGAAATTTCGAGGGCATACCATTCAGTAATTTTTCTTGCCATGTTTCAACTATTGATTGTTCAATTTAGAAAAAAAACAGACAGATGAATAAGAATGGAAAATTGCAATTAAGAATTTTAATGAAGATTTTTAAAAATTGTTCATTGCAATTTTGCATTATTATTCATTTGTTTGTTTGTTTTTTTTTCTAAATGAAGATTTTTTAAAATTCTTCATTCGAATATTAATTGGAAGTGAATTATCCACACAAATAAATTTTTATTTTCATCAAGTCATGCTCATTTGAGGAAGTTGAAGGAGATAAACATCTCAAATTGATTCTGTTCTAATTCTGGCGTGAAACCTAGTTCGATTGTTGATTGATAAATTCGAAAGGTTTTTGCTTATTTTTCCGATAACTTTTTTTTTCATTTGGAGGAACGCACGAAATGCCGGGGACACATTGCGAGAGGACGAGAGAGATGGATTGAGTTGATGTGCGTTGAGATAAAAATACATGATGTTATTTTCGGGTTACTGGATGGACGCCCGCTTTTCGCCTTCGCTATTATGTAAGAGCGGATTTTCATTTGCAAGCATCATCGGGGGATGAAAAAAAATGGAGAAATCAGCTGTGATGGGTCGTTTGGGGTGACTTCATGCGCGTTTTAATTACCCTATTATCTGGCGCTTCACGAAAACGGGAAATGTCTGTCCGATTCTGGATTTTTTCCATATGAATTTTGATAAGGGAAAGTGAGAAAGAAATTTTCAAGGGATTTTAGAGAGAAGTTCAGTAATTATTTTGAAAATTCTTGCTGAAGTCAGTTTGATTTTTGGTTTCTCTGAATTTTATTTCAGAGTTTATCTTCAGAGTATGAGGAAGACCTCTTCTTTACCAGAAATCTCGAGGAATATAGTCATTTTGTAGTAGAATTTCCGTTCTATTTATCATGAATTTCATCTGAGAAATCCGTTTTACCGACGTTTTCTCAAAATTTCTGAGAGTTTTATCGTAAGAGGTGCTTCAAGGGGAGATCCCGCTGAAATTTAGAAATCACTGATGCCTTTATCTATTGTACTACTGAAACTGAAGTTTACTACTTCAGTTTTAATGTAAAAAAATGAGAAAAAATTACGTTTTTGATTTTTTTAAACCTTCAAATATCCTCGTGATGCCATTCTCATTTGTTTGTGTGTACACAAACATAACTAAATGAGTTTATTTGAAACATTTTATCTTTTCAGTTTTAAGAATTATTTTCACAAAATTTCCTGAGGTAAATAATTTGAAAATTAGCAGAATTTAAATAATTGAAGTTGATTTTTTTTCATTTTTTGAATCTTAGTTTTGAGGCTTTCGCGACCATTTCATGAATATCATTCTATGAAACACGAATAAGCGAATCATAATTGTCCAAATCATTTAGGTCGGAGGAAAATAGAATAATTCTACTTTCTTAATATTGCGTTTACTAACGTTTTCTTCGAACAAAGTTGATTAGAATTAATAGCTAGAATTATGAGATTATCTCACATTTTTGACGTTCTGGATAGGAAAATCTGAATGCAATATAGTGAAAATGATGATCGATTTTTTCACTCTGAACAAATAATATTAATATCCAAATACAAAATTTCTGATATGAATAAAAAGAAGCTGTGACTCAATATTCCAAATGAAGTTTTAATTTTTAATTTGGTGCTGAAAACACGAGATGACAATATTCTAAGCACGCAATTATATTAATGAGATGAACAACAGATTAATTGAATTACCGTGTGAACTAACTAAAAATGGATAACAGTGTGGCACGCACTTGCAATGCGGAATTTTTTAGAAATCACATTACCTCGAAATATTCTCGAACTTCGTTGTTTGTCTGTAGTAATTCTTGCGCAGCGGGTTCGTCTCGACAATAAGCCACGTGTTTGTCGAAATCTCTCTCCTGTGAAATACAACAGTTCCTTTATTCTGCACTGCTCCCCTCGGAAAGAGGACAGAAATGTGAGATTATTCGATTGATCCTCACCAGTCTCAGAAATGTTTTCCCGAGCATTCTCGGCTGGTCCGCGTAGTACTTGACACCCTCGATTAAAACCCTGCCGAACGATCTAAGTAAGGCCGGAATTAATATCATGCCAATTCACACCACGCCTTGGATAAGGGCTTTTTAATGTTTTTCATTCTCTCGTCAACGTCCACATCGACAAGACAACACAGGAATTCTTTTAATTACGCTTTTGGATCTTTTTTTGTGAGGAGGGTATCAAACAGGTCCTCAAGAGATTTGATTAAACACGATTAAGAAATGGGGGGGGGGAAGAATCATTGATAACTGTTAATAGAAGGTATCAGATTTTATTTTTGTGAATTTCACGACGCAAGAAAAAATTTCATGGTAAAACCTAGCGAATTTAATCGAAAATTCTAGTAAATTTCTATTGAATTCTATTGAAAATTCTACTTGTTTTCGGCGGGTTCAATTTTTTTTTATAGAGAAAAACAATTTTGATGAAATCAGATGACATTTTCTATAAAATTCCAATGGACATCTCATAAAATTCCCTAACGAATGCGTTAGGTTTTCTCAATGAAATTTTCTTCTGTTCTCTCGTCTTCAAGACATCTCATACCAAGATGCGACTGCAAATGAACCTTTATTTGATTTAATACAATTAATTTCTTCGGGTCTTGATTTTATGAGATTCAGAAGGTGTTATACAACCAACTTTCAAGGGACTCGTAAAATTCACGGGATCCACGGACGAAAAAATTTAATAGAAAAACCCTATCGAATTCGTTAGAAAATTCTATTGAATTTCTAATAAACTTTCTATTAGTTTTTGGCTGATTCTATTGACATGTTCAATAGAAAAAGTTAACAGAATTCGATTTTTCTATACAACTTATTCTTTTCATATTTTTATACAGAATTTGCTCGACTCAAATTTTCCAAGTTTTTTTCATTCTATTTTTCTTTTCTTCTCATCAAGAAAATCAAACGAAAAAAATTGGAAAATTTGAGCCGAGGAAATTCTATTGAAAATCTCTCAATAGAATAAGTTATATAGAAAAATTGAATTCTATTGACTTTTTCTACTGAATATTTTCTATTGAACATTTCAATAGAATCGGCCAAAAACTAATAGAACAGTTCAATAGATATTCAATGGATTTTTCTAACGAATTCGATAGGTTTTTCTACTAAATTTTTTCGTCCGTGTCATGATATTCAGGTGATCAATTGACACACACACACGAACACTGGCAAATAAACCCACAGAAAACTTCGACTTACGCGATTTCACATCGACTGCTAGGAAATGAATAATGTAAACTGTTCGGTTCGTGTGTGTCTCTAATTTCGAATATTTCTGGTGTTGTCATTGTGATAAAAAAATGTGGATCTCTGGCATTTCAATAATCGTGTCGCGGATTCGAGAGAATCGAGTGGTGAGGGTGATTATACCTACGTGTTATGGAAATCAGCGATTTGTTTGAGATTCGTGAAAATGATTTCTTTGTTATCCCGAACGGCCCTGGGGACTCCTGGATTGTCCAGGGGTTTCAGGTACCTCTCGACGACTTGTTGGAGGTCCTTACCGAACTCCTCCTCGGTTTCAACCAATTCCTTCACCACAGCTCTGAAATAGAAAGGTGCAATATTCACAGGATTTGGGGGTTTTCTCAGATTTTTTTTCTTTTGTAAATACGTGTTATTGGAACGCACTCTCGTCGATATCGGGAATCTTCTGGGCGGTGTTGACTCGTCAGGGTTGAGCTGTCCTCGCTGGGAGCTGTCTGCATGAGTATTGACATTGGCAGCCATCCCTCTTTTCCGTCTATTTTTCGCACTAGTGCTCTGTTACGAAAAAAATTGTAGATACAGTCACAATGGAATTTTAGGGAATTCGATCTCAAATTTCGATTGATTTGTCTAAATGATCAATAAAAATTTATTTACATAGAATTAATGTCGGATTTTCCGTTTGAATATGTTTGATTGTTGCTTCCGACTGGAAGCTTTATAATCGTTGAAATTTAAGTTTTGGATTTTTTGTGTTGTATCGACCCACTATGATCCAAAAAGTCCGAAAATGTTTAGGGATCGCCCGTACGTGTGTGTTCGCTAATGATTGGATGGAATCGAATCTTTTTTTTAAATGTAGGTATTGATGAGCCCTATCAATCGCGATTAATTAAATTTTAACTCATCGATTTTTTTTTTGATTTTCGATTTTTTTCGAAAATCGGTTGTCCCACGATAACTAAAAAAAATGTTCTGAATTGATTGAATGATGGCTTAAAAAAATTGTTTGGATGTGCTTTTGACCGAGTTCGAAGACGAAGGCAATAGCAATAATCGTTATTTTGATTTATTTTCAAAATTTTCAAAAAATTTCTTTTTTTTTAAAATCAGAATTCCGGGGACATATTCGAATATCATGCTTCAAATGAATTCAATCATAGCTTAAAATGTTCGTTTTAATGCCATTAAGTCGAAGTTAAAAGATGATTACAATAGCTATATTGGTTGATTTGATTTTTATGATGATTGTTGAAAATTTCTAATTTTTCATGAATTTCCCTGAAACTGAGCTTTCTGATGGTTTCTTCAAATGTGATGCTTCAAATTCATTCAAGTATGTATAAATAAAATTTTTCTATTAACTTTCTATCGAAGGGCTGAGGGGAAAGATAGAGCCGTAAAAAAACAATCGGTTGTATAGAAGAAAGGGATAATAAGAATAATGATGATGATAACATTCAACGAAGTTGAAAATCTGACAAAATTAGTTGAAAAGAAATCGTATTCAATTTAATAAAATGAAATAAAGAATGACTTATACATGACAGAAGGAAATGGTGTGCAAAATAACCATTCGGAAGCATATTGCTAATTTATTAGCAGAAATAACTGCACTATGGGCAATACAATCGCAATTCCACTTGTTTTTATTTCATTTTCCACATTAATCGAGGGTCATGATATCGTGACGCAATATATCAGGGCGGGGGTTCAACAAAGGGCTTAGAAAATTTCTAAAATTAAACATGGAATCCATCCACATTAAACCGCTCGCACTGTTAGAAATTCTTTGAAATTGAAGTGACAGATGCAGTTGAATTCTCAATATTCTGAAGCCAATTTCAAACCTAATTGCTCATGGAATTCCTGATTCATCTTGGAAATTCAATAAAATTCGGTTTTCCATGACAAATGATCATTAAATTTTCAAAGACAATTTAGATTTTCAAACCTATCGTGAAAATCAAGCAACAAATAGAAAATTCAGCAGAAAAGATGTCTGAATTTTCACGATCATCAGTAATTTCCATCGTCGTATGAACCTGAGATTTCAATTTTCATTGAATATTTAAGAAAATTGACTAATTTATTAATAACAAAAATCAACGAAAATTCCATGTAAATTATTCATTGCTAAAAATTTAGAGATTTTTTACTTAAAACTTAAAGAGTACTTTTCTAACACTGCAATATAAAAATTTCATATTCATATCCTGGCATAATTCCCAACCCTAATGATTCGAATCTCCAATATAAACTCTCCCTCCACCCGTTAATTGCGGAAACGTCCCAACCGCAGTCCCAATTAACTTCGCTAATTTTGCACATTACCCTAATAACCCAAACCCCAAAATTTAACATCCCTCATAATAACCCCCTTCAAACATATTTCACTTATCGAATGATTTATACCCCATTCACTCCCAGCGCATTGTCATTGCCAAAACGAAAAGCGCCAGGCACGACGCGTGGCAATAGTCTCCACCTATTTTCTGTATTTTCGAGCGTTCGCTGAGCTTGAACCTCACCTTTTGGCTCGTATTTATTTCTAGCTTAATGGTCTGATTATCGAATTGTCACAGTCCGTAAGGTCGTCTGATTCCGAAATTCCCCGCGTTCTACTCATCAATCTATTTCAAGTCCATCTAAAATATTGTTCCAACAAATTTCAGGGGGAAAATTTCCCCGTTCAATTTTCCCCGGAGGTTCAACGTCTCTCGAACAATAAAACCGTCTGTTTGTGTTATGAAATCACTCAGAAATCCTAATGTCGCGAGCAATTGTCGTAATCGTCTGCTTCTATTCAGTCCCACGAAGTGTGAAGACGACATTCACTGGCCATCAGACATGAGCTTCGATTATTCGCATTCACTCGAGGATATTAAATCAGGTGAATCAGCTAACGCTTCGTGGGCAGAGTGCCGACAGTTGTTACACTTCAGAAAGCGTGGATTTATATTTTCACGGAACGATGAGACTGACGATAGGGCCGTTGACATCGTCTCTCCTCACACTGTCCATCATCTATGAAATGATTTAATGGAAAAACCTAGAGCTTTGTCGAAGGTTTTCTTGTCAATTTCTATTGGAAGTCTGCTGCGATAGATTGGGCTTATTTATTTGATATTTTCACGAGTCCTTTGTTCATTGAAGCCTACGCGCGATATAGAATCACATCGTCTAACACATTTACCGAAAATTTTCATAGGAGAATCTAGCGAATTCATTAGAAAAAATCATTGGATTTCTGCTGAATTTTTTTAGAATTTTTGGTCCATTCTATTGAAATCTTCCGCAGCTCATCTGTGCGGTTTTTTTAATAGAAATGTTTTACGAAAAATATTCTGTACAGAGATAGATAAAATTATAATGGAGAATTAAAATTATTAAATTAGATGGAAAATTAGTTGACTATTTTATCATTTTTTAATTTTTATTAAATTAATCGTTAATCAAATCATTCAAATTTTCAAATTTTTTGTACGTCGGTAATCGACTTCGCAAGAATGACGATTATTTCATTAATCGGAAAATTAAATTCGTAAATTTGTAATAAATCGTTTAATAATAATGGAAAATTAAAGAAAACTGCAGGTTTTTCCATTAAATTTTTCCATACGTACCACTAAATTATTCCCTTCCTATGGATACATTACCTCTGGATATTAGAGTCCGAGTTTGATCTTATGACACCCCTAGCTCGTGAATCGGTATGTCTTCTCTTGGGTCTCACCGATATTTTGTGACGAGCTGCGGAGCTATCCAGACAAGCTCCGACCTCACCAATCTCTAGATCAGGATCCATTCTAGCTCTCCTATAATATTCTCTAGGTTTATCGTTTCTTCTTCATTTGTTAGAAGCTGTTAATGGTGAAGCCGATTAGAAAGCTCGCTGCTCTTGTTACGAGGAAAATTTATGCAGCTTAGTACAAATTCTTGGAGTAACATACTCAGCAGTTGTGGAAGCTAAACCGATGTGACATAACTGGCCGTATAATCTGTTCATGCCTCTCGGAAATAGAATAACTGGAAGATCCACTGGCGAGTGACACACGCACCGGCGAGGAGGGTCGTTAGACTATTCCCAGGTCCCCTTTTATTGTCTCCGGTATAATTAATGGAACTATTCGATTTTTTTGCTCATCACGCGTTCGAAAAAATTAAATAGAAAAAATTAGAGAGCTCGTTGGAAAATTCTATTGAACTTCCTGGTAGTTTTTGGCTGATTCTATTAAAAAATTCCGCAGGCCTGCGCGTTTCTCGAGAGAAAATGATTTTGAATGAGAATTGGATTTTTCTGTGTAATTTTACCGGGTTTTATTCTCAGATTATGATGAAGTCCTAGTTAATGTCTATTGATTTCTACTAGTTTATCGTCGACGATGAGAGGAATGTTCAATGCATAGATCGGCGTCAATCATTACTTTAGTAATATTATGAGAAGCACCTCACAGTAATTTGGATTTATGTATCGTAATTAAAATTTGAAAAATATTGTAATAATTGGTAATTAAATTTCTCAATTATTGGTTGATCAAGTAATTTGGAATTTTAAAATTAAATTGACGGTTATTTTTAAAATAACAAAATTGGTGAGTAATATTAACAATTGACTTATTCCAAATTTAACTGTAACTCAAAATTTCGATTGTGCCGATGCCTGATGGAATTTTTCCATGTGCGTATTTTATATTTGGATTATGATCAAGTCCCAGGGGTCTATTTATACGAAATTCGAAACATGGAATTTTCAAAATGAGCGAGTGAACGGAGTACTCGCCTATTTTCTGTGGAGGCCAATGATCTTGGTCTTTCTAGTGGACTTTTTTTTTATCATCTCCCTCCGCTGACGTAGACTTTCCACAGTTCTATATTAACTTCCGCAAATACTCGGCGAATTTACACTGATGGGACGTCGTGAGCACCTGCTGTAATTATCATCTGTTGTCTTCTCTCGATTTATTTTGTTTTGTTTATGCTCGGTAAATTTCTCGACAACCAACCCACTCGGCTGTCACCGTATTCCAGAAATAAATGAGTAATTTCAAGGTAAATTCTACGAAACGTCTGTCAGTAGCTGAAATGTTTTTTCAACAGATATCTCGTCGGGGGCTTTTTTGAATTCAGTAGCATTTCCGGATTGATTTGGGTGTCAGCGGGGCATCAGAGCCAGATTTCCCCAATATTTTGTTTGGGGTGATGGAAAAATTATTACTCAGAAAAAAATAGAAAGCTCTAGCGCTTTTTCTAAGAAATTTTATGGAATTTTTACCAGAACTTGATAGGACTTGTCACCTATCAAGTGGACAACTTAATTAAAAATAAAAATAAAATTGACTAAATAAATCATTCATGTTACAAATTATGTTTCTCATCAAATTAGAAGTGTGACTTAAGCGCAGTCAGGTTGTTTACGGCTTGTATTTTATTTTGTGGTTTCTATTTTTCATGTTTTATTGTCGTTGAATGGACCGATTTTCTTTATAGTTGGAGGGGTTTACAAAAATATCATTACTTCATTTTTTTTAAATAAAGTTCACAATGCATATGACGTTCATACAACGGAATGACTGTTTTTTATGCTTTTCGCAGTGATACCAAGGGACTTCACAGGTAGAAGAAGTAAAGTCAATTTAACTTCAGAGTTACGTCTTATCTGGTGAATTTGTCTAGAGAAGATTGCGTAAAAATCATAACATTCCATAAACCTTGAGAAATGCATGATGAAAATAAATTACGGATGTTAAATCTCTCCAATGGCTAACTCAGTTGAAAAAATTAATAAAATTGACAAAATAAATCATTCATGTTGCAAATTATTTTTCTCATTAAATTAGAAGTGTTATGGCGTACTTTTCCGGTCTCAGAAACAATAATTAAAGAAAATGTTCATAGATAATGGAGGACTTGTGACTGCAGTGGTAACAGTCGAATTTTGATCGGGCAACATCGCACGCTTCGGCTAGTAGTGGGGTTGTAACAGTGAGATGAATGTTTGTGTGTGTTATACGTGTCCATATGCTTCCAGCACTGAATTATCGTCACCGACTTTACCGACCTCGATCAGCTGTTGTGCGGTGTTGTCGCGTTGCTCGACTCGCTATGGCGGTCAAATTTTTTTTAGAGGAATTCGAAAATCAATCGAAGATATCACGCCTATATGGCCCGGTCCCCTACTTGTTCTCGCCGGCGATAGATTCTCCATAGTCTAAAGTAAATGGCTTGTGGTTTTTCTTCAATACCTTGAGTGTCTAACCCATGCAACATCTCGATCAAAGTTCACACGGTCACGTTTCTTCCCTAAGCGTAATATTACAAGAAGTGATTTTCAGGAATTAATTTCGCACTGGGATGTCCCGATGGAAGGATTAAGAGTATTACTAACGTGTGGCTCAAATATGAACCTGGCATATGAGACAATACCAAAATTATCGTGAATAATAGTGGTGAATTTATGAAACCCCTTGAATTCTTTACGTTTCATCTTGAGAATTCCGAATACTCTTCAACATTCATGCCCCACATTCTGCATTCGAATGTTTATCAATGCAGTTAAACCCAAGAGCTCCAGTCTACGACTGCATCTGTTATCGCGCTAAACAGTGTACTAATATGCGCTATTGCTTGACGGTTAATTATAGCCGTGCCCGGAATAGAGCGAACGGGAATAGACTTCACACGGTTCAGACGTGGAAACTACATGAGTCAGGATATTTTGCGTACATTAGTGAGAACCAGCGAGAAAGCAAAATATATAATGAGAATATTCGTGTGTAGTTCCTCACTTGGTCAAGTCGTCTTGAAATTCAACGGCTTCGACGATCTCACCGACAGCTACACAGAAGCTGCTGTCTTCCTTCGATACATAGTCCTTCGTCACTATGAAATTATCCTGGTTCTGGAAAAATAACAGATAATTTGTTCGGGATTAAAATTGAGTGCCTGAGTAATTTATCGATCATTTAAAAGCTCAAATAAATAAAGAAATATAATCAATTTTAATGAAGGAAACTATGAGAATGGTTCGAAGAATAGCTTTCGTCGCTATCAATTGTCAGCGAATCGAAAAGACAGCGAGGTGACATTTCCATCGGTGACTCCCATGATCTATTTAAGCCTTCCTATTTATAAAACTCTCCAACAAGTGGTTACTTACTTCCTGCTATCGAATGACTCCCCGGCGGAAAAATACAGATCTCAAGGAATATTTGCAAAATCTCTTTTTTTAATGTTTCCACCGAATTCTTCATCATGTTCTCAATCATCGCTCATATGTGGAATCGACTGTATTTTTACGACTGGATAACATGCACGTGTAACAAAAAATCGAAATTTCGTGGACAGCTTAGAGGGCGAAATCATGGAATTAATCATGGAATTTTGTTTCACTGAAAATTCTATGGAATATGAAAATTTACTAATTTACTTGAATTTTCAGGGACAATATGAATATTTTACACTAAATCTCGTAGAATTTTCCTAATTTTTTAAATGATACTAATGTCAAGCCTCTGAGAGAATTGAAAAAATTTGATTTCTCATTTTGAAAAGTCTAGAAGCCCTACCAATGAAAATTCCCGCCAGAAATATCATGAGTAGCAGACATCGGCATAATCGAAATTTTGAATTACAGTTAAATTTGGAATAAGTCAATTCTTAACATTACTCACCAATTTTTTGGTTTTTTAAAATAACCATCAATTTAAAGTTTCAAATTCCGAATTATTTTATCAACCGATAATTGAAAAATTAAATTACCAATTATTATATTAATTTTCAAATTTCAATTACGATAAATAATTCTAAATTACTATAAGGTGCAACTTCTCATAATATTACTAAAAGTAATGATTGATGCCGATCTTTGATGAATAGTAAGATTTTTAAATTTGCATGCCGAAATTCCGGGCCGTGTACTGTGTATAAGGCGAATTTTTCGAAAGACATGTTAACTTTGAGTTTGAATATATAACGAAGTATAACACTGAGAATGAAAAATCCCACGGATCTTCGTCTAGTTTACGATCCAGATCGCTGTTGATTTTTTTCCGATTTCTCCTAGATATTTCAAATTTATCACCACGTCGGTTATTGCTGTGCGGCGCGGTGCTAACGGCGCGACCAACGGAGTATTAAAAATACGAAGAAATTCTCCGCGTTAAAAAAAAACGCGAAAATTCGCCGGTTCTTCAGAAAATTCGAAAAAATTTCTAAAAAATTCAGTTCAGTTCCCAAAACACGGACACGTAGACGCACATAAATAACCCAGTCATATCCTCGTCAACCTTAACTATCATATTTTCTCCTTTTCGTGTTTTTAGAAAAAAAACTTTGAAAAGCTCAATTTACCCCGTTATCCCAAAATCCTTCGGGATGAGCACTACTACGTCTCCTCAAACTGGGCGTATTCTCCCTACTCATGGAATTCTCCAAAGTCCTATCCGTAAGATTGATCCCCACACTGGACTCCCTGGAAGCCCGGCAATGCCCATTCTGTATTCTCTCAGCCTCAGTCGTCGAGGTGATGGAAGCTGTCACGCTCGTCTCCACCTCGTAATCCTCCTCCCCAGCAACGGGAATAGCGTACATCGAGAAGCGATGGGCTGACGGTTTATTCAGTTTCAGTGCCGAAAATACATGAAGTGGCTCAAAGTGCGATATTCCATTCTCATCGAGAACGGTATAAGCGACCTGCCCCGTCAAAACCGCGCGCGACGCATCCCTGGGGACGACGGTCTGCAGACCCTTCTTAAGAATCATAAATATCGTAGAAGGTTTCTGATTCCTCCGAATGAAGAAATCCTCGATAGCGAGACTGTTTTCCGCATTCAGCAGAGCCGTCGGGATGTCACTTGACGACTGCAAGGGCACATCCTCAGGGACGATCATGAGTGCTGCGCTCTCACGAACAAGAGTCCTCAGTCTTGGATCCGTTCTGGCGAGTTCAGGATCGCTGCAGAGATTGCGCAGCGCTGCGACGAACTGCGGACGCGCCTCCGCCAATTTTCTCATGACAGTCAGCCTCTTCAAGATGTCCAGAGTCACCTTGTCCCCTGCAAGTGCCCGTGTGGACTTCTCATCGCTGATGACATTCAGAAGACTACTCGCCGTCGACGACATGCCCAAAGCCCTCGCCAGACCAACCGCCTGCAGGATCAACTCCCGCAGATGGATGCCTTCGTCATTCAGCAGCTTCTGGACTTGAAGCTCACTGGATTCTCTGACGGCATCGACAATCGCCTTGTGAACCGTCTCCGCAGCTTCCCTCTCCGTGGAGAGAGCAGCGACTTCTTGCGAGACCTTCTTCAAGACGCTGGAGACCAGCTCTGGGTTGCCCTCCGAGACTTTCCGAAAGGCGGAGCCGATCAGCTCGTTTCCCTGCTCCTCCTCGAGAACAGCTGACAACCTTTCCAAGACAATATCGTTCTTCAACGATTGTCCTACGACCGTTGATTTCAGAATGTCAATCTTGTTGCTGCTTGATTGAAGGAGATCGGAGATGGTCCTTTGACAGAGACTCTTCCTGTTCTGAGGGATGAGCAAAGTCTTCAGGACTTCGTTCACCGATTCATCGATGCTGATGGAGTTCTTCCGGAGGACTACGTTGAAGGCTTCGCTAATGGATGACAGCACATAACTGTCAGGATGTCTTTTTCCGTTCTCCCGATGATCGGTATCGTCGGTTATCGCCAGGACAGCGGCAGCTATCGCTGTCTTGATGGCTTTGTGCATCCAGTCAATGTCTTCGTCATGATCGTCATGCGCTTGTCCGTTGGTGACGATCGGCGTCTGCCCATTGCACATGTTCTCGAAATTTAGTTTTCCTCCATTCTGATGCTGCTTGACGATGTTATGAGCCAGTTGCGAGACTGTTGAGACTACTTGCGCCATTTTCACTGCTGAGTCCTTACGGAGGCCCAGTTTCTCGGCGATTATCAGGGCGTGCTCGAGAGCTACTGCTGTCGCGTCAACGTCGACGTCAACACTGGGTACATTGGCTGATATCTTTCGGCCGATCGACATTCCAGCTTCAGAGAGTTGTCTCAGGAGTCTCGCATCGATGCTGGGCTCTCCGTTGTGCTCTGTTGTGCCGTTGCAGTGGGAATGTGAAGGCCGAAGTAATCCAAGCTCTTCAGGTGTGACTTCAAAACCCTGTACCGAGAATTCCATTTCGCCTTCTGGTGTGTCCGCCAAGTCCGGGGCTACGAATCTCGGCCCCTCCTCTGTCTGCACTATTTGTCCAGGAACGAAGGTCACCCCCAGCGTTCCAGACTCGACTACACAGCCTGGAACGAATCGCGGGCCGTCTGGAGTGTCGACAACCTGTCCTGGAACGAACCTGGAGCCCTCGTCTTCGGTAGATATCACCTGTCCTGGAATGAACGTTGGGCCAACTTTTGTCTGGACAATCTGTCCAGGAACAAAACGCGGGCCCTCGTCGGTGTCCACCGTTTGTCCAGGCACGAACTTCGGACCGCTTCGAGTGTTTACCATCCTTCCTGGAACGAATTTCGGACCGGAACTGGTTTCTACTACTTGACCGGGTACGAACTGCTCGCCTTTTTCAGTAAGCACTATCTGACCTGGAACGAAACCCTCCTCGGTCATCACTCCAGGAACAAACCGTGGGCCGTCTTTGCCACCTCTCACCAGTTGTCCTGGAACAATCCGTTTACCTTCTGGAGATTTTCCCAAGGTTTTCGGTATGAATTCCACCCCATTTTCGGTCTGAATCATGTGCCCGAAGACTTCCTGCTGGTGGAGAAGCGAGATTGCACTCGCAGTTTTGGGGTCCACTGGAATTCCAGTCGGTCCAGACTCCAGGAATGTTATGTCCTCGATACTCTTAGCCGCTGCGAACTCAAAGCCATCGGGTCTGGAGATTGTTCTCCCCGGGATGAATTTTTCTCCCTCACTTGTGTTGAGTATCATTCCCTGAACGAACTTCGAACCCTCTGGAGTTTCCAGAGTGGTTCCGGGAATGAATCTACTCCCTTCTGGAGTCTTCAGGGTCATCCCGGGAACGAAATTCACTTCTCCAGTTTTGGATGTAACATTCTGCCCGGCGACGAACCGCATTCCCTCCGACGTCTGCATAGTTCTTCCAGGTGTGAACGTTGGTTCTCCAGTGGGTGATACCAAACACTGTCCAGGAATGAACTCCCAATCATCGTTCACCTTTACACTCTGTCCAGGGACAAATATATGCTCGCGATTTTGCTCTGTAATAGTCTGTCCAGGCATGAAAGTAGCTCCAGCCTCCGTCAGAACCGTCTGTCCAGGAACGAAAACATTCTCCAGGACTTGTCCAGCGACGAATTTCGGACCTTCCTCCGTCAGCACCGTCTGTCCCTGAACGAATTTAGCTCCTTCGTTCGTATGAATCGTCTGACCCTGAACGAACTTCCGCCCGCTCTTGGTCTCCAGAGTTTGTCCAGCTATGAACACTGGAGTCTGTTTCCCACCCTCTGGAATCGTAACTATCTGTCCGGGTATTAGTAGCGGCCCCTCCGGGGTGTGAACCGTGAATCCTGGGACGAAAGTCGGCCCCTGTGGCGTCTGCAGCGTTTGTCCAGGGACGAACACAGGACCCACTGGAGTCTCAACAGTCTGGCCAGTGACGAATCGCTGAGCTGATTCTATATCCACCTTCAGACCTTTCACCTTATGCATCTCACACTTCACTCCGGTCTGGACCTTCCTCACAAGGTCTGGAATCTCCTTGACTGTCGGGAGTTCCTGGAGCGCTGTTTCTCCTCCAGACAAAAACTTCTCTTTCACATCAGCTGTTCTTTCCAGCTCAGCTGGAGGGAGTTCCGCCAGTAGTATCTGGATTCCAGGATCTGGCTCAGCTGTCAACGGCGTCAGCGGCTTAATCACAGATATCGCTTCCAGTCCGCCGGTCTCTTCCGATACCGGCGAGGTGACAACACCGACTTCCGTCGCCTCAAGGTCAATCACCTGAGCCGGCACGTCAATCGGTGTCGGCAGTTCCTCAACAACCGGCGTTCCGCCGATCTTCCCAACGTTTCTCTCAATCGCCCTCCAGTTACATGTCTTCGTGATCGGATGCACGAAGCTTTCTAGATTCTCAGTGACCATCGTCAGCTGTCTCTCCCCGGATCTCGCGTGGCTCAGATCAACATTCCTCCAGTGACTCCTCTCCTCCTTCAGATCCTCCCTGATGCTTCTCAATTTCAGCTGCTTCGCTCTCTTGAACTCCTCTTCATCCGCCGCTTTCTCCTTATCTTCGAACACCTTCTTCGCGTAATTCAGCTTGGCAGCGCGTTTTCTCTTCCGCTTCCGCGCTTCGGCTTCCAGTTTCTCTCGCTCCTTTATCACTTCCTCGTGGGCTCCCAGCCCCTCGTACAGATGATTGAAGTCATCCAGTTCCTTGAAGTCCACTGAAACATTGCGGCCCTGCTTGAGCCTCAGCAGAACTGTATCACAGTCTCTCGATAGCATAACGTCACTGACGTCTCCGTCCCTCACCGCCGCCTCGAGTCTTGCTGGAAAGACCAAACTACATCTCCTCTCCTGAACCGTGTACACGAATTTCAGGTTCTCCTCGTCCTCCAGCGGCTTTTTCGTCTCCAGTAGGTCTCTCAACGCCTTCTGTTGCTCGCTATCACCCTCCAGCACTGGAAATACGTAACGATAGTCCTTGACAATCACGTGCCGCTTCTTCTCTCCGAGAATCAGGCCAGCTGTGTAGTGATGTGGACCAAGACCAGAGTTGTTTGTTATTCTACATTTGGATTTATCATTGCCGTGCACACCGAGCAATACGGGAATGTAGTGGTGCGTGGGTAGACCGTAAGATTTACCAGTTATCCGGCAAAAGCGTTTAGCATCAGCTGGACTTATTGGCGGCAGCAACGGAAAGTAATTTGGCTTGGGGAGGCCCCGGCTCCTCCCCGTTATCCTGCAGAAGGACATGTCTAGGGTTTATCGCTGTTCAATCTATTCTTCTAATGCCTTTGATGTTGAATCTTTCATTTCCATTCGGAGGTGGCCTCTTCAGTGGATAGTGGTGCTTCAGAAATCCTTGGGTTCGAATTTCTCAATGCCAACAGCATTAACATCGTCTGGTGATGCGCAAATTTTTAGCTGCACCACCATTTTCGCTCTGATATTTCAACGGGTAATCGGAAACTCGTAAGTCTCTCAATGAATTGGGCTTATACCATATCTCAGGTTGATTGCTCAAAATTATTTTTGCATCCGATGAAAATTAGCACTCGAATCCTGGACATTTGCCAATTCTTTGATTTCAATTCTATCCTCGAGATATTAATTTTTAGGACATTACTTTTAATTTGGGATCACAATTACTCATGAGCTTTGTCAGGTTTAATTTATCACGATGCTGTATTCATTCATTATGGTTTTGGAAGTTGGCCATGTGTTGAATCGCAAATAAAGTCTCCCGAGAGGGAGTGTAAAAAATTTATGCACAATTTGACACGGGAACCTCGGCCCAAATTTCCTCACGTGTACGCTATTATCACATTGTTTGGGGTTTTTCCGTTGTTTTTGGAAATTCACCGGTTGCAAGAGGGAAATGTTTTCTCGGTATTGGGTAGGAGCGTGATCTACTCCTGTCGTGAAAGTTCACTCAACTTTACGTGCAATGGGCTCCTACAGGGAAATACATCTATTTTCGTGCGGCCGCACGTTTCGGGTGTAAATAATTCGTTTGGAAAATTCAGTCTTCACTCTCTCGTTAACGTTAGGTATTTCAATCAAGGGGGATCTTTTTGTGGGTTCACTTCAGACTTTTGCGATGCACTGGACGAATTGGGGTTTGAGATTTTTGGGGGGAAATTAGTGGGGGAAATGCACTTTTCACTGTTTTTTGTCGCGCGATATCAGCTTGAGGGATTCGTTTCGATGGGTTTGGCAGATCTGCACCTCGTGGCTTTGGTATCAGACGGCTGTAGGCAAAGTGTGTGTGATACCGTGGCAAACGCCAGACTACCCAGAGGTGGGTTAACCAAGTGCCTGAAAGATCGTATACGCGCCCGAGTTAACTCACACTTCTCCCCTCAACCAGAAATAGCTACCCTTCTTACTCTTCCAATACATCTTGAGGAGCATCTCGTGTATGATTTCGGGAAATATGAGAATTGAATTCGATTGTTGTCTGGTTTGTCGGGTCTTTGGGAGGGACACGTGGAGAGTTTATTTTATTTCGGTGTAAATCATGGGAACGTTTAGAGGGGATTAATCTTATTGGGAAGGAGGCAGCGCTGGCGGAATGTCAGGGGGCCTGGTGGGATGCATGATTTTTGGGTGCATGCTATTTGCAACATCTTTATGATGTTTGCTAAAAATAACGGCTATTGCGGTTTTTAGAATTGAATTTGCGCGGTTTTTGGTACAATTCAGTTTTGAGAGATTAGTTTTTTCGTTGGGATTATTTTCTTGGCAAAGGTTCTGTTCGAGGAGAATTTTGCAGTCGATTATCGAACATATTGCAATGATTTTTATATTTTGATGGCTTATTTAAACTTTTTGAAGCCTCAGGAAATTTTATCATAACGATTTTCCGCTCTATTTTTGCTTTTTAGAACATAATTGTTCTAGAAAAATTTGTTTTTTAATTATAAATATTCAGATTCTGTTGAAAGTTGATTAGTTTCTCAATATTTTTCGAAAAACAACGAATGAAGAAATCAATAAATTCTGATTTTTCCGTACGATATATTCTGGCAATATTTTTTCTATTCTGTTGTCATGAATTTTGTAATATAAGAAGAAAAAAGCTCGGAATTTCCAATAGAATTGTTTAACAAATACCAATTTTCATGTCAAATTGGGGATTGTATTTCATTTGGGTGTAAATCGTGAGAGGATTTAGAGGGGGATTAATCTTATTGGGAAGAAGACTCTGGCGGAATGTCAGGGGTTCTGGTGGGATGCATAATTTTTGGGTGCATGCTATTTGCAACATCTTTATGATGTTTGCTAAAAATAAAGACTATTGCGGTTTTTAGAATTGAATTTTGCGCGGTTTTTGGTCAAATTCAATTTTGTACGTTTGAAGTTTATGAAAGATTTTATTCAAGACTTTTGCAGTCGATTATTAGACATATCGCTCTGATTTTGATATTTGAATTTTTTATTTCAACTTTTCGAAGCCTCAATTTGACTTTCTATTACGAGCGGTGGAAAGTTTTCAAGAATTGAAAAAATCGGGAAGTTTACTGTTTGAGAAATCATAAGATAATTAAAAAATTGTTATTTAAAAAATTGGGATCTTTTTCCGTGAATAAAACGGAAGAACAGATAATTGAATGCAGATCATAGATCGCAGATCGCTTTCTCTAGGAGAATTAAATTTTTGTTTAAATTGATATTAAAAATGAATTGATATTCAATAAATCATGAAAACGCTTGAATAATCTTAATCGTATTTTGAACCATTAATTAATTATATAATTGATTATAACCTTATATATTTAATGATATAATAAATTATATTATATTTTTATTATTATTATTAATTATATTATACTTATATTATATAATATAATTTATTATATTATTGAATATATAAAGTTATAATTAATTATATAATTAAGTAATTAATTATAATCTCATTTTGAAGAAAGCTGTTCTGACAGAATATCAGGGGTGGGCTGCATAATTTTTGGGTGCATGCTATTTGTAACATTTTTATGATGTTTACTAAAAATACATGCCATTGCCGTTTTTAAAATTGAATATTGCGCGGTTTTTACTACTATTGAATTTTGCACGCAACCTAATTTAAAATTTCAAAAACTGATAATTACTAAAATAATTTCTAATGCAGCCCGTCGAAGGAGTACAACTACTTCGAATCAAGTGACAAAAATTTCGTTATCCAAAATATTCATAAAAAAATTCCCACTCGATAGAATTGGCTCCCACGCCTCGTTTCCACACTTCACTACCTAAACACATCCGCCTATTACTTGTCGAAAGTGTCAAATCATTTACAGTAAAGTGTTTCCCGCAAGTTTTTATGACTATCGTACATAATGTTGCGAGCAATTCCGTTGGATTACAACAGGCACTTTGACTGGCACTCGAGCAAAAGTAATTAAACTTAACGACGAATAAATATTTGGCAGTCAAAGTCCATAAAATTGTTATTAAAGGTGGAAGTTTAGTGAATATATTCCATATTCAATTGCTTTCATGTTTTCGAATGGGTTATAATCGACTAATTATAGGTCTCCCCTGGTGACAAGGAATACGATTTCCTAGAGACTGATTTATCCGCTGTCATTCTGAATAACATTTTCATTTCCGAAAACAATCCGGGGTTTCTCTCGAAGTCCGCTCATCCGTCGTCACGCGAATGAGTCGCATGTCTCCGTATGATGACAAAAGTCTTGTTCGAATATTCGCGAGTGTTTACTGAAAATGCTGGCATCGCACCAGATTTTTTTGCAACTCCTTTGAAACCAATATTTCCTCTTTTATTTGGATTCAGAGAAGAAACTTCTTTTGTGCGATGCTTGCCACTGTTGAAGGAGGAAACGTACACTGTTTGGGATGAGGATGGCAACGAGTGAGTCATGAAGGCTGGATTCTGCTTGATGGTCAGTTGTATTTTTTGGCAATTTGTCAGGCTCCGGGGAATGGCGGGACGGGGGGTGGCACTTACCTCTTCGGTATCGATGATTGAAGTGGTCAGTGTCTCTTTGGTGGTGATACTCTCGCTGATTATTACTTGGCTGAGCTCCGTGGAAAATTCTGAAATATGTGAACATAATTATGAACACGGAATAAAGTGTAGACGCACACCGGAAAAAAATCACGTGAGGAATTACTGGATAATCTGGGGAATCCGCGAGCGAAATTGTATTTCAGATATTTTTATTCAACTAAGAAAGAAATTTGAGGGAAACAAATTTCTACGCTGTAACGTGATATTTTGCAAGCGAACAATAAAATTCAGTAGCGAAGCGGTAAAACGCTTCAAGTCGATTTTGACTATTAGTCAGTATTCAATGAATATCTCGGAATCTAAGGCAAATAGCAAAATTTTTGTTATATCCTTTTTTGCAGAATGAATTACGAGCTACAGAAAAGGTTGTTAGGATAATTTCGCTATCTCCATTAGATTTGGAGATATTCTTCGAAAACTCAACTCCGAGCTAAATCGACCCGTTTTACCGCTTCGCTACTGAATTTGTGAGTGGTTTGGTAACAAAAGTACAAGAAAAATAAAATGGTAGGTAAATTTGAGCGCAAAATTAGTTGCGAAATTGAATAACAAAACGCTTTCCCCAATAAATTCCATTGAATTTTATTGGCATTTTAGAAAAATTCGGATGTATTCCTGATAAATTCCATTGAATAATTTTATTATTTTCTATTGAAAATTGTGTTTTTTACCGTATCCTTTTCCTAAGAAATTTTGATATCAAAAAGTCAATAGATTTCGATTTTTCTACGGAAATTCTGGGGCTAATTTTTTTAGCCATTTCTATTGTTTTTTTATCTGTTCCGGATAATAAAACCCAAAAAATGAAAAAACATCGAACATTCACGCCCAAGTACCCTAATGCACTTTCAATAAACCTCTGAGAGAATTCCAATGAAAAGCAGGTCTTCGCTGGGTTTTCTGTTGAATTCCCCACACGTACTGGAACGAATTCCATTACCTTTTTTCCTTTTACTTGAAGATGCTGTTACTGAGTCCCTTGATGCCATGGTAAATTGTTACGACATTATTCTGAAAAGATACGAAATAAGTGAAAATTGAGGGGGTCTAAAGTACTATAACCACACGGAGAGAAATTTTCTAGAAAAATTCTAGTGCTGTTAAGGTAAAATTTCTTGGTATTTCTGTTTACGAAAATCATTGAATAATGAATTTGATGGATTAATTTATTGTACTCATCAAAGTTAGACATCATATAAAAAGTTATTGATGATGA